TTTCTAATGACCTGAGTCAGCCAGGCTTACCCCCTAGTTAGAGATGAGAAAAACGTGGCTCAGAGGGGATCAGTAAATTGCTTGAAGTCACCTAGTTCTTTTAGGTGGAAACCCTAGGATTTAACCTACTTTTGTTAAAACCCTCTTAAATTGCGCCAAAAACCTTTCTTCCAAGGTTTATTCCGTGTGTGTGTGTGTGTGTGTGTGTGCGTGTGTGTGTGTTGGGCTGAGGACTAGGGTGTCAGGATATGAAAGTGAGAGAACAGCTTCACACACACACCGAAGTCGGTACTGGGATCTCTAGAATTAGAAAAAGAGAAAGGATAACCTTAGGTTGTGAAATATACAAACTCCCTAGGCAAAGGGGTTTTTAAATTAAAGATTGGGTTAGGAGTGAAATTATTCTGGCAAGGCAATATGTAGTATCACTTATGAGAAATTTCATTTCCTGTATACGAAAGACCTTATCTTCAAGCTTTCCATGCTGTCACCTCTCCTAGCGACGGGCCTATGCCACGAGGAAACAGGACATGCATGGGGTGTCTGGTGGTCCCAGGGACTTTCCATCGTCCCCCTGGAGGGATGGGCAGCCTCAGGGTTGAGGTGGACTTTCCAACAGGAGTAGCTGCTCAGGCTGTAAAAATTGAGACCCAAAGCGTATGTAACTGTGAACAGGTCTGTTTGACTTTGCTTTAATTCCTTATTTCCAATAGAGCAGCAAAACTATGAAAAGATCAGAGCTGGTTTGGACCGGCTGTCTCCGGATGCTGGAGAGGCTGAACCCCACTGTGCAGGGAGGCCAATTAAGTGGCTGCCACTGTCCTGCTGGGGTCCGTTAAGATCTGTGAGTAGGTGAAGGTGGGTCACAGCCTTGGAGAGAGACACCCAGAGAGACTGAAAAAGAACAGCGCTTTATAATGACAAGAGCTGTAATTATCTTCTAATTGCACTTGGAGGACTATTTCTTAGGAGGGGAATCTTATAACGTGTCATTTGTAAAGTCATTGGACTATCCGCACGGATGTATCAACTAATCTGTCTACCTCCTGGGTGTCAGTCACTGCTCTAGGCTTGCCTTTCATGGAGTTTGCATCTAAGTTTTGAGGGAACAGATAATAAACACAAATACACCGATAGTTTATAAGATGGTATAATTATGAGGAAGAAAAAATAAAGTGGAGGGAAAGGAGAAAATGTTGCAGTGAAGTGTGTGTGTGTGTGTGTGTTCATTTACATAGGGTTTTTACATAAGGATTTGTTTGGTGGTGTCTTTTTGTAATGAGCATGGTCACTTTAAAAATTTCATTCAGATTGCAATAAGTTGGATTATATGAAAATCCAGTTACAGTTAATATAGCTGGTCTACGTGGAGCTGGTCTAACCCTAAAAATAAAAATTGCTTCCCAGACAGATTCATGATAGATAGCATAGCAGGTGGGGAGGGAACTGTTTGTTGTACATAAGAAGAAGAACTGGTTTTAAGAAGTTTGCGCAGTGATGGTATAGAAATGGCTGTGGGTAGCAGCAAGGGTTCTTATCTGTTCATTCATTCCTGTCTACCCAGAGCCCAGCCCAGGTAAGCTCATCTTCCTGTGATTTAGGCCATGCATGAGCAGACCACCTTTCCCTACAAGTTCTGACCTGGAGTCTTGTCCTTGTGTGTTATTGGATCCCTTTTTCTAGAGGAGGGCCTGAAAAATAATAAAAAGTGGCTGTTAGGCACTTAGCATAGCATCCTTTCAATCCTAACAGCAATACTTCTAAGTAGGAGTTCATTATCACCATTTTGCAGATGAGGAAACTGAGGCTCAGACAAGTTAAGTAAGAAGTTATGTAGCCTGTGGTAAAAGAATCCAAATTAACCAGCGCTGTCTAGCTCCAAGTTCTTGCTCACTGTGTTATGCCGGCCCTTACCTTATAAGAGCCAACTGATGCATGAATGAGTGAGTTGATGAGCGAATAAATGAAAACTCTTGTCTTGATTCTAATGCATGAGAGTAGGCAGAGACAGGGTCTGAGTGTTCTGCTGAACTGTCCAAGCACCATGTCTGTCACATTTTTGATGGCTGAATGAACCAAACAATTGGTCACATGCAGATAGCAAAATAATACGATATAGTCATTGAAGAAATAATTACTGAGCATCTCCAGTATGCCAGGCATTAAGCTGGTTAACAAACCCCTTGCAGCCTCAAGTGCTTCACCTACCAGAGGGACTTTGGTGAGGAGGCCTGGGCTTCCACTCAGCTTCCCCCTCACTAAGTGATGCAGCAGGGATGGGAGGGGAGGGAGGGCCTGACAAAAAGGAGCTGTTACTGACCAGGAGTCTATAAATCCTGCCATAGCCTCCAGGCTTGCCCAGTGATTCCAAAACCCAGGAGTAGAGCAATTTAGAAGTGCAGAGACTCCGCCCTACCCCACGATGCTTGTGCACATCCAGGTTGGGGACCATCATGTGGACCCGCATTTTTACATTTTCTAAAACCTCTTTTGCTGAACAGGATCAAAGCACTGAGACCTTTCTCCTGACAATTCTGTCTGAAGTAAGGAGAAGAGACCATGGGTTGGGGCAGATGGCTAGCCTGCTGAGATTAATAGAGTGTTGCTTACTACTTTGTTCTATTAAATAATTGATTGCTACTGCCACTTCTCAAATGCAAACCTGTATTATTATCATACTGAATGTATTTTTAAAAACAGGCAAGCCCCCTCTCCTTCAATGTGTCTTTGCCAGCTGCCTTCCCTACTGCTCTCAGTCCTCTGCCCTTCCTCCTCCTTCCCGGTGCCCCTGTAAGGATCACTCTGAGAAACCATTATTTCTCAAAATTTCTAGGTGTAAGAATGAACTAATGTCTGCTCAGGGCCCCAAGAATCCACTGCAGGGAGAGCTGGGGAGGCCAATTCTAAGATTCAGGGTGTGAGCTAATCCAGGTGCTTGGGTGTGCCATTTGGGTGACTCAGGAGGGTTCCCCACTGGTGCAACTGGACAGAAGATGGGAATAGGGTATGCTCTTTGAGGTATTTTTTTTTTTTCTTTCTAAGGGCCTCCTCTAATAAAATTCGCTGCCCTGCCTCTCCCACCATCTGCTTGAGAACAAGGTGCCAGTTTGGCCCTCCCACCTTTAGGTTATGAGCCAGAGGAGGAGAGGACCCTGGGTCAGGGGAAAGAAAAGTGTGGGCAAGAGATCCTGGGCCCCCCGAGAACCCCTCACACATCACACAAGCCTGACCAAAATAAAATAAATCTCAGTTGGCTCTAAACAGTGCTTCCAACCAAGGGTCCTTTGGGTTTTTTACAGGGGCCGTGGGGGCAGCTCAGAAAAGTATTTGTGCCCAGACCAGTTGGGGAAGGCATCCCTGCTCAGAGGAGGGAAATACAAGTCTGCAGAGGCAGAAACGGTGCAACATGTGATTTACTTTCAGCCTCCAGCACATTTTTCTTTTCCTTCATGAACGAATTTCCAGTGAACTCTCCTCCAGTGATTTCAGTAGGCTGCCTCCCTGCTGCGCAAAAGAGTAACAGTTCTATGTGAGCCCCCCTGAGGGGAGTAAGGCAAAGCCTTGCTCACCACAGTGGCATGTGGCTGTTGACCATTTGTACTGATGCTAATGGGGAGGACATTTTCTATTCTCTTCTATTCAGACCTGGAGTAGATTTGTCTAGTTTGACGAGAAACAGTTGAAGAAGTTCTTAACCAGCACTAGCATGACTATGTTGACCAGTTTATAATAAACACTTAGGTTCCCCTCCACCTCCCCATTATAACTTCTAATTTTTAAGTAATTGTTTCCACTGCTTGGGATTGATTCAATGTAGCATAGTGACCCAACTCAAAACTATAATTTTCAGGAACTGCCTGGAATAGGCCCTTTCTTCATTTCAGAACACATCTGCAGTTTGTTAATTCCTCAAGTAAAGCTGGGGAGGGCCTCAGCTCAAGGGCCTTGAGATTCTGTCACTCAAGTTTCCTTTTGCGCATGGTCCATCAGTTTTCATGTTGGGTGGAGTCCAAGGAAGAATTTATTTTTCCATGAAAATACAGGGCAAAGTGTCCCCTTACAGTCACGCTGTAACATTTTAGCATTTTTATAGCATTAGTAACATGAAAGGAAAGGGTTCTTGGTTTAGTGTCAACTCCTTTAAAGGAAATTGGCTTGTAGGCCAACTGTGCTTATCCCTGAGTAGGAGGCCAAGTCATCATTTCCCAGTCCCTCATAGTGTTTTGTATCCAAGCAACATCTTACAAAATAGGCGGGCTAGGCTAGACGTGCCCTGGAGCTCACCCGTACCCACAGGGAATGTTCAACTTACAGTGAAAGCTCTGACAAATTGTAAATGTTTGCGTTTTTCTTCAACTCTACCTAACTATTGAAAATATTCTGGGAATTTAAGTCTTTCCCTGCTTTTCTCTAAACACGGTTTTTGCTTTAGAAAAAAGAAAGCCAGGTCTTCTTTTAACTCTTCTCCCAAAACATCAGAATTTGGTGATAAAAAAGCTCATGTTAAGAAATGGGACTAAAGGTTTTTAAAAGAAGGAATTGAGGTAAACCTTTCTAACTGGCTTTTTATTTTACTCCATTCCTAGTCAGTTATATGTTATTACTCTCTCATGAGGAAAGGAAAGCAGCAGATATTAGTTGTATCGGAATGGAATTATAAAGACATTCAGGGTCATGGCAGACTAATAGACTGGCTTTGAGATTTGGGCAATTCTGTTTTCTCCTATTTTCTACAAGCCCTACCACTCCCTGTTGTCTTACATATCTCTCACTGTAATCTACATTCCCTCTCTCAGTCTAATCTTTCTTCCTTGACACGCTGTGTGAATTTAAGTTTGACCTACGACATTATAGCTCAATTCCCATGAAGGCAAAAACCCTGCCTAATATTCTGAATTATCCAACATGGATATTTTCTAGGGTCTACTTTTTCCTAAATTATTCAACCAGGGCTTTAAGGGGAGACTTTCCTAGATAAATGTAGAAAATGTAACACATACAAGCCTAGTGGCAGACTTTTAGTCCTGAAAAGAATCAGAGAAATTATTTACTTCAATCTGCTTTTTCACAGATAATGGAGTCAGCTCAGAGAGTTAGGTTACTTACCCAAGGTCTCGAAGTTAGGACAGAGTTAGGTCTAGAAGAAGAATCTTCTTACCCTTAGTTCTCAAACCTGGGGTGATTTTTGTCCACCAGGGGACAACTGGCAGTGTATAGAGATACGAGTGGGGACAAGGTACAAGATAATTCCTCAGACGAAGACCTGCCCAGTTCAAGATGTCAATGGTGTTAAGGTTGAGAAATTCTGGGCCAAGCCTAACCAGCCCTCTTCCTACTTGAGCATGGTCTCAGCTTGCCGCACTTTTTGTTATTTTCCTAAGAATTATCACTATAGAGGTCTATCACTATAGACCATCCTAACTTTAGCAAAAACAAATCAGTACATGTGCAAGTGTGCAGTGTTATTTTAATCACAAAGTTAAACTATGAATCATGGGACTGTGAGGGAAAAAATTCAGTGTATTTCCACACTTTCAAGGCTAATACCTCATTTTGACATCTGAGACCAGTCAGATGACTTTTAATCCTGTATCTTCACATCTTGTTCTTCTTAAAAACTCCACTTGCCAAACCCTTGGCTTACTTTCCTTTTCTTAAAACATGGAGAGAAATTCTCACACCATGTGGGGCTAAGGGACATGTAGAAGAGATTTTGCTAGGGGCTCTCACCTTTGGTGGGAGTTTACCTGTTTTATCTGATGGAGATGGAGGCAGGTGTAGAGTCTTGCTCCTATGTCAAAGAAGTAAAAAATTTAAGTGAGGAGAAAATACACTCATGTAAAAAAAAAATCTAATACACATACTGAGGAAACATATTCATCTGAAGAAGTATTCTCTAAAGGTTCCATCATCTCAGTGTTGACTGAGAGCTAATTTCTGTATTGATTTAAAAAGGCTGAAAAGTTCAATCTTATCCATCTGGGGGCAGAATTTTTCATTTCCATTGCCAGGAGCAGACTCCATTGTGATATTAGAAGAGGTGGGAATAGATCATGTCGTTGAGCTTCTTGTGGTGTTCTAAGAAGGTGTCATCTTTAAGAAAATATGTGCAAATGCTTCATTTCCTTGGGTGAAGCAGGTGCCATGGCATTTTGTGGTCTTATGTGATATATCCCTTTATAGTCAGTGAAGTCATTGGTTATATTGCCGAGTCACTGGATATATGTGTTTGGGTGACAGAGGCCAGGGTTATAATCTGTCCTACTGCTGAGGTCAGAGTGGGGGAGGAGAACACAGATACGGCCATTCAAAAATCATGCACCCACTCTGACACTATATTCATGTCCTAATTTTTAAAGAAACCTTACTACATTTTAGGATAAAATGAGTATTTCTCAACAAGATCAATTTTCTTGATTATTTTTGCCCCCAAAGCCAGAATTAAGTTGTATGCTCAACTAAGATTTATTTAGTCTGAGTTTTTGGATATAAAGGATCTCTTTTATCACTTTGAGGACTTGATGTTTAGTTTTCTATTTTTATGCTAATAATCTTTCATGCTATTATATCTACTATTTATTAGTATAAGTTGCTGCAAATATAGAGGAGGTATAAGTAAATCTCATTTTAAAATTCCTACTATTTCTCTTTTTCTTTTTTTAGTATCCATGCTGAGAGCATACCCCTTGGGGTCTCTGCTTTTTGATTGTATTGCAGAAAGGAAAAGTCTTCAATTCACCCCCTTTCATCTCATGTTTCATTGAGAAACCCCACTTTCATTTCATGGGTTACATGTTTATGTTGGCCAACTCCCTTGGGATGTGTGGTTTACCCACTTGTTTGATCACATGTCCTACCTATTAAGATGTTTTGGGTATTCATTCTCAATATTTATTTTTTCTTTCTTTCATTCAGTAAATATCTTTTAAGGAATGTCTTATGTTCCAGGCACTGGAGTTTATATACTCTAAGTAGTCTCTATTCTCTGGCCCTAAAAATTAGCTTCACTTCAGCAGAACACACAGGTTCTCCTGCACCAATATAATGTGTGCACTGAGAGTTAGATGTGTGAGTGTGGAGACTGAACATAACCCCTCAGAGTCCAGAAAGAGAGAGAAGTACACAATCTCTTGAATGCTGTTCAAGAGAATATATGGTAGCAAATTAGTCCCAGCAACAAACTAACAACATACTTACACTTCAGGAAGGTCTTCTTGTGTTTTATGGATCCTCTCAAATTTCCATGACAAAGGAATGTCTGAATTTTGTCCTACTTTTGTTTCTTCTTGGATTCTGGGGGTCTGTATTCTGTCTTTGCCTCTCATCCATCTATCTCATTCATGATTTATCACTTTAGAGTGTCTCTAGTTTGACTCATGAAATAGCTATTTGTTGTGAAGAAGTGATATTTCATGTTTACTGCTAAAATACCCTGCTAGGGTGAGAACAAAATGGCCATATTTGATGATGAGTGATGTTAATAATAACAGGTGATTAAGAAGGGAACTAGGAAGTCCAACAAGTACATGGAAGCGTGTCTTACTTGGGCTGCTGTGTGCTCTCTCGTTTCCCTGCAGATTAATTGGCACGGCCTCTGTTGCCCTGAAGGACCTGATTGGAGACCAAAGCAGGTCACTGCCCTACAAACAGATCACCCTGCTAAACGAAAGAGGACAAGACACTGGGGTGAGCATTTCCCTTCCTGTTGGATATTTTTTTAAGATTTGTTTATTTATGCATACAAGAAATGGGGTACAGCCAGAGGCATGGGGGCTAAGAGGATTCACCAGAGACAGAGTGGGGAACAGAACAGGTAGACTGACAAATACACTGCTGAGGGGAGTAGCTGGAGAGACAGGAGAGGTCTGCTGTGCCATGTAGGTAGCTCCCTGACCAGCTGAGATCAAACTCGTGCTGCAGAGCCTGCAGATAGTTTCATAGGGCTGTGCTTATTAACCTCTTGCACCACCAAGTAGGCCCCCTATTGGATGGTTTTGAAGTGTGATGGTTAAGTGAAAATTTACTAAGAAAAGAGTATGGCATTATAATTAGCTCACTACACAGAAAGCAGAAATTAGTTTTGGGATTAAACAAATTATATAGTCTAATACTCTCATTCACAGAACTAGCAAATCAGATAAATTTGATTTTCTATGACAGAATGCTCTAAGAGTGAGACCTTCTGTTGGTGTCACTGCGCATCTTTCCAGTGTGTGTTAACATTTGTGGTGACTGTCCCTCTATGTTATCACACACTCCTTGAACTGTTATATAAAGAAAACTCATTAATATTACTTTGGAATATCAAGATGCAAATATTAAGATCATTATTATTGTATTGGCAGCTGAATGTTTTCTGATCACAGCCTCTCTAGATAAGTACATATTGATATTATCTAATGTAAGATAAGAATCCTCTTGCTCATATACTGTAAAAAGGAATTGACTCAAGTATCACAGCTTTGAGGTTCCATATGATTGCGCTTAAGTGCTCATAAAACCACCATGCTTGCCACTTTAGCTCCTTCATTTTTCCTTAGCCACCTAGGCAAATAAAGAACATTTTATACTAAAAGAGACCAGTCCTGAAGGCAAGAATACAGGTCAGGCATCTCAACATCCATTAGCAATGTTAATTTTGCTGGTCTAGTCAAAACATAAAGATTTGCTGTAAGCACTTAGAATGTGGGAATCTAATCATGCTTGGAAATCAACATTCTAAGCATAAATGTAAATTCCAAATGTTGGCTATCACCCATCTACCAAAAACCTGGCTGAGAGAAATGACACTTAGGTAGGATGGTACAAGTTAGTGATTTTTCTGGCTGCTTGTTTTTAAGCACAGAAGAAAACATATGTAGATAGACCCCTGACATGGCAGAATTGTGATGAATGAGTGGAATAAGGAAAGTTAAGGGACTCAAGTCTCCCCCTTGACACCTTCCTACCACCCACCCCCCCTGCTAGGGATCCCTGGATCCACCTATGGGAATCCCATTTAAAAAGCTACTGATCCAGAGATTGAGCCATTCATGTATTCTTCTGGTTTAAAATTTGATCTTTCAATTCAGTTTGGCAATTGAGCCCCTTTGTCTTCCTGCATTTCACCGTCTGAGTGTAGCCTGGCTCTTTCTAGCAATCTAAGATGCTGTTCCAGTGATCATTTGCCATGAAGCTGCTGTTAGGGACATTATTCATTTTCCTTGTTCAGTGTCTCCCAGGCCATAATCCCTACATTGACCACAGAATATGCTGATCCATGAAGAAGTATACACTGCTCAGCAGACACATGGGATATCCATTTAAATTTGAACTTCAGCTAAACAATGAATGATTTTCAGTATAAACATGTGCTAAATGTTGTGTATTATTTCTGGGATTTTATGTGGTCGTGTGGGTGATGTGTGTGCACACATGTGCATGTGTCATCCTTTCTGAAGTTGTCCTTCCTCATTTCTGCTGTGAAAATACCTTTATTTTTGAAACGATAGTAATAGTAAATGGTAGTATGTGTTTGCAAGGTACGAGTTAGCAACTCTATGTTCAGACCCCCTAACATTTTTGAACTTTTGTAGATTCATGATTTATGGAATACAAAAGTATTTCTGCCCTAATTATGCTTCCCTAAAGTATTGCCTGTGTATATTCTAGGTTTTCTTGAGAGCTCATAAATCTTTTGCCTTTTACTTTTGCCCAAGTGAGGAATTTTTAAAGGTTGAATTAATTTATCTTCTGTAAGGAACTGGCGTGTTTCTTCTTTTCTGATAATGAAATTTATATAACATTTTTGTTCTCATTTTTGCCTTGGCTCCTGGCCATCCTGGGGTCACATTTTATGCAAGAGGAATGGCAATTACCATGAACTCCATGATTTGCATAGTTGTTTCCTCTTTAATCAGGCTTGATTCCTTTTTATCATCTTATTTTATAAATCACATTGTTATATAATTTCTTCTTAGTTCCTTAAAATTTTTTGTACAGAGAAGTGTGAAAATAAATCCTAGCAATTAATGAGCAAACAAACAACTTAAGTATTTAAAAAGAACCGCTGTGCCTTTAATTCTGTGATTGGAGCCCATCTCCAGTGTAGGGTGGAGGTTAACTACAAGTTCATGCATGCTTATCTCAACTTTCTTCCAGTTTATGAGGTTGTCCCTCAGCAGCGAAACACTTGGCAATGTATTGGGTAACTCCTTTCCCAGGCTTCGGGCCTTCATACTCCACCTGGGTCACGCTGGGAAGATATGCATCATCCTCTGTTCTCCATTTCCCCTGCTCCCATCCCCCTGCTCACCTTTTCTTAGGACTTTAACTCCTGGTGATGTGATTTGCATTGAGTCCATAATGTTCCAGTGCCCTGCACTGATACTATCTGTAATGAATTATTTCCACCCAGGCCACCATTGACTTGGTGATTGGCTATGAACCACCTTCAGTTCCACATCCAAATGACCCCAGTGAGACCAGCGTGCCAGGGATGGGAGGTAAGCTGACCCTTCATGAAGCCCTAGCCTACCCAAGGGAATCTCAAAGCCTTCCTTAGCATTACACTGTCTGTACCTCTCTGCTCTCCTGGACACCGACCCCATGAGGCAAGTGAAGCCGCTTTGAATCAGGACATCAAAATTGTTTACAAAATGCCCTTATTGAACAGCCTCATGGTGATTGTGTCCAGCACACAAACTCCAACAGGAAGTCCTGGGCAAGGCTTTGCTTCAGTTTGTGGCTTCCACCCTATACATATGCCCTGGTTGTGAGGTTCCAGGTGTGTACTCTAGTCTCTTCACGTGTTTCTTCACCTCTTAAATGTGCCATTACTGGGCCGTGTTCTCAGCCACCAGTGTCATGGTCAGCCCTTAGAGCACAGCTTCTTTCTCTTTGCCTTTGCCTTGACCCACATGTAACCCCCAGTCATATGCTTCCTATTCACTGCATCTGGCAGTATCAGGGATCCCAAAGAACTTGTGAAGATCTTGGCCAACTACTATTGCAGAGCCTGGTGGGAGTCCTTTAAAACCAAGGACTTCCCTTGCCCATGTATAAAGTCAATTTTCCCCTCACTGGTTTATGCCCAAGTGCCTACTCCAAGTGGCACAGAGTTGTCCCTTGAAGGGCTAGCCTTGGGTTGGAGTTCAGATCCCATTCAGTTCACTGATTGTAGCAGGGGGGATGTCAGACGATAGATTCTGGTAGGATAGTTGTTTTGGAATTGGGAGGATATGAAATTCTTTGCTGATTGCTTGTTTTCTCAATGAAATAAGAAGTAAGGTCATTAGCTGATGGTGAGAAGGACAGTGACAGGATGTCAGAAGCTTTCAAGGTGTAAATTAGGTGGGAGTTTAAAAAGTAGAGTGGGGTCTCTCCGGTAGCAGAGGTTGAGCGCTGGGCTGTGAAGCTGCCCTCAGCCTCTGCAGTGCCCATTTGTTCCCCTGCTGGCCGGTGAGGGTCCCACATGGCATGCAGACCTCTCCTGCCGCACCCGCTGCTCCCTTCTGCAGTGTATTTCGTCAGTCTGCCTGTTCTGCTTCCCACTCTGGCTCTGCTGAATTCTCTCACCCTCCTGTGCTTCTGACTATACCCAGTGCTTGTATAAATAAATAAATCTTAAAAAAAAAAAAGTAGAGTGACTTGACCTTATTGGCTAATTAGTGGCCATCACACCAGGATCCAAGAGAACTTTGAAGTAGATCCAGGAAAACTTAGGAGCATGTTAGGTGATCAAGAAGTTCTGTAAGCCCTCTTAAAGTTTGTGACATTAAAGGGAGACCACTCATTAAGGTGTATGCTCTCAGCCTAGACCAGCTGCCTGAGTGAAGGGTAGAATATGTATAGAGTTAATTGAACCAGGTGAGTACAATGAACTGAGAGAAGGGATGGGGTTGAGGGGTGTGTAGAGAGGGGGTTGTGGTATTAGACCACAAAATCTAACACAGGTTAGGAGAAAATTAAGGACATGAAGGAAGTGGAGTGGGAGAGGACAGGGTAATCTAGTGCCGATAGATTGGGGCTCCCTTTGTAGCTGCAGACTTGTGGACTGGAGTAAGAGATGGAGAAAACTGGAAAGGTACAAAAAATGCCCTCTGTAGTAGGTTGAATTGTGTCCCCATCCCCAAAATCCGGTTTATATGGGACCTCAATATTTGACCTTATTTGGAACAAGGCCTTTACGGATATAATTAGTTAAAATTAGGGTAGACCTTAAATCCAATGACTGGTGTCCTGCAAGAAGAGGTGAGGGCACATGGACAGTGGGGAGAGCACCATGTGATGAGAGGCAAAGTTGGGGTGATGCAGCTACAAGCCAAGGAATACCAAGCATTTTAAGGATTCACCCATTAGAGGCATGGAAGGATTTTTTTCCTAGAGACTTCCAAGGGAGCATGGCCCTGCCAAAACCTTGGTTTTGAACTTCTAGGGTTTGGAACAGTCATAGAATCAGTTTCTATTTTTTTTTTTAAGGATTTATTTATTTATTTATATAAGCACTGGGTACAGTCAGAAGCACAGGAGGGCAAGAGAATTCACTAGCTAGAGTGGGGAGCAGAACAGGCAGACTGATGAAATACACTGCTGTGGGGAGCAGCGGGCGTGGCAGGAGAGGTCTGTCGCTCCATGTGGGACCCTTGCCAGTGGCTGGGGATCGAACCGGCACTGCAGAGGCTGAGGGCAGCTTTGCAGCCCAGCACTCAACCTCTGCGCCACCAGGGGAGGCCCAGTTTCTATTGTTTCAAGTCACCTTGTTTGTGGTACTTTGTTACAACAGCCTTAGGAGGCAAATACAGCCAGTAGCTTCCTATTCAGTTCGTAGCTTAGAGTTGCCCTCTGTGACTATGAAAGAGTCATTGTGGATTCCCTTGGCTGTGGTTGAAGCTCATGCCTGGATCTTATTAAGGGAACATGCCAAAACAACCACTAAGATTGGGTAATGAAACAACTGTGTAGGAGGGTGTGTTCAGCAGTGCCTTAAGGGCTCCCTCCACTTTTTTGTGGAACACTTAGGGTAGCATTGTTTAATCCTGTGCAGCTTCCTGCCACATAAAGAAGCAGTTTCCTCCTCAAATTGCCTTCTGCTGCCATGTAGAGATTTGGGCAGTAGCCATGACTTAAGTAGATTTCCTCTGATCCATCCTTAAAGTCTAAATAACAGGAGGTGTTTCCAGAAGAAATTGGTTCTTCATGACCCGAGGTTTATTTCTGGAACAGTCAAGAATTTAATGGCCCCTTGTTTGGAGGCCAGCATCACAAAGGGGTATGTAAAGCCCCACCTGGTCCTGGGATGACAGAAGGGAGATAGTCTGAGTTGTTGGAGGAGCTTAAATCCATGTGACCCAGCCATTTTGCAGTCCAGACCAAGCTTGCAGAAGGGGAGCGTGAACTCCTTGCTTTCCTGAGGCTAGTCCAAGGATGGGAGGAGCACCCCTCTAGCTGTCTGGGTGCTTGCTCTTCCTGAGAACTGTGCAGGAGCTTTGCTAACCACTCAAAAATATGAGAGGACATGAGGAGGAATAGGAACTCAGAGTTATTTACCATTCTATGTTTCATCAAGCCCCTTCTCTGTCCTGGGATTTCTGTAAGGCATGACAGAAAGGGGGCAGACACAAAGAAGTAAAGGGCATTCTTCCTGCTTCTGAGGAGTGTATGGTAGTGGAGAGGTCTGTGGGTTAGCACTAGATAAAGGCTGTGTGGTGAGGATGTAATAGAACAATATGTGGTAAATATGAGAAGGTGTGACTCACTCCATCTGGGAGAGTCAGGGAGGGTCTGTCTGGCCTAAGACAAAGTATTTATTTCATCAGGAACTTAACGCATTGAGGGACTTACTGGAGGAGAATAAGGAACAGTATTTTAAGGGACTGGTTTTAGGAACACCAAGATGGGAGCAGGCAAATCCTCCTTTTAAAGCTTCTTCAAGAACAGAGACAAAGAGATCCCAATTATCTTGCAGAGGGTAAGCTTTAAAGAGCAGTGCTACATGGCAACCTGATTGAACTATTTTTTACTAGGATGTGAGTGACTGACAGGTGACCCCATGTGGAAATTAAATATTTTATATGATTTTGCATGTAAAGGAGGGAATGTAAGTTATTGTATTTTTTTTGACAATGTGATTAGCCTTCTAGGCCCTCTTAAATTATATTGAATTCACACTTTTTATTAGAAGAGTTAAATTTGTCAGCAAATTTCAAAGAGTTTGTGAATAAAAGAAAGGGGAGACCTTGAGGGGGAAGTTAATTTGTGTGTGTGTGTTTTTTAAGGAGAGAAAGCTCTGTGCATATTTGAGGGTCTCTTCCACAGAGAAGAGACCATTGCAGATGTTGAGAGAGAGAGAGAGAGAGAGAGAGCACAGACATTTGGAGGATCCCAAAGGATAAGAAGCAGGCAGGCTCTCAGGTATGGGCAGCAGATTTGCTAAGCAGGAAAAACTTCCCCGAGTGTGAAGAGCAGCTTGTGGCATAAGTGAGGGAACAGAAGTATGTGGACAGAAGGACACAAGGCGAGCATGATTGTATATTGAGCAAGAAAACTGGAGAAAAGCTTCTCTTCTGCCATGAGGGTGGAGAGGACATTTGTGAATCAGGAGGTTTAGGCAGAGAGGAGACAGGAAGTTCGCCTGTCTCCAGAGAAAAGGCCAGCCGTGGGAAGAGCGAGGTTGGTCTCCTGTGCAAGGCCCCAGTTTCCCAGGGCACTTCCTCATCGCCCAACCTAACAGCAGAAAGGTCCCTGGAAATGTTGTTCTCTGCCTGGGATCGACTCTGCCATCTCCTCTGGCCCTCCCTGTAGTGTAGAGGGCATTTTTGTGGCCTTTTGAAGACATCCTGCCTGGGTGGCTAGAGGCACCAAGATCACATTTTCCTAAAGAAACTGTATCTGAGTCCCACGTCAGAGTTACCAGAAGCGTGTCCTCAGGAACTCTGCACCAGACTTCCGACATTTGCAGGGTGAGAGCTGCCTCTGACTGGATTCCTTTGTGGTGTTTAGGAGAAGAGGAGGAGGATGAAGGTGATGAAGACAAGTTGGATAGCAGAATCAGGGGCGTCGTGCCCAGGGGGCCAAGCGGGCTTGTGTCAGAAGCTCAGCTTGCCCGGAGGCTCACGAAAGGAAAGAAAAGCCGACGGATACTGTCCAACAAGCCCCAGGACTTCCAGGTAGGATCGGCACTTGCACCCCGCATCTTGTCTTAACACCGTGGGGTCCCCCTACTGGCGACTGCAGTGATATTAGGAAGAAGCTCTTCCTATGGGCAGTGGCTCACCTAGTGAAAAGGGACGTTAGTGCACGAGCCCCATGAAAGGAGCCCTCCATCTTCCTCCTGCATGTGGGAATAGATGTGGTCAAGCCACAGAAAGCTCTTCAGAGAAATAAAACCCTGCCCTTTCTCCCCTTTCGTGACAGGAAGTTGCTAATCAGAGATTAGAAGTGTTGGTGTGCACTTTTCATAGCTCTGGGCTCTCCTGCCACTGGGAGGCAGCCCGGAGGGGAGTTAGTGCATCCCAGGGTGCAGGAAGGCCAGCTTGGGGGTGGTGGTCTGACCCGCAACCTCAGCCTTGCCCCAGTCTTTCCAGAGCCATTGCAGCCCCATTACCGTCTTGAGTTCTGCAACCCAACTCCAGTGTCCACCTTGGGTGTGAGTCCAAATCCGAGGGCACCGTTACATGGAAAACGGCTCTGGCTGGGTTCCAGCCATCCTCGTAGGTGAAAGAGCTGAGGCAACACTCGAGGGTTGGCTGCCGTGGAGCACTGGGAAAGGATCGCACTCCTTCTGTTTGCAGATCCGTGTCCGAGTGATTGAAGGCCGGCAGTTAAGTGGCAACAACATCAAGCCTGTGGTCAAAGTCCACATCTGTGGCCAGACACACCGAACAAGGATCAAGAGCGGGAACAACCCATTTTTTGACGAGGTAACTGGATGTTCCTGCCCAGTGAGTGTGTTCTGTGTTAGAGACTCGCCTCTTCCTTCCCACCCTAGGGAGGGACACGAGTGAACCTCACTGGTAAAGACAATGCAAGCTTCCAGTGTTGGACATGACCTGTCTCGTCACTGGTTCTCAGAGCTGCCCAGGTTTTTGGTGTTCCTGCAACAATTTATGGCTGGGACCCTTCCTAATGGTCCTTGCACCCCTCCCTTCCCCCCATGATGGAGCTCACAAAGTCACCTACATCTGCTTTTGCTCTTTCTAATTAGCAAGATGTCTCTGAGGAATGACTCTGTGTGAAAAAGTACCTTGGCTTTTTAAAGGTACTATAAAAAAGGTACTACATTGTTTGGCTATAAAAATAATATATATGAAAGGAGAACAGTTGTGAGCAAAGGGATTCTTTCCCTTCTCCCATGCTGAGAATCTGGCCTGATGCTGGTGACCTCTTCTGTAACACTCCTCAAAAACACTTAATCCCTTGATAGATATCTCAAATGCCACAAAAACATTTAGGACTGTGAAGACAAATTTGTTTAGGGAATTTGCCTTAACTCTGCTGAGGAGACGCATTTCTGAGATTCCTCAGGCCTGCGTCTCCTGTTCTGGGAGCTGAAACCTTTGCTCCCAGTTTTCTATCACAGTTTCTCTTAGTTCCCTGTGGTTTCTAATCCCAGTCCCTGCTCTGGCTTTTGTTCTTTTTTTCTACGTCTATTCACAGGAGGAACCGGTTCCTTCTATCTAGTGTTCTAGTTTCTTCTTCTTTGTTCAAACCAGCCCCCAGCTTTGTGGAAGGGCTTATTTTCTCTTATTTCTAACTTCTTCTCGGATAAATCACAGACAACAGCATGCAGCTAAGTTGTGCCAAAGTAAATGTAGGAAGTGCATGCACAGTGATGTGGGGCACTTGACCATGGGCTTTGGGAAGGACTGGGCAAGATTCATGGGAGAGGACAAGGCTGGAATGGAAGGAGGACATGATGCTAAATGACTACATGCTGAGGCATTTGTAATGCAGGCTACGTCTTTACTCATCCCGAAAAATCTCTACCTCAGAATTTTCCCATTTTAATGAAAATTTTTTAGATTGAATCTTTCAGCAAAAGGGAAGGCTCAAGTAACTTGGCCTGTCTTTTTTTTTTTTTAAAGATTTATTTATTTATACAAGAACCAGGGTATAGGCCAGATTTGAGAGGATTCACCAGAGATAGAGCAGGGAACAGAACAGGCAGACTGACGAAATACACTGCTGAGGGGAGCAGTGGGTGAGACAGGAGAGGTCTGCTGCGCCATGTGGGACCCTTGCTGGCCACCCAGGTTCGAACTGGTGCTACAGAGGCTGTGGACAGCTTCACAGCGCTGCGCTCAGCCACCTGTGCCACCAGGGGAGGCCCATAACTTGGCCTTTCAACAGACTAACTCATAAATCAACAAAAGAATTTTACCAAAAAAGAAAAACCTAATTTACATATATATTCATAACAAAGTCATTAAACTTGGCATGACTAATGAGACAAATTGACATGTGTGTCAAGGGAAGTATTTCTTTTAATATTATTTATTACTTTTTTATTGAGTTAACTTTGGCCTGCAACACTGTGTATATGATTTTGAGGCACAGGATCACCCCCTCAAGGTGTATCACAAGTGGTAAAGAATTAGACTCAACTTTCTAGGTTCATGCAAACCCAAGCAACCATTTCAGTAAGATTTGAAATAACATAAAGTAAGTTTATGTCTTTACTTTAGTGAGCTAGTAGACACATGGTCCCAAATGAGCAATTTATTTATTAAATAAATGGTGTAATCGTTACTTAACCCTTTTCCCAACATGCAAAGGTGAATTGCCATGAAACTAATGAAGTTTAAGCTTCAGGACCTTTTCTAGGCCCTGTGATGTGTTCATTGGGTTTGTGTGTTGGGTTTTTTAAGGAGGGCCTCCCAAATTGTAGCATCATATCCTACTACACCTGAGATCAACTCTGATGACATTCAAATATTTTCCTTTTGTTTTGACAGTTATTTTTCTACAACGTTCACATCACCCCCTCTGAATTGATGGATGAGATCATCAGCATCCGGGTAAGGAGATCCAGAGTAGGAAGGGTCAGCAGCTCAACAGCTGCCTGTTAAAGTCTATGATCTTTTCACGGCTCTCCTTTCTTTCAGGTTTATAATTCCCACTCTATGCGGGCAGATAGTCTGATGGGAGAATTTAAGGTGGGTGTCAACAGTGTGTTTCATTCAACTTACATTAAAGGCGGGCACTTTCATAATGAGGAACTGGGTTCCTGGACAGGTCTCAGGATGTCCATCTTGGTGACATCTTAAGGTTATTTGTGAGGGATTGATGTCATAATCCTTGCTGAGGGCTGGAATGCCAGCCGAACATGCATGCCCCAGGGACCAGAAATCAGTTGAGTATGCTCTGGCCTGGGTCTGTTGACTTCCATGTAAGCACTTTCAGTACCCAAATGCCTGGAAAATGCCGGGAAGAGCTGTGCATCATAGTCTTGGCCTTCCCCCCAGGGAATGGAAACCAATGCACCACTCCAGAGGGGAAGGGTGCTTGACTGTGGCAAGAAACATCACTTACTAGGGTCACATACTAGGGAGCTCCATCTCCCAAACCAATTATTACATATCTGATGCATGAAAGGCAAGCCAAACCAGGGGAAAAACTTGGGGTGCTTTTCCAAGTGACTTACGTTGGGATTTAAAGCAAGAGTTTAGTTGGTACCTTCGCAGCTATTCCACATAAATGGACTGCTGCTCACAGAAGGAGCTCCCAGTGGTTAGAAGTCCTAGAGAATGATCTAGGGCAGATTAACATGTGCTCATACCCCATCTGCCACCAGGTGGCCACTGTCAACCTCTCTGATCCTTAGTTCCTATAGATCTTCATTTGTAAAATGGGGTCATTGTGAAGACAAATAGAGATAGAATATATAGAGCATCTAGCACAGCACTTAGCCCAATTCATGGTTATATTAACACTGGCATTAGCATTAGTAGGAGGAGAAGAAGAGGAGTATTAGATAGGAAATTGTACCAGTGACTTCCGGTAGAGTAATCAATTCCAGATTTGTCTGGGACTGAGGAGTTTCACAGAATGTGAGACTGTCTGTGCTACTGGAAATGTTCTTAGGCAAGCTGGGACACCTACTTTCATTGCTCCTTCCAGCTCTATGACTGACTCACTCATTCAATATGATTCTTTGGGAGTCTTCTATGTGCCACATGCCAGGCAAGGTGTTGGGGATACAGAGAGGATAAGATGGAAATATTTGGTCTCAAAGAAATTTAAGTCTAGTCAAGAGTTTTATATGATAATGATGATTTCTTTAAAGTGACTAAACTGGGGCCTCCCCGGTGGCACAGTGGTTGAGTGCTGGGTTGCGAAGCTGCCCGCAGCCTCTGCAGCAACGGTTTGATCCCTGGCCGCCGGGTGAGGGTCCCGCATGGCCCTCAGACCTCTCCTGCTGCTCCCTGATCCCCTCAGCAGTGTGCTACCATCACTCTGCCTGTTCTGCTCTCCGCTCTGGCTCTGGTGAATTCTCTCGCCCTCCCGCGCTTCTGACTGTACCCAGTGCTTGTATAAATAAATAAATCAATCCTTAAAATAAATAAATAAATAGATAGATAGATAGATAAATAAATAAATAAAGTGACTAAGCTGATTGTAAAATCTACCTAAACTACTTTCAATTATTTTTCCCAGATTGATGTTGGATTCGTTTATGATGAACCTGGTAAGTGATACTCTCCCCATGAATGTGTTGCTTCAGGGAATCAAGAAAATTGGGGCATCAAGGCATCAAAAAAAGTTTCTTCTTTCTTCATTGAAGAGGGAGAAGGATACTTAGCAGGACTGAAGATCATTAGTTTAGTATGGATGTCTGTTTTTTTAATCTGACGGTAATTATCCTAACACTCATAAATAGGTCATTTCTCTGTTTTGTGAGAATATTTTGATTTTATCAAAATCAAATTATAAAGCCAGTTAGAACTTAGAGGGTCTTGTTTGAGTGACAGCGGGGCATGAATAAGAAGTAGGGAATGGGGTCAGTGCAAAGCCGAAGACTTTAACATACCTGAGAAATTTGGTGCAGCATGAAGAGACTTGGGAGGAAATGCTGGTTTACCCGAGAGCAGGTGAAATCACAGACCTGTCAGTGTTTCTTTCCTTGGACTTTATTTCAGGCCATGCTGTAATGAGGAAATGGCTTCTTCTCAATGACCCTGAAGATACCAGCTCGGGTGCTAAAGGTTACATGAAAGTCAGCATGTTTGTCCTAGGAACCGGAGATGAACCCCCTGTAAGCCCCCACTTTCTCTATCACTTTCTAATTTTTTTTTTTTCACTAAAGAAGAGGACCTAGAGTTGAGCAAGTAGGAGGAAGTAGCTGTGAAATGGTGAAGTTTCCAATCAATAGCTCTAACCCTCCAATTCCTCCTAGTTCCACCCCTTCCTGGTGTATCTAAATAGGCATTTCACCCAGTAAAGATATGTGTTTTAAGGCTTCCTTGCATCATTTAATCTACAAAGCATGGCTCATTTGCCAAGTCAGATATTGCTCTACAGAAGGGTAGTTGTCATTTTAGGAAACTGGGTGGCAAACTGGGAAATAGTAAGTGACCAGAGAGCAATCAGAAGGACTTCAAGAAGGCTCTCTTTGTCTACTACTTAGTGCTCAAAATCATGAAAGGTCACATCATTCTCTTGTGATGTATTGATTGAAGAGAAATGTGACTTTTGATTGTGTTAAGCACTTTTGAGGCTGATTTGGTGGCTGATTTCTTAAACCCGAAACACAGGAATTCCTAACATAAATAGTTCACATTGGTTTTATTTTATGAGTATTGATTTCACTTCTTACAAGGACCGCTTTTCCATGTATATAATTTGTAATCCTATGTCCCCAATAGCCTGAGAAACGAGATCGTGATGACAGTGACGATGTGGAAAGTAATTTGTTACTCCCAGCTGGCATCGCCCTCCGCTGGGTGACCTTCTTGCTGAAAATCTACCGAGCAGAGGACATCCCCCAAAGTAGGTATTGATTTAATCCTGTCAGGATGACCTGCATGATTAGAAGTGTTAAAGTCATACTCCAAATTGTGTCTGGTGTTTCCAATCAAGTGTCTTTCTTCTAAAAGTCCTGCATGCATTTGTTTTCATACATTCTGGCCCCACTGAGAACTACCTGGGCAGGTGCATGGGGCAAGACCATTGGACACCAAGCCATGTTCCTTATTTCACCTTTGGCCCATTCTGCTCTAATCCTTCTTTCTTCAGTTCTACATCTTCTCCTTATGATAGAGAATACTGAAGAGAGGCCAGCAGTCTGCACTCCCAACTCCTTTCATCCCAATTGAAAATGTGAAGTGTTACAAAGAAATAAATGTGTTCACTATCAGATTATTAAGGATGGCTATGCAAAGGGTAGTTACTTACCAGTAATAGAAGTCTGTCACTAGTATGTGTATTAAAAGATTGGGTGCATTTAAGAGAATCACTTATGGTGATTCTATTCATAGAAACTCATACAGTTAGTCCTTTGTCATGCCAAGGACCCAGCATCCTTGTGCCTTGCCCATATATCTGCTTCCTGCTGAACTCTGGGACACCCTCTGCAGGTCCCCCAGAGATAGCACTCGCTTTACAAACTATGGATCTCTTTACGATGTGCTACTTTTCCGGGTAACCTCCCTTGCTTTCTTAAGATCCTATGATGCCTCCCATCCTATCTTTCCCTCTGAAATGTCTTAAATGAAGTAAATTCATTAAGCCTCACCTTAAATTGCTATCCTGATATAATTGATCTTTATTCCATTTTGAGTTTTATAGCAGAAAGACATGCTATTTGCAGTTGGTTAAATGTATTATGTTGAATTTCTCTGAAGGTACAATCATTTCAGCTGACAGTATCTTTCCAAACTGAAACCGGGCCTGAGTTTGAGAATTGCCTTTACCTTATCTGGGTCAACTTTTCTGCATTATACTTTTTGTATTGATTTTCAACACTGTAATTTATCAATTTATTTTTCAAGGTGCTCTTTCTTTTTAAAACTTTGAGGGGAAGAACACATTTTCTCTCAACAAAGACAAGAAGGATTTCTACAACATAATGCTATCAGTGTTTGCCACTTTTGACAACAATTCTTGTTACAATTGTCTTTTTCTTGTACAGGAGAATCTTGCTGAGTGATAATGCTTCTTTTCAGAAAATTTAATTTCTACTGTGTGACATTTTGTGTTACAGTGGATGATGCCTTCTCACAGACAGTGAAGGAAATATTTGGAGGCAATGCAGATAAGAAAAACCTAGTGGATCCTTTTGTAGAAGTTTCCTTTGCTGGAAAAAAGGTTTGTACGTGATCTAAATGTAGATGCCTCCAGAAATAAATATTTAAGCCTTTGTGCTTTCCTTGGCATGAATTCCTGCTTATTCTTTGTTAAAGTAGCCCCCTGATGAGCAGGGCACTCTGCAGGAACACAGATTATCTGAGTCTGAACACGCCAGACTTCTCCACGGGTGTATTTTGGAGTGGAAAGTATGCAGGACTCAAATTAGAAAATTCATCTTTTGGAAGATTAGCTACCACTGAAATATTTGGATTATGCCCCAGGACCAAACATTATCTTAATCTTAGGCAAGCTGGTAGCCAGCAATAGTAATCCCTGACAAATGCCATAGAGCATAGCCCCCCAGGGTGAGCTGCCCACCTTGGTGTTTCTCAGCCTCTCAGGCCCCGCCCTGCTGCTGACACTGGGTAGTCAGGCAGAGGAGCCCTGTCCCAATCCTCTGGGAACAGCTAGAGGACTCTTGGTGTGAGAAGACTTGTAACCACCACTTTTACTTAAAAAGATGGTCAAATATTCCATAGTAAAATAATAGCATACCATGGGCAGCTGTGAACATGCAGAATTAGCATCTTCTGTTTTCTTGAACCATTTATTTATGAAAATGAGATTTGTAAAAACATACACATACACAGACATGAACCAGTCTTGTTTCCTAAAACAGTCTTGGGCAGGGAGGGGAAGGTTGGAAGAGCCCTAAGTTCTACAGTAGAGTAAGATTTAAATTTAGACTTCACCCCACTCCATAGACAGCTAAGGAAAATTCTTTAACCTCCTAGTTTCAATTTCCTAAACTAAAAATGTAGGTAATAAAACTCTCATAGCACTGGTGAAAGGGCTAGTTAATTCAGGAAATAATTATTGTGAGTCTACAAAATATCAGATACTGTCCTATGTGCTTGGGTCACAGAAGTGACCAAGACAGTCATTATTCTCATGGAGTGTACTTTGTAGTGGAAGTGATGACAATAAACAACCCAACAGAAATGGATAATGTCAGATAATGCTAAATTCTGTGCAGAAAATAAAACAGGGGACTTGTATGGTGATTGGTGCAGAGATTTGGGGTTCACTAGATTATCAGTGGAACACTTTTGAAGAAGTGACATTTGAGCAGAGGCCTGGAGAATGCAGAGATCTGAACATCAGAGATTTCCAGGCAGGTGTATCAGCCCCAAGAAGGAAACACATTTGCAGTGTGGGGATGCCCAGGTGGCTGGAGTGTGGTGAGCAAGAGAAAAAACTAGGATGAGCTCAGAGAGATGTGGGCAGCAGGTCAGAGAGGGCTTTAGAGCCACAGTAGGTATCTGGAGGAAGAGTACTTGGGGACCACACTGACCACACCACACAGGGGACGGACATCCAATAAGGAGGTGTAGGGGAAGAATAGGAATCCCAAAAAGTCAGCTACAGGTGTCTTAGGGGAATCAGGATCTGCTTGAGGCAGGGATGCCAGGATTTACTAATGGGTTGAGTGAGGCTTATGAGAGAGAAGGTGTGGTGGCTGACTCTGGTTCCAAGCTTGAACACCCTCCCGCAAAGCGATGGAAATACTAAAATGGGATCTAGTTTGGGGAGCACAGATTGGTGGCAGAATCAAAAAATCTGTTTGAGCCTGTTAATGAAGAGATGTTTCTTAGACAGTTAGTAGTAAATGCTCAGTAAACACAAACTCGCCTCGTTGCTCTAATCCAATGTTGACAACTGACTTTTAGCATATAGTAACAAAGGTCAATCTTCACTCATGCCATATTTTTCCAAATCAGTAGCAAGAAGAATAAACTAGGCCACTAGTATATAATGTGTAAGTAAATTGCAGAATCATAGCCAATATGCATGTATTGTGGACTTTCAGAGACAGAAACTTGAATGCCCACTGTTTTGTTTTGCTGATTTTACAGGTTTGCACAAATATAATTGAGAAAAACGCAAACCCCGAGTGGAATCAAATTGTTAATCTTCAGATCAAGGTTTGACTTTTTTTTTTTTTCCCCCCCAGAAAAAGTAAGAATACTTAATAGTTACTGGATTAAGTTGAAAAATAAATACTTTTTTCTGTTTTTTTTTAACAGTTTCCTTCAGTGTGTGAAAAAATAAAACTAACCATATATGACTGGTGAGTTAAAAATAGACTTACATTAATTCAAAATGAAAGAATTAAACATTTGGATATTGAAGAACGTTACTCTTGATGGCCTGACTCCTGCCTTTCAATATATTTACATTTCTTTCAGAGGGAGGAGATAAATTGCTCCTGGAATTGGATGTTTTCCTTTAAAACATTAATAATGATATTATTGCAGAAAATGTTCAGATATCTTGGTGTAATTGCTCATAAATAATAGAAGGGGAAAATAATCTGAAAATGCCCCAAGATAAGAAATAATAGATTTAAATGCTACTGTGCTCAGAAATAGAGTAAATCATTTCTTGGGAAGAACCACCAAAACATTCTAAGAGCTAGTCTCTGTTATTGTTAGAAAGGAAAATGGACAAAGCTACTTATCTGATTAAATACAAAATAAGTTCATTGAAAAGTTCTGATAGGATTTTAACTTGACCAACCTTCCAACAATGTTTGGCCACAGTGAGATTATTTTTGGATATGTTCTAGTTGCATGGGGCATTCATTCAACTGACAGCTTCTTGAGAGTAGAAATTGCAAATATCATCATTACACCATCATCACCACCACCACCCAGTGTTTATTGTAATATTAGTTAACATTGTTTTGAGTACTATGTGCTGTGCCTTATCTATATTATTCCAGTTAGAGACTCTCTAAGATAACCACAGAAAAATACACAAAGTTGCATATACTTGTAATGCGAAAACTTGTTTCTACTATATTTAGGTAAGATTTAGGCTCTAGAAAGACTTCAATTAAAAAAATAGCACTTATTATTCAGTAGCTGCACAATAAATATTTAAATTCAGTTGGAAGGGAATTTTTCTCCCTATGAAGGACCCTTAGATGTAGCCCATTGGAGTTGTTAAACCATCCTGGTAATTAGTATGAACATGACAAAATAAGATATGAATAAATATGCTGTGTGACTATGTTACATCAATCATGTCATGTGCCTGTAACTGATTCATCCATTTGTGACAATCATCTGAATATGGTCATAGGCAAATCCCTTGACCTTTCAGTTTCCATAGCTGAAATGAATTGTCTGATTAGATCAATGTTTCTTGAAGGGTAGCAGGAGGACCACCAGCATCAGGATCTGTTGAAGTGTATATGTTGTAAATGTTCTTGTTCTCCACCTCTGCTTTTATTGAATCAAAGCTTGGATCACAAATGAGAGTATGGAGTTTCAAAGTGATTTTTAAATACAGGATAGCTGTCGGCCCACTAGACAGGATGATTTCTGAAGCCTGGGTCTTTACCAATTCTCTTAATTGTTGTTGAAATGAACATAAATCCTTAGAGGTGGAGGCCTTAACCTGTTCTTTTACACAGGGACCGTCTTACCAAAAACGATGTTGTTGGAACAACATATCTACACCTTTCTAAAATTGCTGCCTCTGGTGGGGAAGTGGAAGGTAAGTCACTTAGTTCAGCTGGAACAAGACAAAGCACAGAACTTGCTGAGAAGGAATGAACTGAGATAGCCTCTGGGAACAGATTCTTGGTTCCTTAAAAAACAAAGGTGATGAGCGTAATAAACCATTTCAGTAATGTTTTAGTGATGACTAACAAAACAATTAGTAATTAATAATTGAGGCAGTCAACAGATTGAAGAACTTAGCTCTCTTGCTCCCATCCAAAACTCTTCCCTTTTAGCTGTTTTATAATTGGACCTTATTTTTAGAGTGACATTGACTCAAGTCTACCCAAATATAAAATAAAATTCCCTTCTCAGCTACTTCCTTGACAGGAACAAGGAGGTCAGGTGGCAATAAATCACATAATCTCCACTCTCTAAGATAATGTATATTTTGTTTTCATGCTAATAAGCATTGATCACAAATACACATTGCATTTGTTATTTTCCGTACAACTTGCCTACACCTGGGCTACATTAGAAATTGTCATAGGAAGTAAAGGAGATGAATCCTGATAGTAAGATAAAAAATTAAATATTAACAAGCAATAGCTTATTTTTGTTGCCAAAACTTCTTGTAATTTTAGCAATAAATTTAAACATATTGAACCAAAATGAAAATGCATACATTGTGCAAAAATGAAAAATGATGTAAGAATTATATAAAATAAAATATTTTTTAAAAATTTAAACATATTGAGTAAATGAGAAAATTTGAGACAAAATATTGTCTTGGGAGACTCAAGCTTCCTCTCATCCTTATATTGTTCAAGAGGGGAATTTATAGATTGAAAAAAATATTATTAGTCCCAGCATTAAAAAGAAACTGGAAGACACTAGGGATAGGATGAAAAAGACATAGATTTCTCCTCTCAAGAAAAGGCAATTAGAAATTCCACAAAAAAATAAAATGCTGAACAAAGGAATAGTCCAAATATAAAATCATGTGTGGCATTATGTTCAGCAAGAGATTCCATCTGAACATTATCTGCTGCAGGCACAGGGGTAGTTGCTGAGGGCATTCTACTGTAATCCCACAATTTTTCACCACAAAGAACAATATTTATATGGTTGCTATAATATAAACATGATTTTTAAAATTTATTTTTGCACCCATAGCCAAAATTCTGAATAGAATATAAATGTCATTGCCCATTACATTGTAAAAGTACAAAAGACAGAGTTAAAAGGAGGAAGTGGATTAAAGAGTAAGGATGGATGTAATGGTGGCCTCTTTTTATAAGTGAGGGAACCAGATATAAAGACTAAATTAATTCATAAAGATAACAGTAGTTAAAAATCATTCTATAAATGTATATTTTTATATATAAAATATATTATACATATATATTATAGATAACAGAAAGATAAAGAAGCAGACAACATGGACATAGATCTATTTATCATTAACAGGAAATCCTTAAATAATTATCTAAAGATAATCGTTCAGGACATAGTGGTATGTCTTTTTCCTAGTGAATGGAGGTGACATTCAGAAGAACTAATAGCAGAAATTGCTATGAGTAGTTTCAGCCCCTGTGTCTGGGGTATTCTGTCATTGCAGGCCCTGCAGAAAGTCTGTAACAGGGTCTCAAAATAATGAGGACAGGCATCCCCTCAAGAAACAAGGAATGTGCTAGATACTGCAAGCCTTTGCTTACACAGCTTCAGACTAAGTTAACTTGAATTTTCTGCCTTTGTCCCAACTGAATCAGACATCAGGCAAGTTCAATGTTCTATTAAAAACAGATGTCACTAGGCCTCCTTTGACTATGAGAAATCAGCTCTTCTCAAATGCTTTGCTGGCCTGGGGCTGGTGAAATTAGATTGTCTCACGTGTAGTGGTTCTGCCAGTTGTCGCAAAGCTTTGAGCCATTTTGCATTTAGCCTGTGGTATTTGTGTAAACTAAAAAAAAGTGTCGTCTGGCTTAAGTCTGAACTGGGGATTTTTCTCATGTTGCTAAACCACTTACCTAGCATTGGATTTTTTTTAACTTTTTTAATGTCTCCATAATACCCGTATTTCTCTTGTTGTTTAACCAGTTGTATTTTTACTATATAGATTTCTCATCTTCGGGAACTGGGGCTGGATCGTATACAGGTTTTTGCTTTGTAATTTTACTATCTTCTAGATCTTCCAATCTATTACTATCTTACTAATAAAATGTCAGTTGATAGCCAGTAGAACCCTTTTGCTTTTACATTTTGCTGTCTCAAAAGTAGTTTTATTTGACTAATAATTTTTGTTTTAGTGCTGTCTGTTCTCCTGCATGGCTAAACTTAAAACTAAGGCTTTGCCACACAGCTGAGTGCCAGTCTGTTTGCCTTCATTGTTAAAATGTAACATTTTGTTGTTATTGTTTATATTCAGTAGGTAGAGATTTGGGGCATTCCATCAATTGTCCTAAGTGTTTGAAATCACTTGCCCCCACTTTCAGTATGGCCTTCTAGGTGGGAAGACACTGGATGTTCTCCACTTGATATCCTGAAAGTCTTCATCTTCTAAATACAAAGGCTGCTAACATAACCTTTGGTTTGCACAGCACTCGCCATTCTTTGCAAGTTTGCTCATTGTTCTCACACTTGACTTCACAACTCTCCTAAGACATCGGATGCTATTGTCCCCCTAATAAATGAAGGTGCTGAGCTCTAGAGAGGTTCATCATCATTCAGATAGGTGTGATAATCCCTGCCATGCCAGTGATTAGAGAGGGAAAGAGGTATAGGGAGGGGGTAAGGGGATATTACACGGGAAAACTTTGCAAACTGCAGCTCTGTTTCAATATAAGGCATTACCATCTGCTTCTATATTATTGGCACAATGCCCCATACTTATATTTGAAAAGCAACCTCATTATCTCATAAATAGACTAAATGAATATTAAAAAGTCTTTAGGTTTACAATGAACCTGGGAGATTTGGTAATACTTCATTCCTTCATTCATTTGTTCAAGTATCCAGCTAGTAGTTATCTCATAATACTCCATGATAGAACCAGTACTATGTGTTTAAAGCATCAAAATAAAACATGCCTGAATCCAGATCCTCCACCAAAGGAATTTATAATATAGTCACAGAGACAAGCATCTATTTAAAGTTCAAAAATAAATTATAAACAAGTTAGAGATGTCCAAAATGTAAGGGAGCTGCTGAGAAGTGAAGGAGGTGTAAAAATATTGTTTGAAAAGTGGGTTGTGGCTAGGTTAAATCTTAATGGCCAAGCTAAAGAATTTTTGTTTTATTTTGGGCAGGCCTTTAAGGAAGGGCATTCAGTGAGGTAGAACTGGACAAAGGAATTAATGGATGGTATAGTGGAAAGTGCACTTGTTTGAACTATGAAATTAAAGATCTGAGCCTAAATCTATTAGCTTGAGGGACCTTTGCCAAATCACATGATTTCTGTGGCTGCCATTTGTCCATAATGTGACATAATTAAATGTGAGAGTTTTCATGTCCAAGCTTACTTGAATATTCTGTAATTCATCTTCTAGAAATGATTTCCTTCTCTTACTATGGATCTCTGTTTTAATCCTCTATTCCCACCAGATACCTTCCCTTCACACCAAAAAATTCTAGCACAAAAAGGCTATAAACCCTGCTTCTAACTGATCAGTTAACTTTGTAATATTCCCTCAGGCAGAGCAGATGAAACCATACCAATTCATATGTTCAGAAATAACAGTCATTCTTTTCATCAGGCTCGCTTGGTAAAATGGTAACATGAGTCAGAGAAATCTCTGTTAGAAAAACTCTTGTTCCCTATTTAGATTTCACAAGAGATTTCCAAACAGTTGGGAAACGTAGCACCTCAGGGTGTTACCAAGTCCCATCACAGGCTGTCAGATTTAGCTTTCTTACATTTTAATTTAAATGTTTCTTTGCCCAGTTTTTGTCACTGAGATTGTAGTTCTGCCAATATCTGCCTGTATGCGTGGTTCTTGCCGCTCTGTGAAATGCCCCAGCCCATCTACACCTGCAGGAAAGCTTCATATAATGAAAAAAATGGCAAAATACAAGTCCATGCAGTTTTGTTAGCTGTTTTTTAATGAGCATCCTGCTCACCTGCTATTCCACATTTGCCTTTTACTCTTAGTGGTAAACATAGAGTTGGAAAGGGCCACAGAGGTGGCCTGGCCACTCTCTCCTCCTTAGCAGGAATTGTCCTGATGACATCTGAAAGACAGGCTGAATATTGGCATCAACATTTCTTCTGTCCCATTGTCTGACACCTCTAATTCATAGAAAGATCTTTTTTTGTACTGAATGAACCAAAGTTAACTTCCTATAACTCCCACCAGGTATACCCATCCCTCTTCCACCTGGGAGCCATTCAGATGGTTGGAAGAGCTTGCATATCTGCCCATTCACCCAGAATCCCTGTAGGCTCTGCCTTTCCTCAATGTCCCCCATTAGAAAATAGTCTGGCTAAGACCAGGTAGCAAAAGTCCAGAGCATAGTTACATGCTCATGAGGCATAGAAGGCCATGAATTGGGACATCATGTTGTTTATGAACCTCACGTGGTCTTATAACCATAGGCGGGCTGTTCATTTAACTGTTCATTTAAAATGTTTAAATGTCTTGTATTTTTAACATCTGCCAGATTTATACTAACTACTTGAGACTAAAGGACATTTTGGGGGTAAGAATTCTTAATCTAATATATATCATTTAAATTACTTCCCAAATAATACAATATTTTATCCCAGTTACAAATGACATGTTTATTATAATGACAATTATAAACTTGCAAAAAATGTGACGATCAACTTGAAAGTCTTATTCTTACATTTGTGTAGTATTATATTTCTGTAATAATCACATAATCTTCCCTGAACTAACTCTAACAGGTTTTTAATTTAATGTTTTGTAGCAGTAAGAAAAGAGAACTATGGCAAGTCTCACAAATGCTTATTGTGTGCACTAATAAAACTAACTCACAAATTGGAAGAAAATAGTCTCACTCAACTAATTAATAACTACCATTTCTTTCAAAAGATTGAGTGTTAAAAGTCTAAAATCTAAAAAGCATGTTATTTCTCAGCAAACACAGGAGAAACAGAGGTGGGTTTTGTCCCAACATTCGGCCCTTGTTATCTGAATCTTTATGGAAGCCCCAGAGAGTACACAGGATTCCCGGATCCCTATGATGAACTAAACACTGGAAAGGTTAGTTTCTCAATTGAGATTTTTTTGCTAATGAGCACTGATTAAATGTGATTCCTTCTTATAATGACTATATCTAAATCTCACATATAGGGGAATCCCCCAAATACACACAAAAACATATGACTGATGAAATTTGAAGGATAGAACTCTCATACTCCTTGAGTTTTAGAATACAAGAATAGGAAAGTGTCTAGGAGATCAACAGATTTGGTGGTTTGTGCTTGTGTAACGGCACCTGTATTTAAGGCAGGTGTCATTAGTCCATGCTGGCTCTTTCTTAATAAGCATTTGTGCTCTTCAGTGCCATGTTCCAGAAATTTGCCAAAAGATTAGAGGTGATATGGATGAGGACATGGAGACCCTGAGATGGGAAGTCCTTTTTCCACCACATTAAAAGTCAAACTAATGTTTTTAAAATTTATCTCCCAAAGGCCAATCCTGGCTAAATAAAAAAGGAACCAAGGTAGAGAGAAAAAGTCATGGATGGGGGAAGGCAGAGAACTGGTTGTAGAGGTGGAAGCTTTCTCTTCCTCTCTAGAAGATTCTCTTGCCAACACTGCTGAGTGTGTTGGGAGGAGTATTCACTATTCATCTTCATGCTCAGCCACACCCAGAACAGCTTCCTCTTTTACACCCCGTCACTCTGAGACTTGCTCTAGTTGTTCACATGGCAGCCTTCCTATTCTGAGGAGAGGTGAAAATAAGCCAGGTTAACACAGATACACACAGAGCTCCTGTGCAGAAGGGTAGAGTAGTTTTAGAGTCCCTCCTACCTCCACCCCCTGCCTCTGAGAATCCCTTCCAGATTCAGAGCTTGACTTAAAAGCCTCTAATCTCAGTCTTGGCCAAATCCTTTCATCTCTGACTCCTCAGCTCTCTTTGGGTGCTTCTCAAAGTATTGGCTCTTCATTCAGATACTAAAGACCTGAATCCAGCAGGGGGGCGGGTGGGGTAGGTCCACAGGAAGGAGAAACTTTTTATAGCTGGATTAAAGACAGAGTTCTTTTTGCTGTTGTCTAAAACTAGATGAACATCTTGTGTTGTCTTTCAGGGAGAAGGAGTTGCCTACAGAGGCAGAATCTTGGTTGAATTAAGCACTTTTCTTGAAAAGACACCACCAGATAAAAAGCTTGAGCCCATTTCAAGTGATGACCTGCTGGTTGTTGAGGTAAATATTGACATGTGGATAAGACTTGGTATAGAAAAGGGTGTCTTAGGTGGTGGGATGTTTTGTACTGCCCTGGACCTGAAGGAGACATCCAGGAACTGAAGGGTCAGCTATGTCAGAGTTGGGGAGACACCCAAGTCAGAGCAAATGCCCTTTAACTCCCTCTTGATCTATCTAAAAGAGCCTTATGGGGGTGATGATGTTAATGACCTTTTTTTTTTTTCATTTTTCGAGATGTTAATGCCCTGCTGAAAACTGGTAAGAACAGTGATACCCCTAAGCTGTTGGTTAATGAAGATTGGGTGGTCATGGGATATGACCACAGGAGCCAAATGGTGTAGGTGCCACCACTATTCATTTCCATTTTCAGAAGCATGTGGTGTATGTCAGGTTCCCCAGTATGTGCGGGCATGCTTACACAAATGCCCACAGTACATCAACTCTCAGCCCCTATTCCCCCTTGAAGACAGGAGGGATTAGCGAATGTGGGAACTTTCAGCTTACAGTCTATCAGATGTGAGCTCAGCTGACAACCTGGACTTGCAATCAGCATTTGAGGTAGGGCAGTCACATGGGACTAAGCTCCTAATCCGTGAGATCTATGGAATCTCCAGGTAGATAATGTCCATTGAGTTGAGTAGTAGGACACCCACCCCGCTGGAGTTGCAGAGTGACTTGGTGTAAGAAAAAAACCCAAAATCTGGTGGTATAAATATGAGTGTGGTAGCAGCAGCCCATAGCTCCATGGGTACATGAATGCAGAAACCATCATGGCACACACATACTTTACAACAGTCAGACTCAGAGACCATTACACTGAAGGAACTCAAATGCCTTGGCAGTCCAGACCTAAACCTGGAAACATGCAAGTTTCAGAAGTAGAAATGAAAGGACAACAAATGACAAATAGCCAAAGAGGCTTTCCCAAATAAGGTGACCACTTAAGTTACAGTCAATCAAAATATCTTGTCTGTGAAAGTCTTTTCCCAGCTCCTGTGTGGGCTCCCATGTCACAAAGTCTTGTGCTGCCTGATCAATGGGGTGTTTGTTTTAAAAAAACTCTTAGACATTTTAATATGCCTCACTTTATTTTCAACAACACAACACATCCTATTCAGCTGAAAAAGGAAGGAAATTCTGACCCATTTTCGTTACAATATGGCTAATCATTGAGGTTTGATATGAAATAAGACAGTCACACAAAGACAGGTATTTCCTGTCACTAAGCTAAGACACTGTTCAACTCTAAGAGACTGAAAGTAGGAGGAAATAGATACAGGGTTTCTGTTTTACAAAATGAAGGAGTTCGGTGGATGTCTGGTGCTGATGGAGGTGCAGCAATGTGAAGGTACTTGCTACTGCTAACCAATAGACTTCAGTGGTTAATGTGTTGCACTTTATGTTTTGTGTGTTCTACAATTTTTAAAAGGAAGTTTTGAAATGGTGGTCTGAGTACTTCTGTAAATGAATGACCACATTCTATTTTTTTTTTTTTTTTGGGACCCTCACTGGCCGCCGGGGAACGAACCGGCGCTGCAGAGGCTGTGGGCAGCCTCGTAGCTCAGCGCTCAACCGCTGCGCCACCAGAGGAGGCCCATGAATGACCACATTCTGTGTCATGTCAGAAGACCCAACAGTGATTGTGATTTATTTTATAGATTTATTATATAGTATAGGTCCATGATATGAATAAATAATGAAGGAAAGGAAATTCAGTTAATAAACATCCTAAAGGGATTAAGTAATTTTTATGAGCATCTTAGTCATTTTACTCCTTAGATTGTGGTACACAAATTGGTGTAAAAACAATGGAAAACAAATACAACAACAACGAAATCAACATATACCAAAGTCTGAGATCTCTGTGGCCTCCAAATCTGAAACTGATGGACTGTAGAGTGGGGAGTTCTTTCTCTGGGAGCTTTTGAACTAAACTTGCTATGGTGAGAAATTTGTCAAGCAATTTGAGTATCATCAAATTGAATATGGGTCTCACACATTTACCAATTGAGCACATAGGCCAAGTATCTACCCTATAGCAGTCACTTATGTTCTCACCCAAGCATTCACAGAGACTGTGAACCATTGGGTTACCAATGGATACTGAACAGACTCGATGTGGGCAACATTAAATGGCAGAATGCTTAGTACAAAATGACAAGCTTAAACCATTGCTTGTCACTACATGACTGAAGAAGCCAGGGTACCCAAAGATCAGTAGGGAGATGACATACAAAGAAAGAGACATATTATCTGAGCAAAATTTGGAACAGGGTATGGATTCAAGAAATTTTATGGGCCCAAATGAAGGAGGCCTAAAGGGCCATTTCCGCTGAGCTGGTAGATCCTCAGCGTGGTGGTTGTTGCCCTTTGTCATTGTCTCTCACACATATACATTCAGTAAACCTGTAATTAAAAAGAGGAAGAAGCAATGTTTCATTTCTGTTTCAGAAAAATAAGTTCACCTAATTTCACATATTTTTAAGTCTGATAGTAAAAGTGTTTACTATTATAGCTGGTTAAAAAAATAAATACTTAATTCAAGCAGTTAAAATGGATGTTAGGAATACATATAGCCATAATCCCTCAAATTTCCCTAATGTATTGTTAACAATATTTCTATTCTTCCAGACTTTCTTCATGCAGATGCCAATATTAATATGTAAACATATATTTAATGGGTTCATTTAAAAATATATACCTTGTTTCCATATTGCACATATGGATCTACGTAAGTCATTTGATGAATTTTCATTCCATCAACTTACTTTATTTAAGCAGTGCCTATAGAAAGACATTTATATTGTTTTCTTTTTTTTTTCTATTTCAATCAATATTGCAATGATTATCCTGGTACTGCTATCCTTGCCCACTGTTATGAGTATAGGGGGAACTAATAGATCCAAGAAAATTTCCCACTGGCATTTAATTCAGTGCTATTATTGATTTTAGAATAACCCACCAGAAACCCACATGAAATTTATAACAAAAGTAGTTTTACTAACCTTGTTTCTGCTCATACACTGCAGAAATACCAGCGAAGGAGGAAGTACAGCCTGTCTGCTGTGTTCCATTCAGCTACCATGTTGCAAGATGTTGGTGAGGCCATTCAATTTGAAGTCAGCATTGGAAACTATGGCAACAAGTTTGATTCGACCTGTAAGCCTCTGGCATCAACCACTCAGTATAGCCGGGCCATATTTGATGGTAAGATTGACACTAACCATTCCTTTCCTTGTTGACTTACAGTGGGTACACCGCAGGCCAAGACACACGCAGCATATTCTCCTTCTGGCTGCCATTAGCCCCAGCAAATACTTAGTGGGAAGGAAAAGGTTTAATGCTTAAGGTTTAAAGGTGAAGAAAGGTGGTTGGAGAGCAGGCACCTTGGTAACTGATCAGACCAAGAAGTTGTGTGCCCCTTGCCGGGGGTTGAACCCCAGTGCTCTCTGCCCTGCTCCTTTTGCTCTGGCTCTGCTTTGTGGCATCACAAGATTGAGACTTGCTGAACACTGCGTTCCCCTAAACCATACCTGCCTATGCTCACCTCTGTACTACCTGGCCCCAAGTCTTAGACTGAGTCATTGAGGTGAAGGGACTGGAAACCTGGCCAGGCCCTGGAAAATCAAGTGTCTGGTCTTCTGTTTCTCACCAACACGAGGACCTTAGCCACATCTTGATTCTAACCTTCAGTTCCTTCTGTCTTCTCCAGAGTTGCATTGAAAATTATTAAGTGTATCTGACAAATGGTTTGAGAATATTAGAGAAGGAAGGAAGAATTTCTGACCAAATGTCCTGACCGTATTGTCACAGTTTTTAATTAATATTTGCACTAAAAGTTTTAAAATACAAAAAGTATTAAAAATTATTGGCTAATAATTCTTACACATGGTAGGTCTTTAATACCACACCTTGTATTATCAGCTAAAGTTTAAAAAAACACACACAAGAACAACAGTTTTTCTTGCTTCATTTCCAACAGAAGTATTTATTTAAAATAATAGTTTCCAGAGACAAGCACATGCACTCTGACTTCTCAGGTTCCACGTATTTTCTGTAGCCATGTTCTAGAATCATCAGTGATGTTCAGACACACAGTGCTGGATGACTAAAAGATCCAGGGGCTATTGTGCCCCATTCACTAAGGTATTTTGGAGAGATTTTCAAAACAGACTGAGTGATTAAAAATGTTCTGTCTATCCCTATTTGCTTAATTGAATAAAAGTAGAGTCAGACCACCCCCAAGCCATTCTCCAAGCACACCTCTTCAATGAACATGTTCTTTTAGTGTCCCCTGTTCACTGGCCTTCAATGTTCTACACCAGGGAATTACTATTACTACTTGCCTTGGAGCCACACAAAGCCAGTGGTTACCCTGACTTCATACTGGGAGGATATTAGTCATCGCCTGGATGCAGTGAACATTCTGCTAGCTGTAGCAGATCGTCTGGTAAGTTTATCTTTTCTACATTTCCTCTTCACAGAGAAAATTATGCATTAATTAGGATGTAAACGATACCAGTGTAACAATACCTCAGAATACAGTGGTGCGCAGTGTAAGAACTATTTATTTAGTAGCAGCTGAGGTAGGTGTTCCAAGGCTAGTGTGGATTTTCAGTGATGGTGGGACCCAGGCTCTTTCCATCTTGTTGTTCTGCGATCACTGAGGAGGTAACATTTTCTGCTTGGAAGAGGCAGCTCACCACTACTCCCCTGCCAGCTTGAGGGAAGGGGAAATCAGGGAGAGAAGATGACATGGACTTTTCCTTGAAAGGGAAAGACCCAGAAGTCACGCACTGATTTCTACTCACTTTCCATTGGTCAGAATCCAGTCATACAAGCTCATCTCACTACAAAACAGTTGGGAGATGCAGTCTTATGCCTGTGCAGTCATATGGCCAATAAAAGGCCTCTTACTATGGAAGATGTAGGAAGAATATCACAGTGGGGTGTGTGTGGGGGGACAACTCACAGTGTGTGTCACAATTTGTGAAGTATGGAGAATAGGTCACTCCAATAACAATAACATTCCAATAACAATATGGAACACTTTGCTGTTAATGGAGTGAAAATTCTCCACTGTGGGAAGAGGTGGGCTCAAAGGAACCAGTGTCTGATATTTTCCATGTTTGTTGCAAACTTGAACTTTTTTTTGCCAAGCTGTGCTAATTCCGTGCTAATCTGGACAGAATGTTGAGGACTCTTGACTCATAGTGGGCACGCTTTCAATCTCTGTTAGCAAATGCTCTGGGTGACACACACTATATTCTGGGCTTATCTTGTATTTTCCCTGCCCTAGCCCTGAAACTGCCATTTCCCCAAGGAGCCCTGGTGCCTTTTAGTGGGACTGGCATGTAAGAAACAAGACGTGAGTGTTAGATTGCTCACTGCTGCAGAGATGTCTTGCTTCTCAGCAGACAAACTTGCACATACACGCACATGTGCATATATATATTTATTTTTATGTTTATCAAAATACTAAGAGCAAATGAGTTTATTAGGACACCTCCAATTCCATCAGAATGTTACAGGGCTTATTCTAGTCTTGTTTCTGTTTCATAAGTCCCTTTTCCAACAGTGAAAAACCTGGTTTCCATTATCCTTAATATATTTACTCACTTAATCCTAAAATCCATATATTCCACTATGAGAAACAGACCCAATTAGGATTTGCTCTTTCTTTCCTTGAAACAGAGAGAATAGAATCAAAATACTGTTTTTAAAAGTTACTTGTCCTAGTTCAGTATAATTACATTACTCATCTGAAATACAGTTAGACTTATTTGTTTCTGTTCTGTGTTCTATTCTGGGTACTCTGTCCTTACTGATTGTGTTTTATTTACTTTTTAAATATATACATTTTTACATGATTTCAAAGGTCAAAACTATATTAAAGGATTGTCCTGTTATTTAAACATATCAGTGTTGATTGTATTCTGAAGAAAAATAAACAGTGCTGAGTTATGGTAAGCATTACTCAATATAAAAAATTAACCATTGGCTTTTCTGTTATTAAGGCTTTTTGTGTATCTTTTCTTGGAAATAAAAATTAAATCTTTCCTGGGTATAATGGCATAATGCACAATTACCAATCATGTCTTCTCTTTCCAAATTCTTTAGCAATCAAACATAGAGGCTCTAAAATCAGGGATACAAGGTAAAATTCCTGCAAGCTACTTGGCTGAAATGAAGTTGAAGCTGATCGATGACATTATAGAAGACACAAGGTAGTGTGATCTCAGAATTTCCAGCCCTCCTCTGCTCTCTTAAACATAAGAACTCTAAGAGCTTCTAGAATTGTTTGCAATGTTTGCCTGAAAAATGAATTCAAGCTTCTTTAAAGGCCCTCACAGGGAGGAGTCTCTGAATCACCACCAGGAAAAACTCCACTGTGTGATTTAATGCCAATTCTAAAGCAGCCCAGGGAGGCCAGGCGCCCTCTCCAGGAAGCACCGCCCAGGGCTGGCTCAGACCTGGAGTGGAGGAGGAGGGAGGCCGCTGTGTGCCTCTGCTTCCCACCAAGGGCCCTCCCGCCCCTCCCCAGGACAGGCAACTCCTAAGTCTCAGAGGGAATACGATGAGGGCTGGAGCAAGGCTTTCACCACTTCCAGCAAGGTTCCTAATTAATAAATACTTTCATAGAAACAGTCTTTTTACTTGCTCTTTTGCTAAATGCCAAGTGCACATTCTAGCCAAACCTTCCTTCCATGAAGCAAGCACGTGAAATTGACTTGAGCCAGAGAACCTTTCGTAACTGTGACTTGAGGAAACAGCTCAGCTTCGTTGGCCTTTGAAAATCAAAGGGGAAAGTGATTCATTCCAAACATTTTAAATGTTGGCGAATAAAACAGTGGACAGGGAAGCTCCGGAAGAAAAGTATGCTGAATGCTTGCACCAGCAGCGAGAAGCAGGGACTTTTCCACCCTCCCTGCTACTGTCCTAGGTCTTCCTGTCTTCTAGTGCCTCCTAGTGGCTTATCCAGGTAATAGAGATTGAGGTACTGCTGGGCTCCTGCTTAAGTTCAGACTGGAAATCTGAGTACTAAGAGGTCGCCTTTTCCGGTGGCCTTATTTTATAGATGAGAAAACCGAGGCCCATGGAGTTGAAATGATGATCTGATGTCCAAGTCTGGTGGGTTTACAAGCCTGTGCCTCCTCTTCCTGTTACTAATCCCACAGTGTCAGCATCTTTTTATTGAAGTCATGTGTGACTTTTGAGCAATTTTTGCCTCAAGAATCATTCCAGGGACTTACCCCTTCATATACATTGCCATGATCACTAACGCAACCCAGCAGAAACCTTTGGTGATACCTTTGACATAGAAAATGTTTGTGCATTTTAAGGTTTGCTGAGCAACATGCAGACATATCTCTTAGATTATTTTTGAAAATCAGTTTTCAAAGAATCAAGTTGATGGAAATTGTTTTTAAGGGATTAAATTGGGATCTTTTTAATATCATGTAATATATCTTTTTAATATCATGTAATTTGTGTTTAAGGGAAATCATGCTAGGATTTCCTTCACTTAAGAAGCTGGGTAGAATTCAACAAATGGAAATTCTAAGGAGACACAATGTGTGTAGAACTTGCTAGAATTGGTGCAGCCTCCCTCTGTGGCACCAACAGCCATGGTGACAGGGAGGCCGTGGCAGATGGAGGCTACTTCTCCTGCTGCCTGTTTTAGACTTCTCATTTTGAACAGGTCCTTGGCCTCCACAAATGGCCCTTAGCCTTTTGGGAACTCTTGGCCCCTTTGAATATCCGATGAAACAATGACAGTGATGAAGATGATAAGAGACAGTGATGGCAATGTTATTTAGACTTTACTATGCCACAGGCGTTGCTCTAAATGCTTTTCATATATTAATTCATTTACTCCTGATAACATCCTGAAAAGGTAGGTATTTTTTTCCCCACATTGAAGAAAGGAAAACTAGAGATTAAGTAACTGATCAAGATCACAGGGTCAGTAAATGGTGGAAGCTGATTCTGTACACAGACGTCAGCTCCAAAGCCTGTGTCCCTTGTTATGTCACGCTGCTTCCCAGCACAGGCATCCTTTGTCTTTATGAAATCCACGCATTCACGAGCCTGCTGGAGAGTCTACTTCAGGTGGTGGTACCTAAATCAAGAACACTTTAGCTAAGTCATCTCTAACTTCTCTTCCTTCTTTCTCTATCATTTGATGGGTCCATATGGTCATTATATAAAGCAATAGAAGGGAGCCAGTTTATTTCAAGTGCTACTACTGTTTGCATCTTCATTCCATTGACTCCATAGTCTTCAGTCAAGCCCAAGGAATTGCTTTGGAATTTTAACCCCCTCCTCTTTGTTTAGTGTTTTTTAACCCCCTCCTCTTTGTTTAGTGTTTTTTTTTTTTTTGGGGGGGGGAGTATTTTTAAATTATTTTTGTGTTTTCTTTTTATTGAAGTGGCATTGCATTATAACATTCTATAAGCCTCACATGTACTTTGTGGAGAGTCAGCATGTGAATATACTATATTAAGCTCACTGTGGGGCATCCTGCCTTCCTCCTGCAAGTTAGTCTGGCAGTTCTGCTCTGTCAAGGCCAGACAACTTCACTCAACTTCCGCTTAGACCCAGCCATCCTTATGGAGTCGACTGGGAAACTGGTGTGGTTGGCAAGATGGAAAGCAAACAAAAATGAATTTGACAATTCTGAAGCCTAAAAAGCTATTTTTAAAATTGTTTCTTTCTTTAGATGTGCTTTGCCTCTCCCGGAAGGAAAACCTAACATCACAGTACTTGATACTCAGATCCAAAAGTTGCGATCCAGAGCCCTCTGTCAGATACAAGCAGCAGCCGTGAGGATGAAGTCTGAGCCCACGGAGATCAAGTCTGCGTTGCTGGAGATGGAGGACTGGCTCGACAGGTTAATGCAGCTGACCGAAGAGGTAGGACCTTTAAGGGCACAGAGGTCACTTGATGTGGAGGTGGGATCCTGGGGAACAGCCCCCCAGGGTGGAGGTGCTAGGAGGAAGGGCTAGTACATCATTTGCATACTGAGCAGACCTAATACATGAGGGACCAGTGATTTTGGGGGTTAGGGTGCTAATGAGTCATGGGAGGAATGTCACTGAAGTCAGGGCAAGAGAAGAATTTTGGGTGGGTGGTGCTGGGATGGTCTTCAAAGTGGACAAACCAAGCAGCAGGTCTCTGTAGTACTGTGCGGTACAGAGGATTAAGATGCCACCCTTGGTTGATATTGAAAAGACCTGATTTTGAATCCTGGACCTATTATGTTTAACTTTGAGCAAGGTATTCAACCTCTCTAAACCTGTTTCCCCTTATGTAAAATAAAGATAAATGTAGTACCTACTTCACAGTATTGTTGTGTGAAGATTAAAGAAGATGATGGGTGTAAAGAGCTTAGCACAGTGCAGGGCACACAGCAAAAATAAGGAAATGGGAGATCCCCCCTCTTGCCTTGCAGAGATAGGAGAGGGGTACGGGGTGGGGATTAATATATTTGTGGATAGAAATGAATTTGAAAAATAATATTTAATTACAGCTGATATTTATTTTTTACTTTCTATACCTTGACACTTTCAAAGCTTTTACCTTTATAATCAGGAAAAAAAGTGTTCTTAAAAAATGAAATATTTTGGATTTGGAAAATATCAGATTGTAAGATGGAGATGCTCTGTCTGTGTCCTATGAAACATCTTGAATACTGTTGATGACTCTCTTCAAACAATAGACAAGAAAACAGAGGGTATTTCCTTAAAGACCAGGCAGAGCCTCCTGGGTGGGTAGGGCTTTCAGCAGATGAAGCCCTCTGGTCCCCACTTGCTTCCCTCTATTCCTTGTGGCCAGCCACAGCCTGCCTCTAGCCCGGCAGGCTCATGGTGTGGTCCTAGAAGATGTGAGTGGCAGGAGCTGGGGTCAGAGTCCTAACAGAGTACTTATGTACTGAGTGGAGCTCTGAGGGTCCAGGCTGTAGGGTCTCCAGTCCCTCTGATTTAGACTAACTCTAGCTTGGCTTCTTTTGCTGTCTACCCGCGTGACCAGCCGCAGAACAGCATGCCCGACATTATCATCTGGATGATCCGGGGAGAGAGGAGACTGGCCTACGCCCGCATTCCCGCACACCAGGTTTTATATTCCACTAGTGGCGAGGAAGCATCTGGGAAATACTGTGGGAAAACCCAAACCATCTTCCTGAAGGTACATCTTCCTTACTGCATAATTGGAAATACTTAAATGTGAAGCCCATATTCCTAAGAATGGACTGCTTTATCATTTGCCAATCTCTGAATGGCTCGGGGGGCTGATGATCAGTGCCTGCCTATTCTGGCTCCTCCTTCTGGGCAGTAATTCTCAGAGAGGGACCTCAGGTCTGCTGACATTCAATCGAAGACACTTCTGTAGAGGTCTTTGTGACATTAATATTAGTATGGCATTGTGAATTCTTCTTTGTGGGCATGAATTCTCCACTTCTAATGTTGTGGGAAGCCAACCTTTGATCGCTTTCACTTCTAGTGAATGTTTGGGAAATTGGGGGGTGTGGAGAAGAGCGAAGGTAATATGGATAATCCATGAAATCTATGGCCGTAACCAAATAGATCCTTAAATTGAAAATTTTTGAGACCTGCTACTTTAGGGCGGGAGTTCTGACCACTTTCAGAATCATGGACTCCTTAAGTGTCTGATGAAAACTACTGGTCCTCTCCTCCAGAAGAAACACATCTGCCCTGCATCCAATATTTTGCATCTGATTCAGAAGCTTCCTAGAACCCTTGGGTCCACCCCAGAACCCTGAATTAAGAACTGCAGTCTGTGTGTATATAGAGAAGCAAAGGAGGCTCCCGGGCTGCAAACAAAGATATTTAGAAATGTTCCCCAACTGCATGTCTTGATGCGCCTCCCAGGCCCTAGACAACCCCAACTGAGCTGTTTGGCTTTGAGGGAGAGGAATAAAAAAATGAGAAGAAAAGCAAGCAGGAGAGAGTTCTCTTAAAACAAGGAAATATCTGCTAACATCCAATAAATGTACTTGCTCTTTAATCAGGAGGGTGAAAATAGAACCAAAGTGATTATCTTCTTTCAAGTATCTCTTGGTGGAATAAATTTTACTGAAGATAGAACCACAATTATAATTGACCTCAGCAGTGGGTGGAAGCAAACTGATTAATAAATAAAACCTCACAGGGGGTGGGACAGGAAGATAAGTGGTATTTGCTATGTTAAGATTTAGAACTCAGTGGATAAACAGCAAAATGCTTTTGAGAGAATGTTTTATTTACGGATTGATTTTGTTAATACTCATTATCCAGTTTAGGGAGTCACTTAACTCAGTGAGCTTTTTGTTGGTCTTTGGGACCCCTTTACACTCTTAAAAATTTTATTGAAGCCCCCAGAGAACTTTTGTTTATATGAGTTATATTCATCAATATTTACTGTAGTAGAAATTAAAACCAAGAAATTTTTAGTTATTCAATTAATTTTAAAATAACAGTAATAGACCTACTACATGTTAACACCAATTACATGTTTTTATAAATATAATTACTTTCTTTTTTTAATTTTTAATTTTTTAAAAGATTTATGTATTTATGCATACAAGAGCTGGGGTACAGGCCAGAGATGCTGGGGTAAGAGGATTCACCAGAGACAGAGTGGGGAAGAGAACAGGCAGATCCACTGAAACACACTGCTGAGGGGAGCAGCGGGCGAGACAGGAGAGGTCTGCTGCACCATGTGGGTTGCTCCCTGGCTGGCCAGGGATTGTACTCATGCTTCAGCAGCTGCAGATTGCTTCATAGTGCAGTGCTTAACCTCTTGCGCCACCAGGGAGGCCCAAATATAATTACTTTCTTTTTAAAATCAGAACAGAATTAACGTGATCTTACATTTTGCCAACTTCACCAATGTCTAACTTCACAGAAATATGACTTGATTCTCAAATCTGCTTCTACCTTTCACCTGCTGGATAAGCTGTTTGGTTGAGATATATGAAGAGAATCGCACTCATATAAAGATGTAGTTGCAGAAGGAGGGGTATTGTAACAATCTTTTCAGATAATCATGGATATTCACTCTAAATGAGTATAACACCATACTCAGTAAGTGGTAACTTTTGGAAGGTTAATTGCAATGTGGAATCTGAAACCATACCAATGAATTTTTCATTCTCTGCTACATTAAAATCCTTCAGTTTATTTTCCATTTGAATGATTCCTTTATCCTTGTATGATTTTGTAACAGTAAGCATTGGTCACTTGGAAGACATTTGGTTCACTGAATTATGCAGTTCTTGTATGCATAAATAAATAAAAACAAATCTTTAAAAAATATTACATTGAAAAACAAAAGGCTAGTTCAGTTCATATGTCTAACAATTGCTCAAGCTTCTATCCAGACTAATATGCAGCAAAATCATTTGCTGTGTAGTTCCCATCTCATCACGCAAAATACTAAAGGGATATGTATTCGAGGTTGTGATTGAATGAAGTTAGTAATTTTTACTGTTTTATCAAGGGAATTCTTCAGTGAAACTGGCACTTTGTGTTCTTCACTGAGTATGGTGGAGATAATTACTCCCTGTGCAATTGGTGTTGCTACCTTGATTCCTGTCATAGTGGCTGGAGATCCAACCTCCATAGCTTTCCCACCATCAGGGCAGATGTTGTAAGTGACAGCTCAGTGTTATTAGCAAAATCATTTTTAATCTCAAGAACCTCCTAAAAATGTCTCAGGGACATGTAAGTTTCTCTGAAAACATGGCTTTCGATACTATTTTATTCTTTGCCATAGGGTAAGTTGAAAATATTTTAACCACACAAACATAAAATTAGGCTGGTGACAGCAATGATTAGATGCTCATGCCCTTTAGGTTTGGTCTCAATATCACATGAAAGTCCATGTCCAGAATGACGTGTCATGTTCTCGTGTGTTTCTCAGTATCCACAGGAAAAAAGCAGTGGACCAAAGATGCCCGTGGAGTTGAGAGTAAACATCTGGCTGGGCTTAAGTGCTGTTGAGAAGAAGTTCAATAGCTTCGCAGAAGGAACATTCACCGTGTTTGCAGAAATGGTACATTTAATGATATCGCTGTCTTTTCCTCTTTGTAGGGGAGTATGCTTACTTTTCATCCTTAGAGAAAACATTCTCATTTCATAACCACCACCACCACCACTGCTACCTATAATCCCTTTTGAGGGAACTATACCCTAAGGAGATAGGCAAATTTTGATGTGAGGTTCTACTGTCATCGGGATACACCAAGGCAATTCACACACAAACACCCAGGAATGAAGGCTATTGATTGGCGCCCCTGGAGAAGCCTGTTTGGGGTCTGGAGGGTGAGGGTCTTTAAATAGCAGAAGAATCCCCTATCATTCATGCAAATCATCTTTTCAGTGGGCTCATCAGCAGACAATGGAAATTTTGGCTTCGGCCCAAATAGGGTCCCTTAGGCACTTGCCACTGCAAATCTCAACCCTGGCCAACAAAGTGAAGGTCAGACCATTGCAGATTTATCAATTCTAACATAGAATGGAGTGCCCTGTAAAGCAGAGTCTGCCATTACTATTGCTTCCAAAAAAGTTTTGTCTACCTGCCACACTTTCGGAAGAAGGCTCAGAAATTCATGCCTCATAAAGACTGGGTGCTAAACGGCCTTCTTGTTTCAGCCAGGTTCTCTGTAGACTGCCTGGAAAAGGTACCATCAGTTATAATATTATTTCTATGGGGTAAATGTTTCCCAATGTCTAGGCAGCACACTTGTAAACAAAATTTTACAAGCCTGTATGTGCATAAATTGAGGAATTTTATAGATATTTTAAAAATTAGCTTCAGAGGACTATTTGGAGCCATTAAAAATAATTAGCCATTAAAAGAAACAATTGGCACACTGTATCATTGTTCACGAAACACTCTCACATCATTTCAAGAACAAAACTATAAAATATGTTGTACTAATTCCCAATTTACAGATGGGAACACTGAATCTTAGAAAGAGAAATGATTTACCCAAATTGGCATCAGCAGCCCGGGTTAACTCCTTACCTTCTGAGTGTAAAGATCCTTCACTTTGTGTCATTGCTTAGCCTCAGTCCTAGGTGGGCTTTTGAAAATGTACAGCTGGCTTTACTTCTTCTCACTGATGTTGTTTTTCCTGTATTTTTTAATAGTATGAAAATCAAGCTCTTATGTTTGGAAAATGGGGCACGTCTGGATTAGTGGGTCGTCATAAATTCTCTGATGTCACAGGAAAAATAAAACTCAAGAAGGAATTCTTCTTGCCTCCGAAAGGTTGGGACTGGGAAGGAGATTGGATAGTTGATCCTGAAAGAAGGTAAGTTTTCCATTTTCTGAGAAAAAAAGGATGGCAATGAAGCCTTTCCCTACAGAGTACTAAATGAATCTTCATAATCATTCCTGATAATATTTATGTGATGCTTATTGAGCAGGAATAAGTCAAAGAAACATAGAAATTCATAGAAACTTGAAAGATTTCATCATTGACATAATAAGATAAAAAATATAAAAAGCATCTCATAACAACATTTATTGAGAACTTACTATGTGTAATTGTGTCAAGCAATGTGCTAAGCCCTGGAATCATCCTTACTGAGTATGGACTACAGCTCTACAAGATAGTGGTGTCAAAAACTATGAGGGGTCTGAGATTTTTACCCTACTTGCCACCAGGTCACTTGCCACAGTGTCATGGGTGCTGGCAGCAGGTGCTATACTCCTAGGTCAGGGACAAGGACTTCATTGCCCACAACAATAGCAGTATTTGTTCTGGTCCTCTGAACCTCCATTCTTACAAGGCAACAAGAAGAGGCCCACATGATACTTGCACATGCAGCGGATTGTATAACAGGAGATGAACTCTGAGGTAGGGAACCTGGACCTTCTATAATAGCTAGTAAGCTTGCTGGCCCTGTGTTCTGGAAAGAGACACTATCTCTTCTTTCCAAGGTTGTTTCTCATATATCAGCATCCTTGAAAAGATAGTATGTAAAAAGGCAATGAGGCAGAAATGCAAGAGTTCTCTCCCACCAGGTATTATCTCCACTTTACAGACCTAGAGAGAGTCAATAACTTGTCCAAAAACTGTCATCTTGTGAGTCATACAATTGGGGCTGGAACCCAAGGCTAGCCAGGGTCCAAAAGGCAACACTCAATTGTTACGCTGGAATGTTTGTAAGAAACAGTAGAGGGTACACTTTAAAGGGGTAGATTGTGCAGCATGTGAATTATATCTCAAAATATGTTATTAAAAAAGAAAGAAAAAACAGTAATAGTAGCAGGGAGAGGAAAAGAGGGGAGAGCAAGCATATTTCCCTTGGAGTCTGGTGGAAACGAAAACCTGGTTTCCAAGACAATGCATTTGAGTTTGGAGGGAACAGGCCTGTGAAGCTGGATTTTTTAGGTCCTAAGCTAGAATTTGCTCTCTCCATTTACGTTTGTCTCCTATAATCAGGCAGGCATCAGGAAGGGAGGGAAATCTGTTTGCTGAGTTTGATGTGTTAACACCAGTGTTTGTACATGATTGCTTTTAACCCAGGACAGCTTGCTTTAGATGGAGCTGGTCACTGGTGAGGAGAAAGGAAATGGGATTTGAATTGGACAGAAGGAAGGAAGGTTAGTAGGGAAAGGCAGAGGGAATTATGATTGGAAAAACAGAAGGTCAAAGCATGTCAAGGTTCGCTGTGACCTCTCAGACACTCTGTTCTCCTTCTCTGGGCCGCAAGAAGTAATGGACAAGCCCGATTTGTACAGATGGTTGAGACTACTTATTTTCTGATTTCTTTCCAGTGCTTGATTCTAGGGGAGGGAAAAGATGTAGAGATGATAAAGGAAAAAGAAAGTTCACTGGAGTACATACCTGGCAGAAGACTTAAGTCAAAGTTGGAACCTCTGTACTTTCCTCTATGGTTGTCAAGAGTTCCAAATTCAAGAGGAAAATTGACATGGCAGAGAGTCAGTATGGATTTCTCAATTGCCCAATGTAGTTTGGAGTCTTAAATAACCTGGTTTGGCTGGCTACCTAAGAACTATCCAGAAAATTAAGACTCCTCCCTTTAGTTTGTGTTACGTAGACCAGCAAGTCTTGAGTAAAAATTTCCACCCTTGGCCTCACGAGGCTGTCTCCACTACATTTTTTAAAATTGGGGGCATGCAGGTAGGGGACATCTCCCTATTCTTTTGAACAGTTGGCCAAGAGTTTTGCTGAGAAAAGGCTGAGCAGTCCTGAAGTGAAACAAATATGGAACATGAGGTCCCTGTAAGAAGCTGCCCACAACACTGTTTTCCCAGTCTCCACCCTAATTACTGAGTAGGAACAACCCCACTAATCTGAGGAGTTCTCTGTAATTTAGGTCTCATTGTTCCAGAGGCTCTTTCTTCAAAGGAATGTCAGAATCTGTTCGTACAAAGAGAAGTTTGGAATGGAAAACCCAAAGGGGTAAAGTGAGGAGGAAACCAGGGCCACCCTTGGGGTGCAGATACTTCCCAACCATTGGAAATAGCTGGGGTTGTCGGCTACCATTTCTCCTTTGGTAACATGAGCCTCACCCACAGCTTGCTGACTGAGGCGGATGCGGGTCACTCAGAGTTCACCGATGAAGTGTATGAGAACGAGAGTCGCTACCCTGGGGGAGATTGGAAGAAGGCTGAGGAAGCCTACACGGATGCGGTGAGCAGGCTGCTCCCGAGATAAACCCTTTCACCTTAATTCCGTGTACCCTGATCTGTGTGTGAATCCTCCTCCAAGTCTTGCTTCCCCTTCTCTTTTGCTCCATCTGGTGTTTGAAACAGCCTTACAATGATAACAGAGCACACAATATTTATTATTTATCTAGTTTTAAAAATCATAACAAATCAAATGTTTAGGCTTTTAAAATATTTTACCAAGAATTGAAAAATAATCACCCTCCCTGATCCGTATGCCATCCTCCAGGAAGAACCACTGAGAGTAGTTTTCTGTTCCTGTACAAGTATGTAACTTTCCCCACCTAAATAGAATTGGGTTTATGTATAATTCTGTAACTTGTGCTTTTTCACATGTTTTGATATCAATACATGTAGATTTATGGGATATCTTTTAAATGACTACAGTGTTTCATTATATGCACCCACTGTAATTTATTAATCCACTCCTTGTGGACATTTAGCTTTTCCCAGCCTTTGGTTTTTATAAATATTTACATATTGTGAAAGTTTATTTACGGGAGAGATCACTGAATTGTCTTGGTCAAGTTTTAATGCATACAATGTTTTGACAAATATTACCAAATGCTTTCAAAGAGATTGTGTTAGTGTATATCTCTAGCAGAAGCATTTTAGAGGACTGTTTCCCTAAATACTCACCATTCCATTTTAACATTTTTCTCAACATGAATAAATGATAACCTGTTCTTTCAATGTTCATATTCTTTTTTTAAATTTTAAACTTTATTGATTAGAAAGATTTTTTTTTAAAGATTATTTATTTATACAAGACCAAGGGTATTGGTCAGAAGTGCGGGAGGGTGAGAGAACTCACCAGAGCCAGAGCAGGGAACAGAACAGGCAGACGGACTGAAGACTCTGCTGAGGGGAGCAGCAAGCGAGGCAGGAGAGGACTGTTGTGCCATGTGATTATCTCCCTGGCCGGCCTGGAATCGAACCCATGCTGCAGAGGCTGCAGACGGCTTTGTAGTGCAGCGCTCAACCGCTGCACCACCGGGGAGGCCCCCAATGTTCATATTCTTGATATAAATTGAAGCTGAGCATTTCTCCACAGGTTCATGAAGTGCCTTTATTTCCTTTACTATGAATTTTTTTCATAAGTGTCAGTTTTAAACCAAATTTAAAATCAATATTTGATGTAAACTTTGCTCTTATGTGATTCTTATTCATATGATTAGCATCTAGAACCTTCAGTAGAAATACCCTGCACTGAAAATGTGTTTTTCAAGCTTTATCCATCTTTGATGGGTTCTTTCCAGTATATGTCCTCAGATTATACCATCTCACAAGATTTAGTTGAACCATATGAAATTGCTGATATCTGGCCATTTTGACCTACAAAAATAATTTCTTGTGACTCTTCCTAACATAGTTTTTAATTGTGGAAACAGGAGCTATTCTTTAAAAAATACTTTTTATGTAGCAAACATGCATAAATAAAGATTAGAGATTTTTCTGATGAAGATTAAGGAGTCTACGTTAGCACGTGAGCACTGTGAGGAATAGTATGTTCCATTGCCTCCCATTTAACACTGTGGCTTACTTCAATTTTTTTTTTTCATGTCTCTTTAAAGAACGGTGATAAAACAGCATCACCCGGTGAGCTCACTTGTCCTCCAGGTTGGGAATGGGAAGATGATGCATGGACATATGACATCAACCGTGCTGTGGATGAGAAAGGTAACGTTTTATTTTTTATTTTTATTTTTTATATAGAGAAAGGTAACATTTTAGATCTCTCACCTGACTAGAAACTCTGCAGCAAGGTCTTGTGTAAGCAAAGTAAATTTTTCTAGGGAGGGAAGAGTCTTAGCCCTGTTGGTCTGTGACAACTAAGTTATGTGGTATTACCTGTGAATTCAGGTGCAAAATCTAAGGATAAGCAAGTGCTTGGACAGATTCAGGTTGGGGACTGTCAAGAGTCAAAGTTACAAGGTGATAGGAAGCAGGCTGGCTGGACTTTGAGATGCTGGTGATTCAGGGTCAGAATTAGGGAAGGTGCTGGAATTTGGATTTCCTCTACTCCAATTACATCCCATGCCCTCCCTGGAAACATCACACTCAAGGCACTCCCTACCCCCAGCTCAGGAAAAACTACAAAATGCCTCCAGTGCTATCCTATTTGTCAGTAATGCAGGTTATTGACATAGCTTTTATTAGTGGTTTACCCTTTTCTATGAAAACTTCAATGAATTATCACATTTGAAATTATCAAAAAAGGAAATTTGTTTTTTTTTTTTTTCTTATGAGAGCAAGTAGTATACAGAAAGAACTTGCATTGCCACAAAAGATTTCAAATAGATGATAGACTCCTTTCTTACACTGATGTACATACTAGAACTTGTAATAGTAGTTAGAATTGACTGAGTACAGGGCCTCCCTGGTGGCACAAGAGGTTAAACACCATACTATGAAGCAATCCTCAGACTCAATAGCACGAGTTCGATCCCCGGCCAGCCACGGAGAAACACGCCTGGTGAGGCAGACCTCTCCTGTCTCGCCCGCTGCTCCCCTCAGCAGTGTATTTCGTCAGTCTGCCTATTCTGTTCCCTGTTCTGTCTCTGGTGAATCCTCTCACCCTCCCATGCATCTGGCCTGTACCCGGTTCTTGTATAAATAAATAAATAAATCTTAAAAAAAAAAAAAAAGAATTGACTGAGTACAAATTATGTACTTAATGCTAGTCCTAATGCTTTGCATGCATTATTTTGACTAATTCTTTTATAAAGGTGTATGTCACCACTAGCTGGGGAAATTGGGCTCTAAGCAGGTTTACTGATCTGAAGGAACTTTTTTTTAGTAAACAGCTACCACATGTTGTAAGTGCTGGGTTTGGACCCAGGCTGTGTGTCTACAAAGTCCAGCTCCTTAATCACTGTCCCCCCCTGCCTCTTGTACTTGAGCTTCATCCTTGATGCACTCAATTTCCATGAGTGGCAGAGGTAGAAAGATGGAGGAGTACCCAAGGCCACCAAGGAAGCCTTTTGAAGTGGGATGTAGGTGAATAGGATTAGGAATAGGCTGAATTGTAGCAACATGAAAGGAGCAGTGGCATCTGGTCTGGACAGTAGAGAATGTTTGGGGGCAGAGAAAGTGACTGAATGTTTCCTTTAAGTTTATTTGTCTATATACCAAACACATCTTTCTAATAATGGTTCACAAACTCTGTTCCAGGCTGGGAGTATGGAATTACCATTCCTCCTGATAATAAGCCCAAATCCTGGGTTGCAGCAGAGAAAATGTATCATACTCATAGACGGCGAAGGCTGGTCCGAAAACGCAAGAAGGATTTAACACAGACTGCTTCCAGTACTGCAAGGGTAAGAGGAGCAGTGGGAGGGGGTGGGCCAGTGCTCTGCCATCCAGACCACACAGAAGTCTAGTTAATATGACTGCTTCTAGAGAAAATTTGTCAATCAAGTGTCTAATACCCTTGCTTGAAGGTTCTCAAAGTATACTCTATCCCAATCGGCAACAGCAGAGATCCCCATCCCAAACCTACTCATTTAAGAACTTTAGAGGTGGGACCCAACAATCTGTGTTTCAGCAAGTTCTCCAGGTGATTCCAAGCAAGCTAAATAATTTGAGTGTCCCAAGAAGTAATAAAGAGACAGAAATTATTTTGGTAGTTTAAGTGGCAATAGCTCAGCAGTTGGAGTAAGATAGTTAAGCACTCAGATCATGGCTTCATTTCCTCTCTCATCTGACTCTAGTTAGGAGCTTATAAAACTTAGAATAATAATTAAGTGGAGCAATACTACTCAATATAATGAGTGGCATGTTTCGTGTCTGTTCTATGATGCTAAGTACAGAATATGTATCTCCAACAATTCACAAAATCTGTATTATCCTTATTTTGCAGATACTGCCTCCAGGAGTTAAATAGATCTTCTCTAGTGTACATGTCTACTAAGTGATAGAGCTGGTGTTTAAACCCAGACTAAGCTAATTCTGAATAGAAACTCTTTCTGTTCCGCAAAGTACTGGACTCACAGTAGATGCAATGAAGTTGCTTTCGTTAGTTGGTGAGCAACTCAGGCACAAAGATGGAGCCATCATCACTTTTGTTGCTTCTTGCCAGCTTTGGAACTTGTTCCTATTAAATAATAGAGGAGTGGCTATTGATGAATATTTGTTACCAATTATCCCTCTGTCTGTGGGGTGAGAAGTCTCTAGAGGCACTTGACTGTCTCCTTCCACGTGAAGTGGATAGAACACTGAGCCACCATTCAGAATACCAGGAACCTGACCTAGTTCTATCAAGGAATATGGTTGAGACTTTATCATGTCCCCCAACCTGCCTCCTTCCTGGTGACATAAAATATTTCATTGCCACGATTGATACTACTGGAGGGTCTGTTAGAAGATTACATTTGACCTGGAGTTTATGTTTATTCAGAGTTGAAAAGAAAATCCCTACCATGATCATACATGAGCTCTTATTTCTGAGATCATAAATTTTACTCACTATTGTTTCACATTTACTACTTCTACTTAGACTTTTAAGATATTTACATTTAATTTTCCTCATCAAAATGTTAACTCTATAAAGGAACCTGTCTGGACTCTGGTCAGAGCTTACTACAATCCCTGTGAGATAAATTGAATAAAACATAGAAACTGACACCATTTATATAAAATAGCTTTTGAGATTAAAAAGCAGTCACTAGTGGGCCTTGCTGGTGTCACAGCAGGTTGAGCGCAGCGCTGTGAAGCTGTCCGCAGCCTCTGCAGTGCCAGTTCAATTCCCGGCTGGCCACGGCGAATCCCACATGGCGCATCAGACCTCTCCTGTCTCGCCTGCTGCTCCCCTCAGCAGTGTATTTTGGTCCTTCTGCCTGTTCTGCTCCCTGCTCTCTCTCGGATGAATTCTCTCATCCTCCTACACCTCTGGACTGTACCCCAGTGTTTGTATAAATAATAAATAAATCTTTAAAAAAAGCATTGCTAGTTATTAATTATTACAGAAATAATATGCTTATTATTATTAGTTATGGCAGTTACTAAAAAGGACATTTTCCCCTCTAAATATAAGATGAAGAAAATAATGTTTCCAAAGTGTATCACAAGAGCACTGTTGTTAGTGGAAGGAAAAAATGGAAGCAATTTGAAGGTGAGTCATTTGCTTTACATCCCCAAATCTAATAAGGTGCTTCTCTCGGTGCTCTGCCCCCACCCTGCACCCCCCCCCCCAACCCCTGGAGCATCACTGCTGGCTCTTCACATCCCACAGGCCACCAGCTGCCAAGGCAGAAAGGCTGCCTATTTTTGTTCCAATGTATCTCTGACTCCTAGCAATTTCTGGTTGGCCCAGTTAATACATTTTATTACTTTTTAAAGATTTATTTATTTATGCATACAAGAACTGGGGTACAGGCCAGAGGTGTGGGGGGTGAGATGATTCATCAGAGACAGAGTGGGGAAAGGAACAGGCAAATTGACTGAAATACACTGCTGAGGGGAGCAGCAGGCTAGTCAGGAGAGGTCTGCTGTGCCATGTGGGTAGCTCCCTGGCCAGGGATTGAATTCGTGCTGCAGTGGCTACGACAGCTTCATAGGTTGCACCTTAACCTGCTGCACCACTAGGGAGGTCCCCAGTTAATACATTTTAAATACAATATTTATTGACCAAATAATCTGTGTTGTCAATATTAGGATGATGACAACCATCATCATCATCATCATCGTCATCATCATCATTGAAAGTTTTATTTCTGTTTTAGGCCTTGGAAGAGCTTGAAGACCGAGAGGGTTGGGAATATGCTTCTTTAATTGGCTGGAAATTTCACTGGAAACAGCGTAGTTCAGATACCTTTCGCCGCAGACGATGGAGGAGAAAAATGGCTCCTTCAGAAACACACGGTGCCGCTGCCATCTTTAAACTAGAAGGTGCCCTTGTAAGTAAAGAGAAACCAAAGCTCAAATCAAATTGGTGTTGGATACACCCCCTGGCTCCATCTAACCCCCTCCACTACTGCAAGACTGTAACATGGTCTAAGAAAGTTAAGCAGCTTAGGTGTTCAATGAGTCTTGTAGGACAAATAGAATATTAACATATGAAGGGTTCTAAGAAATTCTGCTGCAGACACACCCATTTAACCTTGTTTGAACTGGCGTTTTCCAACTATTTCTATGCCAGAGCCTTGATATCTTTTAACTTCCCAGGCACAGGTTCATGGCTCACTTCTTGGAAACAACAATGATTCAACAACCCAAGAAAGTTAAATGTACAGATGTGAGAAAGAGGAGGGAAGCTTGTGAAATTAGTGAAAAATTTATATGGAAACACAATAAGTAAGTCATGGAGGAGGAAAAGCAGAAATGTGGAAGGGAAATGAATAAGAAAATGGCAGTGACTGATCTAAGAGATGGTGGTCAGGAACCATTTCTAAATGCAACCTATTTTATATTTTTATAAATACAAAATATAGATATATATTATATTTAAATATAAAAATACACTTTATTTAGAAACATACTTATAAAATATGCATTTTTATATTTCTATTTCTGCACACTGACCCTGCTATGTTCTTCCATTGCTCTTTCCCTTCCCCATCTTTAAAATCCTCTATTTATCCTTTACACTTTTCCTTTTTTTCTTTCGGCAGGGTTTGGTAAACCTGGACTTGAGGTAGAAGGTCTGGCTGCAACTTCCTGCTCTGTTGCTTTCAAGCTAAGTGACGATGTTGAAGTCACTTGCTGTCCTGGGCTTTATCCCTCTTTAGAAATGAGTAATCAGATGAGAAAATCTTTTTTAAAAGTCACCATTCTGTTCATTTGTAATTCTTGCCTCTTCGTTGTAAGGCATCACCAAGGGATTTGTTCTGCCTCCGCAGGGTGCAGACACTACTGAGGATGGAGACGAGAAGTCAGAGAAGCAGAAGCACAGTGCCACCACCGTGTTCGGAGCAAACACACCCTTGGTGTCCTGCAAATTTGATAGTAAGCTTCCAACTTTTATTCATGCGTGCCGTTCTGTGACTTATATCGCAAGAAAATTCACCAAGTATGATTAAAAAATTCTTTGTGTAAATGTGGTTTTTACTTTCATCACTTGAGGCAGAGGGTATTTTTATCCTGTAGTCTTAAAACTCATATTTAGGGCAGAGAGTGATCAAATCATTGATGTCCAATGTGTTTTCATTCTATTTTTTTTAAAGATTTATTTATTTATGCATACAAAAACTGGGGTACAGGCCAAAGGTGTGGGGGTGGGGCGAGATGATTCACCAGAGACAGATGGGGAAAGGAACAGGCAGATTTACTGAAATACACTGCTGAGGGGAGCAGTGGGCTAGTCCCGAGAGGTCTGCTGTGCCATGTGGGTAGCTCCCTGGCTGGGGATTGAACTCATGCTGCAGTGGCTACAGATAGCTTCATAGACTGCATCTTAACACCCTTGCATCACCAGGGAGGACCCATTCTATCTATTAAGTCCCCCCAGATCTTCTTTCAATTAGGAAAAAAGGTTCAAACAGTAAATGTTGGTTTCAGTCATTGCCTTTGGGAATTTTGGAATTATGCAGACTTACTTTGTAATTAAGATAACAATAACAGCAGATGCTTTTTTATTGCAATTGCCAAGCACTGTACATATATTAACACATTTAATCCTGGTAACAACCCTAGAAGGTTGTTACTATTATTGTTCCCAGTTTTACAAATAAAGAAATGAAGGTGCAGAAAGATTGAAAAACTTGACCAAGGTCTTACATGTTGTAAAGCACTAGATAAAATTTGAAATTCAGTGGTCTGGTGCCCAGAATCTGTGCAGTGAATCACAGTATTCAACTTCTCACATTGTGTGTGTAGGGGGAAGGGAAGGGGGCTGTTGAGTGGGTCCATTAATCTAATAAGGATAAGGAGTGGCAGATTTGAAACATCAAGGAAATTTTTAGTAGGTAACTATTTCCAAGATCTGGTGCTGAAATCATTAAGAGAGCCCTATTACTCAACCTCTGGAGACCTAGTTTGATTTTAAAGGTTAGTGATGACAAGCAGTACCCTAAATCCAGGCAGTTTGCATCAGGAGTAATGTTTTTCTGATTGACACACTTGCATTGAGCTTACTACGTATTTTTAAAATAAGTTTGATTTTACAGGATGCAGAACTACTTCAGGGAGAACACATGATTACCTTTCTAGGTGATCTTTATTGCGGAGATTTAGATTTGGGTGACCCATTTATCTGAAACATTATCTCCAAGTATAACCATTTACAGAGTTATGTTTCTTGTCAATAATCTCCATCCTGTTTTGTTTTGTTAGGAGTCTACATTTATCATCTGCGCTGCTACATCTATCAAGCCAGAAACCTCATGGCTTTAGACAAAGATAGCTTTTCAGGTAAAAGAAAAAAAATCTCCATCTCACTGCAAATATTCTATAGCAGGCTAGCCTGATTCTACTTTATAACAAGGGACACTTAGTGTTTTTAACAACAAAAAGTCTTCCCATGTTGAGATTAATTTGATATGTAAGAAGCACACTGCTTAGTCATTAAATAATCACTGAGTATGTTGAGCACTGATATGGGTGCTGGAAAGACATAGAAGACACGTGGTTGCTTAATACTGATAACCATTCATTGATTAAGGAATAAGAAGCACCTGGAAGAAAAGTGGTTTCTGTTCTCCTTCTATACTCAGAGTTGTACTCCTTACCCTGGACTCTTCTGTTGATTGATGTGTTAAGATCCTTCCTATTTTTTTCTGTAGCTCTTTCAAGTTGTCAAAAAGATCAAAAGTTCACCTATTTACATACAACCCCAGACTTGAAGCAATTTGGAGCTCATTTTGACTTCCTTCACTGCCTGCTCCCCAAATCCCAGGGGGGCTTCATCTCTCCTCACATTGACACCTCACTGGTTTTGTTGCTTTTGTACTGGTTCTGCGGGGAAGGAGGCAGGGAGGGGAAAAGGTCAGAAGGCCTACTGCTTGGGGATTTGTGGTATTGCTTGTGGGACCATAAATAGGTCAGAGGCCATTGGGTCTGTCTGAGGAACATTCCACAATAGAACCTGAAGGCCACCAGAGCTCCCTGGGCTTCTGTGGAAAACAGTTCTTGAAACTATTGCCTCACACTTCGTTTGGCATGTTCACATCAGCGGTGAGGTGCATTGCAAATACTAATATTAACCAACATTTGTGAATGCTTCCCGTTTTTTACAGATTAGTACAGATTCAAGGTTATCCCCAAAAAATACATCTCCAAAATGGCTTTAAAACCATTTTTAAGTATTCACCACCAGGGGCCACTCAGTCACTGAAAGTCAAAGTTAGAGAATCCTATCAAAATTCTTGACTAAATTTACATAAAATTCTAAGCACATTCTTTGTAGTTTGGATCATAAGATATATTCTTGGAGCAAAAGCAAAAAGACCCAGTCATATAACACTGCAGTGCTAAAAACCAAGTGCCATTTCTGCTTACGTAAGTTTCAGGTTAGCCGTTAAGTTATTCTTCAGATGCTCAGCCAGCATCCAGGCAATTGCAAAGCTTTTGGTAAAATAATTCAGCATAGAGGAGAACCAGAACCATAGTACTTGCTTTTAAGTAGTGTTTTTAATAGTGACTGTACCAGCTTACATTTCCACCAACAGGGTACAGGAGACAGCTTTTCTCTCCATCCTTGCTAGCATTTGTTATCTCCTGTCTTTTTGATGATAAACGTCATAACAAATTTGAGGTGATATCTTATTCTGGTTTTGATTTTCACTTCCCTTGATGAGTGATATTGAAAATTTTTCATGTGCTATGGGCCACTTGTATGTCCACTTTGGGAAAAATGTCTGTTCAGGAACTTTGCATATTTATAAATTGCATTATTTGGGTTTTTTTGCTATTAAGTTATATGAGTTCCTTGAATATTTTGGAGGTTAGCCCCCTATTTGGATGTGACTTGAAAATATTTTCTCCTATTTCATGGTAAAGGCTTGTCTTGTCTATCCTTGTTAAAAAAAAACTCTTAGTGTCATTGATCTTTTTGGTTGTTTTTCTAGTCTCTATTTCATTTTATCCTCTCTGATCTTTATTATTTTCTTCCTGCTACTAACTTTGGGCATGGTTTAGTCTTTTTAGGTACCTTGAGATGTAGTTGTTTACTTGAAATCTTTTTTTTTTTTTTTTAACTGTAGGCCTGATTACCAGCTTTTGCTGCAGCCCACACATTTTGAAGATATGTTTCCATTTTTGTTTGTCCCAAGATATTTTATTTCTACTTTTATTTCTTCTTTGATCCACTGGTTGTTCATGAGTATGTTGTTTAATCATCATATATTTTTCAGTTCTCCAATTCATAGATTACTTCTTGATACTAAAATTTCTTTCACTCCCTCCTCAAGTCTAGTTGAAACAGAGTTTTCTGCTATTACAGATTGTATATTCCGTGAGCATCTGAGCCTTTCTCTTTTACTACTATACTCTTGACACCTGGCATCAATAAATATTTACTGAATGAATGGATTATTATTGACACTAATATGACAATAATCAACATCTATCAAATACTCTATAGAATTAACTCTGTACTAAGTAGCTTACATTCTCTTTATATCATTTCCTTCTTACAACACTATAAAGCTGATATTACTTTCATTGCAAGAAGGAAGGAACCAAAATTTAGGAGACTATGTATTTTTACCAAGGTCATGTAGCAGGGAGGGAGGTGGGATTTGAACCCAGGAATGTCCAGCTGCAGAGCCTGCACTCATAGTCACAAGTATAGTTCCTTGCTCCCTGAAGATTATGTGCCCTGTTAATGTTGGTGGAAAATACTCCAGAGAGAGAACACCCAGCACATTACAGGCACCTCTGCTGCAGCAACAGATCCCACTACCATGCCATCCTGCCCCTGATAGACTGTTTTCTAGAACCTCTGTCTTCCAAGTGGGAAGTGAGGGGCCATGCTCAGTGTCACTGAGGAAAAGCATATGGTTGAGATGCATGGTCTTGGAGAACTAGACTTTAGTCATGTCCCTGCTATGAGTCTTTCTTTCTGATTTAGATCCATATGCCCATGTTTCCTTCCTCCATCGAAGCAAAACCACTGAGATCATCCACTCAACTCTCAATCCTACGTGGGACCAAACTATTATATTTGATGAAATTGAAATCTATGGGGAACCCCAAACAATCCTACAAAACCCACCCAAAGTTGTCATTGAACTTTTTGACAATGACCAAGTGGTAAGTAATTCAGAATTTCTAAAATGACTTGGAAGATGATGGAGATTTAGACAAACGTTTGTCAGGGAGCTGAAGGATCACTATTTCTCTAGGGCAAAGATGAATTTTTAGGACGAAGCATGTGCTCTCCTCTGGTGAAACTAAACTCAGAAATGGACATCAGACCCAAACTTCTCTGGTATCCAGTGATGAATGGAGACAAAACCTGTGGGGATGTCCTTGTAGCTGCGGAGCTGATTCTGAAGAGCAAGGTACTTGTTGAAATCTCTCTTGGGTTCTTTCAGAGTATTTGCTTAAACACTTGTAAATAACCCTGGAAACCCTTTACTGGAACTAAAGAGAGGCATTGAAGCTCCTATGTTTGTTTTACAGGATGGCTCCAACCTTCCTATTCTTCCCTCACAAAGGGCACCAAGTCTATACATGGTTCCCCAGGGGATCAGGCCTGTGGTTCAACTCACTGCTATTGAGGTATGCTGCTCTCTGTGTCTTCTGAGTCAAATCGAATAGATGTAGCAGTAGAACTTTAATTTTTTACGTAGGAAATAGAATCGTGCTGCATATTCTCTATCTCAAACCTCCTTTAGAATTCGTTCCCAAATTTGCAATATTCCTGGAAATGTAAGGCCTATTGAAACAACAAAAACTATTAATTCCAGCATTACTGAGAGAATCTAGTAATTTACTGGGAGCCAGCAGATTTCTGAGCTTTCTGGAGAGCTGGGCATGGAAAGAACTCAGAGCATCATTCCCACGTGTGCAGACAGCACGGGACTCCAGGGGGAGCTTGGAAGGTGGGCAGTGGGAGGGGAGTAATAGAATAATGGGAAATAGTGACATGTCAGCCAATAGGAGCAAATACACACTGATGGAACTGATGAAACTCTTTACTAAGTAGCGCGATGGGCAGTGTCTGGCCTACTAAGTTCCCCCTTGTCCAGTCTGGCAGCTGTTACCTTGAGGTTTCTGTTCTCAGCCAGTCTGGCTAAGAGCTCTCAAAGACTGAGGCAGACAGCATTAAACCACAGTTATCAATTTTGGAAGGCTGCATGTTAGACACTGTGTTAAGAGATTTACACTTGATGCTCAAAATAACCCTCTGATAGATAATACTATCAGTCCTGTTTGTAGCTGAGACATAGAGAGGTTAACTCACTTACCAGAGTTCACATAGTTGTTGTACAGCTCAGCTAGGATTTGACTTTTGCCCTCTTAACTGATGTTGTTTGGAGAGGTGTGAGGTGCAGTGTGTGGGGTCCTTGGGTTCCCTCTGAGAAAAGTTTCATCAGAGCTCCCCTTTCAGTGGCACACGGCAAGTTTCCCCAAGAGGCAGAGATGTTGAGTTATATCCAAAGGGCAGGCTTATTATATTAAAAAGGCAAGGAGAAGAAGTCACTTGCACAGACACAAGAAGGCAGGAAGAGCTGACTCTGAAAGGACAGGTGTGTTAGAAGAGATGCCTGCAGAGACACAGGTGGACGGTCTAAGGAGGACAGCTGCCTCTCGCCAGTGCAGAAAGTGTTCTCTTTGGGGAGAGGTTCATTTTTTTGTGGAATTGTTATCTATTGTTAGATTAATTACTTCTAGGGTGTGACTAGGTTGATTTATGAGGACCTGTGTTTCGCTACAAAGACGCTCCATCTCCATATCCCTCCTCTGGTCTGTGCCCCTGATACTTGCTATAGCCATTGGGGCCTAAGGACTTTTCATTTGTTTAGCTGGTTTAACAACTCTGTTAACCATTTCTACTCCCATCTCCAGTTTATGGTCCTGTGATGCCTCCATCCTAATTTTTCTACTCGTAGCCTCCATCTTTAACTGCTGTGCTTTTTGGGGGCTCATGCAAGAGAAGGAGAAATACAATGTCACTTCCTCAACATGACCTACAGGCTTTCTAGCATAATATTCTCAGAGACTTTTGCCAAATCTTAAAGAATTTACCAGTTATTGAGAGTAAGTTTTTCCTATTTGAATCTTATTTTTAATATGCTGAGTTTTCTTCCCTTCTCTTTCCATTGTTTTCTTAGATTCTAGCTTGGGGCTTAAGAAATATGAAAAACTACCAGATGGCTTCTATCACATCCCCCAGTCTGGTTGTGGAGTGTGGAGGGGAAAGGGTAGAATCAGTGGTGATCAAAAACCTGAAGAAGACACCAAACTTTCCAAGTTCTGTTCTCTTCATGAAAGTGGTATTGTATCCTGACTCTATAATTCCATGTAATTCTATGTGTGTTGAGTAGCTGAATTTATATGTATATATATGTATACACACATACATACATATGTGTATACATATATATGTCATGCAACTCCTCATGGGAGAGCCAGGATTTGATTCCAGGCAGTCTGGCCCAGAGCTCATGCTGTTAGCACTGTGCTTCTTACCTAGCACATAAATGACTGAATTTCTTTCTACGGGACCTCAAGGCTGTGCCAATGACCAGAAAAAGTCTGGTGGTTCCTTTGAGGGGGTTCACTGGCAAAGCTACCCTTGTCAGGTCTTATATAATAAAGTGATGCCCATCTCTGCAACCCCCAGCTCTTGCCCAAGGAAGAATTGTACATGCCTCCACTGGTGATCAAGGTCATCGACCACCGGCAGTTTGGGCGGAAACCAGTGGTTGGCCAGTGCACCATCGACCTCCTGGACCGCTTTCGCTGCGACCCCTATGCAGGAAAGGAAGATATTGTGCCTCAACTAAAAGGTAAGGCTCAAGTCTATAAACATAATTTTAGGGCTTTTCATTTGGGATCTGATTTAATCTTAATAAACCTTAAGATAAGTATTTGTTGTCTGGATGTTGCATATGAGTTTGATTTATAGTTGGCTATTTAACTCTCCCAGGATAATATAGTTAGAATGGCAGAGCTAAACTTAATTCTGACTTCATTTGGGGGAAACCAGTGCTCAAGCTATTACCTTGTAATATAATTTGAGGGATGTTATTTCATTGCTATCTACTGGGGAAAAATAATACTCACTGAAAGGACTAAAGGACTTACCCATGGTCACATAAATAAATAATAAATAGTAGAGCAGAGCATAACACTTACTTTAGACTTCCATATAAATAATAGCTCATGAATAGTATTCTGCTATTGACATTCACTAGTGACTCATTTTTGACTTACCACGCACCAGGTTCTGTGTTAGAGGCTGAGGCTGGGCCAGTAAACATAATCCCAGCCTCAAGACAGGATGGGTCTTCTGTTTATGCTTCTATGCTTCTAGTCAGTTCTATTTAACCTTCCACTAGGTTTGGTATTGCCTTTATAGAACTTCTAAAGGGCATCCCTGGTGGCCTAGGGGTTAAGTCTCAGTTCTGTTGCCTCTATGTCCTGTTTAATCCCAAGCCAGGGAGCTGACCCACATGGCGCAGCAGACCTCTCCTGTCTCGCCCGCTGCTCCCCTTAGCAGTATATTTCAGTAAATCCACCTGTTCTGCTCCTACTCTGTCTCTGGTGAATTCCCTTACTCCCCTACCCCCCCAGACCTCTGGCCTACACCCCAGTTCTTGTATGAAAAAAAAAATGGAATTTCTGAAACTCACCTACTATCTGGGTCTGAGCATCCTGTATCCCCATTTCAGAGAAAAGCAAAAAAGAAAGTCTATGGTGACATTTGAGCAAAAACAAAACAAAACAAAAAAAAAAAAAAAACCTGCTAAATGCGTTTATAAAGAAATTCCCCATGCAAAGAATTTTGTGCAGGATTGATGGTGCCTAAAATAGAAATTTTTTTTTATGATAACAAGGGCTATTATAACTGCGGGCATTGTTTTATTTGAGGTGACTGAATGGGGAGAAACCATTTTCCTAATGTTTTTCCACTGCTGTAAGAGTAGAGGTCTTTGATCATGAAACAGTTTTATGATGCAAATATGTGAGGTCATTAGGAAGGTACAAACACTACAAACTTGCCCTGGCCCAGAATCACTCGTGTGGGCCTGTTTGTGTTGATTTGTCAGGGTTAGGTCAGCCCCTGGTTAGTGATGCTATGTAATTAATGTGAAATGTGGTCAAAGTTTCAGAGAACCCTTGGAGAAAAAAATCCTTCAAGAGTATGGGATGGGGTGGAGGAAGGTCTGGTTCCCAACTTCAGAATCTGTTATTTTAGATCAATTAGTTACTTTCTTCAAACCAATGATAGGGTAAGATTTGAGGAATATGCTTGGTTGGCTTAATGTTGAAGGCACAGAGAAAACTTCCCTCCTGTCCCTGAGGCTTTGTCCCTGAGGGTGGTGAAGTGGAAAGCTGATAATATAAGAAGGTTCTTGCATGTAGTTGTGGTCCCCCACGCCTGCCTATCTCGCTTTATGTTGCTGTCAGGAGTTGTGAAGGAGTATGTCTTGGAAGGTACAGCTGGCTGACAGATCTGGGGGACCGGGGGCATCACATGGATAATTGACCTAGCATAGCAACTATCATGTCATAGATGCCCTGTAAGTGTCAGTCTTCCTTCCCTGCCTCCCCAGTGACCCCCTCCCCACCCCCCAACCTTCTCTGACATTTATTGAACATCTGTTCTGGTCTGGGCTTTGATATGGTCTGGTCTGGGTAAAACATGAGCTGTGAGGTCAGACAGACCTAGATTACTTATGTCCACTTACTACTAAATGTTTATCCGAAAGCAAGTGACTTGCCTTCTCTTAGCCTCAGTTTGTTTTTTAATCTTTATAATGGTGATAATTGTTCATATGCTGTTAGATTAGTGAGGGATTAAACGAGATTAAGTATGTAAAAGGCTTACCCCAGTGCCTGGGAAGTACCTAAAAATTATGCATTTCTTCTCTGGTGCATCTTCTAACTCAGCTGCCCAGGTGGGTTAAACGAAAGTTCTCCTGGCTTGGTGGAGTTTGTTGGGTCTAGACACTGGCCTCCTATTGAATGTCTGACTGCCTGAAGCCTTCTACCATGGCGGGTAGACACACCTCTCCCCATCACTCCACCCCAGGCAGACACAATGGCACCTCTTTCTGTTAAACCAAACCCAGTGAGCCTAGGGGCTGCTCCTGAGTCCTTGCTCTAACTTCAAAATCACGAACCTAGATATTCTGGGAATTGTACAAGGCTAAGGTGTGAGCCCTTTTCTTCTGCATATTCTCTGAGAACGTGGGATGAGCCAGCCTCTGCACCTTCAGGCCTGAAATTTGCAATTATTTTTTTTTTTAATAATAAATTTTATTTTTATATTCCCCATACAATTGCAGCCCCCCCATTCTGACCCCAATCCCTCCCCTCCCACCCCCGCCCCCCTAAAAGTGTCTCTGGTTCGTAGTTTTTTGTTGATTTTGATTTTCACTTTCTTATAGTTATTCGTTTTCCTGGTCCCTTATTTAAGTTTTCTAGATTCCTGCTATGAGTGAGACCATCCGGTATTTTTCTTTTTCTTTTTGGCTTATTTCGCTGAGCATGATCCCTTCCAGTGCCATCCATGTTGCTGCAAATTGCATGTGTTTATCATTTTTGAATGCTGAGTAATATTCCATGGTATATATGTACCACATCTTCTTGATCCAGCCATCTATTTTTGGGCATTTGGGTTGTTTCCAAAGCTTAGCTATTGTAAACAGTGCTGCTATAAACATAGGGGTGCAGGTGTTCTTTGGAATGGATATTTCTGTGTCCTTTGGGTAAATACCTAGGAGTGGAATTGCTGGATCATATGGAAGCTCTATGTTTAGTAGGTCCAGAAATCTCCACACAGCTCTCCACAGTGGTTGGACCAGTTTGCACTCCCACCAACAGTGCAGAAGAGTTCCTTTTTCTCCACACCCTCACCAACATTTGTTGTTGCTAGTTTTTTTAATATGTGCCATTCTCACTGGTGTGAGATGGTATCTCATGGTAGTTTTGATTTGCATTTCCCTGATGACAAGTGATGTTGAACATTTTTTCATATGCCTGTTGGCCATTTGCATTTCCTCTTCAGAGAAGTTTCTTTTTAGCTCTTCTGCCCATTTTTTGACTGGATTCTTTTCTTTGTTGTTGTTAAGTCTCATCAGCTCTTTGCAGATTTTTGTGATCAGTCCTTTATCATTAGTGTTGGGTGCAAAAATGTTCTCCCAGTTGGTGGGGTTTCTCTTTGTTTTTGTTATTGTCTCTTTTGCTGTGCAGAAGCTCTTTAATTTGATGTAGTCCCAGCTGTTTATCTTCGCCTTCACTATCACTGCTTTGGGTGATGTGTCTGTAAAGATGTCTTTGATGTGCAAATCACGTAGTGTTTCGCCTATATTTCCTTCTATATATTTTATGGTTTCAGGTCTTATGTCTAGTTCTTTAATCCATTTTGAGTTGATTTTTGTGTATGGTGTGAGGTGGTGGTCAAGCTTCATTCTTTTGCATGTAGCGACCCAGTTTTCCCAGCACCATTTATTGAACAAACTTTCTTTGCTCCAATGCATAGTCTTTGCTCCTTTGTCAAAGATTAGTTGACCATAAATCTGTGGGTTTATTTCTGGATTTTCTATTCGATTCCATTGGTCTGTATGTCTGTTCTTGTTCCAATACCATGCAGTTTTGATGATTATGGCTTTGTAGTAGAGTTTGAAGTCTGGGAGTGTGATGCCTCCATTCCCTTCTTTTTTTTTCAGGAGAGCTTTGGCTATTCGGGGTTTTTTGTGATTCCATATGAATTTCATCAATAATTGTTCTATTTCTTTGAAGAATGACATTGAAATTTTGATTGGAATAGCATTGAATCTGTATATTGCTTTTGGAAGGATGGCCATTTTAATAATGTTTATTCTTCCAATCCATGAGCAGGGCATGTCTTTCCATTTCTTTGTGTCTTCTTCTATTTCTTTTAACAGTGTTTTATAGTTTTCTTTGTATAGGTCCTTTACCTCTTTTGTTAGATTTATTCCCAAATATTTGATTTTTTTTGTTTCAATAAAAAAAGGGATGGTTTTTTTGATTTCTTCTTCTTCAGATTTATTGTTTGTGTATAGGAAGGCTACTGACTTTTGCGTGTTGATTTTGTATCCTGCCACTTTACTGAACTGATTGATGAGTTGAATTAGTTTTTCTGTGGACTTTTTGGGGTTCTCTATGTATATTATCATATCATCTGCAAATAGTGATAGTTTGACTTCTTCTTTTCCTATTTGGATTCCTTGGATGTCTTTCTCTTGTCTTATTGCTCTGGCTAGGACTTCCAGTATTATATTGAAAAGCAGTGGTGAGAGTGGACATCCTTGTCTTGTTCCAGATCTTAATGGAATTGCTTTCAGCTTTTCACCATTGAGAATGATACTGGCTGTTGGCTTGTCATAGATGGCCTTTATGATGTTGAGGTATGTTCCTTGTATCCCAAGAATTTCAAGGGCTTTTATCATGAATGGGTGTTGCACTTTGTTGAAAGCTTTCTCAGCATCTATTGATATTATCATATGGTTTTTATATTTCTTTTTGTTGATGTGTTGGATAACGTTGATTGATTTTCAGATGTTAAACCATCCTTGTGTCCCTGGAATGAATCCTACTTGGTCGTGGTGAATTATCTTATGGATGCATTGTTGGATTCTGATAGCTAAAATTTTATTGAGGATTTTTGCATCAGTGTTCATTAGGGAGATTGGCCTGTAGTTTTCCTTTTTTGTGTTGTCCTTGTTTGGTTTTGGTATTAGTGTAATGTTGGCTTCATAGAACGTGTTTGGTATTGTCCCTTCCTTCTCAATTTTTTGGAAGAGTTTGTGAAGGATAGGCACTAATTCGTCTCTGAATGTTTGGTAGAATTCATTTGTAAATCCATCAGGTCCTGGGCTTTTGTTTTTGGGGAGGTTTTTGATTACCATTTCAATTTCGCTGCTTATAATTGGTCTGTTTAGGTGTTCTATTTCTTCATTATCTAGCTTTGGGTGATTGTAGAGTTGTAGGAATTTGTCCATCTCCTCTAGATTGTTAAACTTGTTTCCATATAACTGTTCATAGTAGTTACTGATTATTCTTTTGATTTCTGCTGTGTCCGTTGTGATTTCTCCTCTTTCATTGATGATCCTGTTTATTTGTGCTTTCTCCCTTTTTTCCTTTGTGAGCCTGGCTAGGGGTTTGTCTATTTTATTGATTTTTTCAAAGAACCAGCTCTTGGTTTCATTGATCTTTTGGATTGTTTTTTTAGTTTCAGAAATTTGCAATTATTCACCCTCTTTTGCTTCTTGGGGTTTTAGGAGCAGATTCCATGAAAAGGAGTCTCCTTTAGATGCAGCCCCCTCCCCACCCCAACCCTGCCTCTTTGAAAGGCATATGCTGACAGTTCTTTGAGTTCCTGTGTCTAGGTACTGGGTTAGTTGTCCAAGAAGAAAGAAGAAAGAAAGGTGGGTCATGTGATCCCCTAAATCATCCAAATCATACCATATTTGGGGAAGGTGGTGAATTCTTGGGTTATTTCCTATGTTTGGACATAGTCCTCGCCATTCAATAAGTCTAACTTGGACTTAACGCTACCATCCACTCTGTGACTGTTAAGGTCTGAGTAGGATGGTCACCATTGTATTTTTACAAGTATCTTAGATGATGAAATTATTTGTCTTGCAGCCACCCTTCTGTCTACCCCACCCTCCCAGGACATCATTATTGAAATAGAAGACAGCAAGCCGTTACTGGCTTCAAAGGTAGGCTTCAAAACTAATCAATGGATAGTGTCAATTTTATCCTCCAGTTGTCTAAGCCTTGGGTAAATTGAGCTAAGTAACCATTCAATGTATTAAAATAGTAATAATCAAATAAGTTATCAAGATAAAAACATCTGAATCATATTCATCAATAGGACATAGACTTCAGAAGATTTAAATTTTTACCCAAGTGATTCTAATGTGCAGGCAAATCTGAGAACCACTCATGACAGTTTGAGTGATGTCATTTGCTTGAAATAGAAATCTCAGGAGCAAATTTACAGCATTGCACAATTACAGGAAGGATGTATGTAACATACTTTTTTGTGCATGAAAAAGAAGTGTCATGAATTTTTAATGATCTTACTTGCCATGGTATGAACTAGCCCAGACTTTTAAATTCACTGTGGCTCTGAAAGGAAGAAGTTGGTAAAATTGCTCGCTCAGGACCCTGTTTGAAAACCATTCCAGCCAAATATACAAGAAGGGGGGAAAATGCCTGAGCCCTGAGAAAGAAAACATCAAATATCTCCCTGTTTCTGTTGGCAGTTATGATGGACTTTAACAGCATGTTTTAATGTGTAAACTGGCCCAAAAATGCACATGATTGCACTTTAATATGTTATGTCCATAAACAGTGCCTCTAAAAAAATCCACTTCCTTCCCACTGCGTTAAATTCACTAATAATTGGACCATGTTAAATGTGGTCTCCACGGCCAGCTCCGAGGAGCAGTGTGTTTAATTTTATTCCCCAGGAATCCTTCACAGTCACAAATGACAACATCAGATTTGCAAAACTGCCATGCTCACTTTGTAAACAACCCAAAATAGGCCCAATAAAACTGTAGTAGCCTAGGGAGAAGTTAAGTAGAATATACTTAAGATCCTTTATGAACATTTTCGCTACTACTTTGGAAAAAGGAAAAAGGCAGTTTAAGGTCCTGCTCTACAATCTCCCTCTACCTTTTCTACCTCCCATTGTCAGTCAGTTCTTATTCATGCCTGCTATGTACTCAGCAGTCCCAGGTATGGGGGATCTGAAAGAAATATAAAGCCAGTCTGTGTTGATATTTTTCTGTGTTGATATTGTCACTCATTTCTTAATGTAGTGAACAGAGAGGACTACACTACTATTGCACACACAGGGAAGGTTCAGTTCATATCATAGAATTTGATTTACAATTTGGTGGGAATGGGGATGACAGTGTAAGTTATTCCCACTATACTGTAAATCATTTCAATCATCTGGCTTTCCTAACACCTGGCTGAGGAATACCATGTTGATAAGAAAGATCTGGTTGGAATTGCCTCTAAGACTGACCCCCCCCTATTCATCAGGAAAAGCAGTACACACTTGTACAAAGTCCAGTTGAATAAAGCTGGGCCTTGGGAGAACAGAAAACAAGCTTGCTGATGTCCTTTTTTATATGTGCAGAGTGTACATGCATTCATACATGTGCTAAACATGCATCCATGTGAGATGCATGTGACATGTATGCATTGTATGTACATGTGATGTGTGTAATGTGCCTCTATTTTCACTAACCCAATTCAGGCTTTGTATCTGGGTAAGTTGAAAAAGTGGGTCAAAATTACCTGTGCTGTTGAGAGCTGGAGGCTGTGGCTTTGGTGACAGTCTCCTATTCACAGAAACCCACACAGTTGTTTTGTAGCGACTGTTGGGATTCTTAACAAATAGGCTCAGCACTGCCAGAAGAAAGTGGGAAATAAGTGTCTGGGGCAAATTGGTATGTGCTAGTCACCTAATGGACATTCCTACATGGCCATTTCAACAATTACCTTCCAATTCCAGTGCTTAAGCAGTATGTCAACAGCACTCAGCAAAATGGCTTCTCCAACGAAAGTGCATGTATGTATGATGAGATAATGCATGAAGCGGCCTGGGACCTTGGGACCTTGGTCTAAAGACTTGAATTTTCCTTTCAGAATCTTTCTATTAGTAGATTTTGGAGTGAAAGCTGATCTTCAAACAAATATGATTGTTTCAAATCTAAGGGAATAATCTGTGCCATTTGGAAATAATAAAGCAACTTGCTTCAGTTACTTTTCCACATGAACTGATCAGCAAGTGGTCGTGAAGAAATTCTCTCACGTTAATGAATCCTAAATTTTAAAATGCACGACTTGTTTTGAATAATGCCATTTAAATCACGAACTGTTCTCTTCTTTGAAATAATTTCGAATCATTGGAAATAGATATGAATAAGCAGACGCCAGAAATCTGAATTCAGAACCTTTCAGAACACGGAAACAATTTGGGCATAAAATTCTTCTCTCCAAAATCTTAGTTTGGCTGTGGTGATTTAACCTTTCCTGCTTTGGTATGAAGCTAATAGAAAGAATTATTACATCTGTCTTTCCACCTCTCTTGGCAATTCCATCTGCTCAACAAAGGTCAAGCTAGAAAACAACAGAGGATACTTACAGCAGAAGCCTGGGGTCCACCTCAAATAACTACAGAAAGTGCCTGTAGTGAGAAATTGTTCTCCTCACATTAGAAGTGAACCTGAAGGTAGGATTTCAGAAAAGGGATCTAGGTAGCAATTCTTCAGACTGCCTCTGAGGGCGAGTGCAGCTTAAGTTCCAGCAGACACCCAGAGCACACTCAAGTCCCAAAACCCTGGCTCTCCGTCCTCGTCTCCTGGATGTGCCCAGATCCCAGGGCAGGTTCTTAGATGCTCAGTGCAGACTCAGATGGAGGTATGGGCCAATGGGAAATTCGATACTTTAGAAGAATTTTGAGAGATGGATATTAGTTGGGGCCATAACATGGGTATGGGGGGAAATTAAGGCAAGGCGCCTGCGTGATGATGTTGCAGTCAGATTGGACGTAATGGTCTCTTGACTGGGTTTTGAAAGGATGAAAATTAGATCAAGTTAAGGATATACTTTAAAAGCTAAATGGAATGAATGGTTTAGGACAGGGAGATGAGCAGCTGTGCACGCACACACACACACACACACACACACACACACACCCTCTGTGGAGCACTGTGTGGCTAACCATGAGACTGTCTAACTCTATAAAAAACATGAGACAATGGTGGGTACTTCTGAACCTTTCATTTTAATACTGGTCATAACCCTTTTGCACATTTTCAGGGAAGAAACCCATAAGCTGTGTGTAATTATGAGATCATCTTAATTTAAATAATCCATCAAAATATTGAGAATATAGGGCATGCATAACAAATAATTTTTCCTCTTTCTCTTCAACCCTGATGTTCGTGGGGTCTCTAAATCCCATGTGACCTGTTACATGGCTTGTCCTCTTCCTGCCCATGTGCTGAGCAGCTGACAGAAAAGGTAACTATTGCACACATTTTGCTAGATTTAAGATTCATGTTCTTTTCTGCCTATTGCTGATATGTGTCAGAAAGACTTTTAAATCCAGGCTTAGGATTTAAATGTACACGCACTCTGCCTATGTGTGTGTACATTTATTTGCTATACACAAATTTAAAAAAATACCTTTTCTTGAGTGTTCCTTCTTCCCTTCCCCCAGAATGAATAGGAGGCTGTGTTGCAGGTGACTGTTTTTGGCAACATCACTCTGTCCTGAGTAGATCAAAATAAGTATTGGGTGAATATGATGAGAATCTATTCTTGTTATAAACCTAAGTGGGATTTGTAGGCTCATATCCTTCTATGAGCTACAACCCCCTGCAGTTGAAAATGTTTCATATGTGACTGATTTGCAGTCACTTTCACCCAACCAAGAAGTACCCACCTAACCCAGATGCTGCCAGCCCTGGTGCACACTGGAATCTCCTGGGGAACGTAGGCAATCTCCTGGATGCTTGTGTCTCACGCGGGCTGACTGAGTCAGAATCCAAGGACTGGTTGGGAGTTACTGGTCTAAACAAAACATAATGCCTGCCTGCTTGTTTCACATTTTATAATTTCCATAGCTCTTTCTCCAAATGATCTTATTTGGTTTCCAAAACAATCCTCTGAGGTAGATGGAGACAGGTAGTGCTGTTACCCTATTCAGTGAATCAAGCAATTGATGCTCAGAGATGATAAACAACTCACCAAAGCTGTATGGCTTGTAACGTAAGGGTATCACTTATAATGTGTAAAACCAAATTTGAAATACAACCAGTTTTTCCAAAGTTTAGCTTAATGAACTTCGTTTTATCATGCATTGCTGGTTAAAAGAACTAAGGAAATGAAATAATAGGAAGCATGTATCGAGATTTTATTTTATTTGTGCATGCAAATATCAAATCAACAGAATGAAAAAGTAAAAGCTGACAAATGAATTAATGGTGTCTATAGGATGTGAGAAAGTCATCTAGTGTGGCTATGGGCATTAAAGTCAACCACATTCCATTGGCCAAGGGTGATCATTTCACCTTCAGTCTTCTGGGTAGAATTCCTTATCCACTGTGCATGTAAACAAAGTCATATAATCTCAACCACTATCAGGCTCAAAAGTACCTATTTCTCTTATTTATTACAATGGGTTTTCCTGCTTTGATTGGAAATCTAGGTTATTACTAAAGAGTTTTCCATCTTGATGTATCTCTCTTCAGGAGGAAGAAATCGTTGACTGGTGGAGTAAATTCTATGCTTCCACGGGAGAACATGAAAAATGTGGACAATATATTCAGAAAGGCTATTCAAAACTCAAGGTACCTGGGCCTATGTTATATGGATGGGGGATAAATATGCATTAAAATTGACCGCAGCAGAACTAAGTTTAAAAGGTCTGATTGGACAGCCCAGGAGTACCTCTGACCTCCTGGAGAACCCTCTTGCGGTGGGTTTTGCCTTTGCCAAGATTCCTAGGACTTGAGGACAGCTGTTGACTTATAGTTACATGACTGCCGCCTTGGGACTTGGCATTAAAGTGGAGAAACCCACATCCTTTCATGTTTTGTTATAATGTTTCAATGTGGTTTAAGAAACACCAGCATGTAAAGGACAGATAAATTAGGAAAATGATCAAATTTTCCAGTGAATGAGTCCATCTTCCCTCCTTCACTGCCTTCCTTTCTTTTCATCCTTCCTCCTCCTCTTCTAGTTTATCACCGTTTAATTTACATACAAAAAAGTTATCCATTCAGTGAGGTTTGATCACTGTATACGCCTACGTAAAACACATGGGGCAAAGGGCATGTCCATCACCACTCACATAATCCCTTCCAGCTCCATCCATGTTGCTGTGAATAGCATGAGTTTATCTTTTTTGATTGCTGAGTAGTATTCCATTGTGTATATATACCATGTCTTGATACTATGGACATTCTCGTGCCATGTGGACTTTTTTTTAATCTTCTCAGATAATACCTGGGGTTGAAATTTCTGAACTATTTGTTAGATATTTAATTCCATAAGTAAAAGTCAGGCATTTTCCCAAAGTAGTTGCGTGTTTCCACACTCCTACCATGAAAGTTTCAATGGCTCCATCTGTGTCCTCATGCCTATTTGCTGTCATCTGTCCTTTTCTTAGAGTCCACCTGTATTTTTATGAAAAATTAAGAATGTGTTGCTATATTTTAGATATATAATTGCGAGCTTGAGGACGTAAAGGAATTTGAGGGCCTGACAGACTTCTCAGACACTTTCAAGCTGTATCGAGGCAAATCAGATGAGAATGAAGACCCTTCAGTGGTAGGAGAGTTTAAGGTGAGTAAAATGCTTGTGTTTGTCCTGCTCAAAACTCACCTCTACTTTTTTAATAGGCTTAAGATAAAAAGACAGCCAACCTCTGGCACAGAAAAATATTCTGAGACATCGGAAGGATATTTTAAGGTGTTAACGAGGAAAAGGACAATGGGGAAAGGACAAAGCACTGAGTCATTCTGGGGGTCCCCCCTTCTCCCTGCCCATGCCAGCCAGTCTTGAATCCTGTAGCTTCAACTTTCCAGGTTCCTGCTCCCCATGCCCACCGTCCCCTCCTGGACTTTCAGCAGGACCATTTCAGCAGCTTCCCAGCTGCCACATTTCCCTCCAACTCCAGTTCTTTCCCCATGAACCCAGCTCTGATCATGTTTCATGACTTCTTACAGACATCGCTTGGGTTTCCATTGAATCAAGTCTCAACTCCTTCTTGAGGTGGAGCCACTTGTCTCCTGTGCCACCACACCCTCCTGCCAGGAGGACCTCTCCCAAACCCCAAACATACCTGTCCTCTCACAACTTGGAGCCTTGGGACAGGCTCTTCTTCCTTCCCTGGCTGCCCTTCCTTCTCTCTTTGTGGTCTGTCTAACTCCTACTCATTCTTCTAATCACCAGCTCAAATGTCACATTCTTTGTGAGGTGTTCCCTGATTGCTTCTGGCAGTGACTCACTCCTGTGCTAGGCTCCCACAGGTCTGGATTCCTGCTGCTGCTAAAGCACCTTCACGTTGAAGTATCTGTTTTCATGACAGCCCCTCCCTCCAACCACAGTTGACACATCCCTGCCAGATACACTGCTACTTCCTAAGCTTTTGCCAAGAGCAGACATTGCTAATCAATCAGAGGATGATACCCTACACATGGTCTCAAGATCTTTCTCATTACAACCTCCAGCAAAGCAGTCAAAGATGGCATGATAGTCAAACTTACTTAATATCCTTGTGCCACACTGGGTTCCTCGAGGTCACTTTTGCTTCCCTGAAAGGGAACAAAGTAGGTGCTTACTTCATGCTGCTTTACTGAATGAATGTAGCTGGAATTAAGATCCATGTGTTCTGAATCCAAGTGTAGTGCTTTCTCCGCAACTTAAGTGGTTTTGAGATAGACTATATTGATTCTCAAGCTGGCCTGGTGGCTCGCTCACTCTTTAAACATATTGTGCCCCAGCCCGTGGTAGGTTGTGGAGTTAGAATGATGAACAAACAAGACATAACTCCTACCTTCCAGAAGCTTACAGTCTGGTAGAGAACATAACCAAGAAATAGTTATAATGCAGAGGTCAGTGCTACCACAGAGCTGAAGGCAGGGATGGATGCGAGTGTGCAGGATACACACCTACCCAGGGGCAAGCAGATAGGGTTCCTGGAAGAGGTGATGACTTTTGACTAAGATTTGAAGAATGAACAGGAGTTTGCCTGGGAGTGGCGGGGGTTTAAAGGGTGACCCAGGTAAAGGGAACTATACCTTAATGTAATTCACTTCATCCCTGTCTTCAAAATATGTGTAGAGCTCACTCCACCACCACCTTTGCCACCATATTGTGCAAGCCACAATCTCTTGCCTGGATTTTTGTCTGTCCCTGCTTCTGCCCTGCTGTTTCTTCTCCCCTGTCATCAAATATGTACGTGATTGTTATTTCACTCCCCCCGGAAATACAGAATATGTGTTGTTTCTTTCACAAAAGCAGCCTTTTGTCACCCAATCCCACAACCCCTGAGGCTGAATCTTGGTGTGCGGGTGGAGGAGGCCACTGCCCGGGTCACCAAGAGCCCAGTGATTGCATCTGTATGTCTCTCTCTTAGGGCTCCTTTAGAATCTACCCCCTGTCGGATGACCCCACTGTGCCGGCCCCTCCCAGGCAGTTTCAGGAATTACCTGACAGCGTCCCACAGGAATGCACGGTTAGGATTTACATTGTTCGAGGCTTAGGGCTCCAGCCCCAGGACAACAATGGCCTGGTAAGAGTTTGGGTGTGGGGCCTTCTCATGTAGCAAGATAATTATAGTCATCAGCGACAATAATTGTCATGTTATTTCTTTGGGGGCGCCTGTTATCTCACTAGGAGAAAGATACTCTATCAAAACTGTGTATTCAGAAGGATTGTCCCAATGGGGATTAATCTAAAAGCTGGAAGGGGCCTTCGATCCTCCGGTTCATCGTTCTCATTTTACCGATGTGACCTCAAAGATTTGCCCCTGGGACTCCTCCCTGCCACTGCCTCTTCACCCCTCACCGCTTCTCAGAGGCACACTGGCTCAGTGCTACCACGGGAAGCACTCTCAGACCTGGTCTGAGGCACGTGGGTGCCACAGCTGCCATGGGTGTGGGGGCACCCTGATCTGTCCCCAAAATGGACTTATGCTTGCACCCCATGATGACATAGCATTATCTGTCTTGTCTCCACAGTGTGACCCTTATATAAAAATAACACTGGGCAAAAAAGTAATCGAGGATCGAGACCACTATGTTCCCAACACTCTCAACCCAGTTTTTGGCAGGTACTGTCCATTTTGAAATGTTTCTCTGTCATTCATTTCTTTATGGAATTTGTGATAAAGACGTGGTATGTGCCAACCTCTATTTTAGGCCCTGAAACCATGACTATGAGCTAGGCAAGTGGTCTAAGCAGTGGAGTAGGTTATACATATAGAAGAGCACAGGTGAAAGAATTTCATGCAAGTGAAGCATGCCATGAAGAAAATACAACCAAGTCGTGGGCTGGGCTCCTCTGAGACCTGGGGGCAGGGTGATGGGTCGGTGGAGGGCAGGGTGGTGCAAGGCCCGGGAGTCCCATATGTTGGTGGGTTCTCAACAAGAGGAACCGAGTGACAACCAGAATGACATGTTGCTTCTCACCCTCTAATCCAGCATGGGCTCTGTTTTCTGGGATGCTTTGATTCTGCCATTTTAACCAATGAAGGTATTTGATGGATTGGGGATGACCTCGTTATCCCAACTGAGGAGAGGTCAGAATTTGAAGGGGTCAGAAGGTCCAAGTGACCTCTAAACGGGACCATTTTCAGCTATAAATTGCATCCACATTAATAATAGTTTCTATTTGCTGAGCTTTTACTGTGTGCAGGCTCTATGCTTAGCCATTTATATTAGACATCGCAGAAATTCCATAACTCTGAGGTGCTATCATTATCCCCAGTTCACAACAGAGGAAACTGAAGCACAAAGTGATCAGTGCCCAACTGGTAAGAGGTAGATTCAGAACGGCATCTGTGTGGTTTCCATGCTGCCTCCTAGCAGCTGCCACCATCTGATTTTCTCCTCCAACCTATTCGTCGGGCAGTGCAGGGATTAGAAGCCCCAATTTCTAGGGGAAGGAAACAGGGTGCCAGAACTCTGTGACTAGTGCATGATAGAGCCAAGATCAGGTACAAATTCCCTGCTCCGAATCCCAGGTCTTTCCCACACCCTTGGTAATGCTTCAGGTTTGTGGAAGCCATCCATCACCTGCACAAAACGGGTTTTTGTGCAAAATATTAGTGAGGTGTTATTTTCCCAGCACCATGCTGAATTGGAGAATGCTTTGTTCTTGTTTGATTTGTGGCCTGTATTTTAATTTGTGCCCTTGTCATCGTGGCCATGCTCTTCTTCCCTATGCATATTTGTGCCTTTGGACATTTTTTCTCTGTTAGCTATACACACACACTCAAGAAAGTCTTTGTCATTCATTCCCTACCTCCTCCACTACATATCAAATCACACTTGCCCCACCACACCGTGTACTCATAGCCTGCACCACACCGGCACACGGAGCCCCATGCACACACAACTCCAGGTGCTCATGTGCACGCGCACACACACACGTACGACCCTTGCACCACACACCCGAGGCCACGTGCCGGGACTAGGGAGTAGAAGTAATCCTCTGGCACAACAGTATGATCGTTTTCCTTTTCTTCCACTGATCCAGCCCTGAGGTCTAGACAGGAAAAGGCACGCAGGGCAGGAAGGAGGGCTCCGCATGAGAGACAGGGAAGCCAGGAGAGCCAGCTTTTATGGGAGAAAGGCAGCCCTGTCTGAATTGCTCCTCTCAGAGGAGCCAAGCACAAGCTTAATTAAGTGGCAGGAAAAGTCTTGCTCGGAGCCACCCTGGGAGGAAGTGATGCTGTCAGGCTCCCCTCAGCCAATCCCTGTCTGGCGTGTGTACAGATCCCCCAGCCAGCAGGGTGGGGCCTGGGAGACGGTGCGCGCAGCCCCTCAGACTGCTCGGCTCCAGTCCCTGGCCTGAGTTTTAATGGGTGACTTCCTTCTCAGTGGAGACTCCTGGGGATTCTGGGGCAGGAATTCCAGCATTATTGTCCTTAAAGCATCATGACATCTCCCCAGATCACATTCAACAGTAGAGCAGTATCTTGCACAGATGGTGACTGCTCTTCCAAGAAAAAAGTATTCCTTTATCAAACCAAGACACTGGGGCTAAAAGAGATAGCCACTGCAGGACTTCTCAGAGCCTTTAGTTTGTGCAGAGGAACTCCAAAAGAAGTGGTTCTCAACCTTGTTTTGCTAAAGAATTCTTTTTCTGAAAGGACTTGTATTATATGTCTCTTGGGATCCAGTGCTGGAAATGCAGGCTAGGGTACCTGTGGACAGAGCTTCCTGGGTGGTCATGACTAAAGTGCCTTTTCTCCTGTGGCTACCTGCCTCCTGCAGGTCCCTCCAGGCTGCAGCAATGTAAAGAACTCAGAGATTTATCTAGAAACATCCTGGAATTTTCTCTCCAGAACACCTTTGACACACACCCTTCTGCCCAAATGGATTAACATACCTGGCTGTTTGGGTGGGAATCAGTCCACACACCAGTGTGCAAGAAGACTGGAGGCAGCACGGGGACCCAGCAGATATTGTTTTCCTTCAGCAAAATTTGTTGGGCACCTACTATGGACCCTGTGCCTCTGTGGACCAAGCAAATGCAAAGTCAAGTCCTATCCATCTGGAACTTATGTTGTTCAGACTATCACCCTCTCGTAATGTGATAATAATGTTAGTAATTTAATAATAGTGATTATTATTAAGTTAATAATAATTGCAATTGTCATTATGGTTGCTGCGATTTGAAAGCTTTCTAAGCATTTCTTTACTTGATATTTATAGAAATATAGGATGGTAGGTATTATTATCCTCACCACTTTATAGATGACCAAATTTAGCCCACAGAGGTTAAATTATTCGCCTATGTGGGAACATATTATTGACCTGTGGGAATAGCTAGCAAGTAACAGCTGGATTCAAACAGAAATTGAAACCCATTCCCTTGAACAAGCATATACTTTCATATTGTTCTTATTACTAATTATTAAGTATTACTTATTAAGTACCTTACCCATCCAGTTATCTTATTTATAATGTCCAAGCCTGAGCCTCTGCCCATGAATGCATTTGCATAGAATTCTGGGGTTAAATAGGATTATGGAAATTCTAACCTTGTGTTTGTTCACTTAGAATGTATGAACTGACCTGTTACTTACCTCAAGAAAAAGACCTGAAAATTTCCGTTTATGATTATGACACCTTTACCCGTGATGAAAAAGTGGGAGAAACCACTATTGACCTGGAAAACCGATTCCTTTCCCGGTTTGGGTCGCACTGCGGCATTCCTGAGCAGTACTGTGTGTAAGTTGCTTTAATCACAAGTGTAGACAATTTGCTCCATCTAACATTAACACCTGCGGAAGGGTTGGCTCTCTACCTCAGTAGATGTCCTCCCCGAGTCACTGCTCCTTTCGGTCAGCTATGTACCATTTTTAAACACCTGAGGGGGGAGAAATAAGCAAACATTGTTTAAAATGAACAATGATGTAAAATATATATAAATAAAAAAGAAAAATATAATCCTCAGGGGAAAAGAAAGGGGGGCTTATTTTAGAGAAAATCGGGGCTATAGCATTGCCCAGCTCTAGGGGGTGCCATCTCATCACAGCTGGTGTAAAACACTGGTCCCTGGAGTAGGGAGATGCTCTGTGGAGATGGCGTAGCAGCACAGTGCAGGAGACCAGTCCCCTCTCTCCTCTTCTTTGAACCCCCCTCCTCAAGGCCAGGTGGTAAAGATGAGCAACGTTTTATGACAGGAATCCCTGCCCTTTGCAAGCAGAGATTTCTTGCATCTTCCCCTAAATTGATTGATTTTGGGGATGCCCCCTTTCTCTGAATGCTATACAGTATCTTTCTACAGTATCTAGTGAGTCATAGCTTGTAGTTCATGGTGTAGGAATTTGCATATTATGATTAAGGTGAACACAATCAAACTCATATTTACAGAGGAGGAAACTGAAGGGGGAAAATTTAATTGGCTGGGGCCAAGATAATATGTAGGTTTTAGGTCTTTCAACTATTTATTGGCAAAAGCCAATGTACAGAGGATAGTCCTTGCTCCCTCATTATTGGGAGCACCTGTAAATATGTAAATGTGTGTGCTTCCAAGAACTGGCATGCCTTGCAGTAACTCCATTGTGGGGTGTTATTCACAGTTCTGGAATAAATACCTGGAGAGACCAGTTGAGACCAACACAGTTGCTGCAAAATGTAGCCAAATTCAAAGGCTTCCCACCACCTATCCTTACTGAAAATGGAAGTATGATCAGATATGGGGGACGAGACTACAGCTTGGATGAATTTGGTAAGCATATTGCCATAGGTTGCAATCTAGTTATTAAGTATAGCAGCCCATTCATTTTCTGGGTTCCCTTTGTGGAGGGGGATAGGTAGAGCAGTACCCTAATGATAGCACAGGAGATTCCACACACAACTGTTTAACAAAAGCCCCTTTATAGAAAGTTGTGCTGTTTTGCCAAGTGTCAAAGTGGACACACTTTCTTGTCTGTCTTATGTTTTATTTGACCTTTTTAGGTCATAGCTATTTGAGCTATTAACACAAAGTTCTAGTAATTAACTTATTTCTATGTAAAGTATAATTAGTTCCAAAGTGCTCAGATGATAGTACAAGAATGTCTCTTCCAAGTTTATTCCATCCTTCTTCCCAACCTTCTCTGAAAGGCTCAGGGATGCTGGGGGTTGGTTCAAAGAATGTGCCAAGTTCACATCTGGCTCATGTCTGAACTTGGGGTCTTGCTCTTTCCCTAGTGATAATTTATAACACAGTCCGTCCTGACACACAGCCAGCTGTTCTATGACAAGACTGAAATAAGCTTAGAAGAGCATAGAGCCATGGTGTGATTCAGTGCTTTACAGGGAGAGAGGGTTCCCCAGAGTGGGTGGTGATGAAGTTGGCCTTGAAGGAATTTCTGCAGGAAACCGAACAGAGATGCATGGAGCAAAGTGCTTCCTGGCCCTCAGCTGCTTATTCTTGACATTGTAAGAAATTTTATTTTGTCTTTCCATTTGAAGAGGACTTAGCGTCAGGAAGGATTGGATATCTAAAAAGCGTTGATGCTGCTGTTAACATGAGAAATTGCAAAGAGACTAGGAATAAACTAGAAAGCAACATGGCCTGCTGGCTGAGAGAGTACACTCCAGAATCAAGCAACTCCACCCAAAAGCTGTGTCAGTCATGATATTGCTATTTGTTATGACATGACATTTACTATTGTTGTGTTGCCAATCATCTAAGTCTTAGCAGCCAAAAATAATCACTTCGTTTTGCTCACAGTTTGTGGTCAGGAACTCAAGGACTCAAGTGGGTGGTGTCTCCCTTGGGGCCCTGGTGCTGTTGGCTGCTGTCAGATGTCCGCTGGGGCCACAGTCATCCGAAGGCTTAACTGGGCTGGGTGGCCAAGGTGGCTCATGCACATACTGACAGCTGCTACCGACTCCTGGTCTGGAGCTCAGCTAAGGCTAATGATGCAGCCCCCATTTCACAGGGCAAACTCTGGAAGCTCAGGTCCCTTACATGGTGGGTAGCTTACCTCACAGCAGGTGGCCCAGGAGAGTCAGGTAGAAGCTACATGACGTGATCTTGTATGTCTGGCCTCAGGATCACACAGCATCCTCCATACTTCAGTGGTTGAATAAGTGTTTCCAGAGTCAAAGGGAGGAGATGACATAGACCCCATCTGTTAATGAAAGGAGTATCAGAAAATTTGGGAGCTATGTTTTGAAAATGTGACAGTGACACTAGCTGCTATAGCAACTGAACTTACAGATTTCAGGGCTTAATACTTTATTTCCCATAAATTCAAAACAGGTATTGCTACAGGTGGTGATCGTCTCTCAAGCAGTGTTCCATGTGGACACAAGTCTTCTGTCTTATTGCACTGCCACTCATCATGTCAGGCAGCTAAGGTAGATATTTGTTTCTGCTTTCAAAGCGAACCCACACAGAGGGTCCTACGTGAGATTTTATGTACCAGGTGTAGAAATGACACACATGCACTTCCACCTACATATATTCTAGCCTAATTTGGTTGCATGACCACACCTAAAAAGAAGCTAGGGAGTCTGGCTCTGAGCCTCTGCCGCTAAAGCAAATACAAGCTGCTATCACTTAGCACATCTTGGTGTGTTCTGGTCCCTTTGCTGTTGGCAGCTTATAAGTCAGGCATGTGCCTGGTTGGGGCAGGGCTGTTTTTGTCAACTCCTAAACAAGTTGAAGTTTGCACAATGGCTCTGCCTGACCATTTTGCCAACTCTGAGATGGAGGGGTGTGAGCCCCTCAGGGTAGTCTGGCTGAACTCTTACCAGATGCCAATTCTTGTTACTCCTGCTACTTTCTGTTGCAGAAGCCAACAAAATCCTGCACCAGCACCTGGGTGCTCCGGAGGAGCGTCTCGCCCTTCACATCCTCAGGACTCAGGGGCTGGTTCCTGAACACGTGGAAACTCGGACCTTGCACAGCACCTTCCAGCCCAACATCTCCCAGGTAAAGGGGCCCTGAGGACCAGAGTGGCAGTAGCTGGCACAAATTTGCCCTCTTGGATATCTTCTGGATACTTTTAGAAATACAAGAAATAGAAATGATATTCAGCTTAGCTTCATCCCAAAGGGGAATTTACTGTAAGAATGTTCAGGTAACTCACTAAATCCAAACAGAAGGGTGACTATGACTCAGAAGCTACTTGAGTGAGGATATCTCCCTGTCTCTTGCCCACTTCTCTCTGAGTCCCTTTTAGTCTGTGATCACCTTCCTACATGTCAGAATATTACCAACAGTTTCTGAGGTTTTTATGTTATAACACAGCCCTATCTACTTCCAAATATGGAGAGAATTGGTTGCTACATCTTGGTCTAATGGTCCACCCCTGGACCACTCAGCTATATTCAGAATTCAGAGCCTAGGAAAGCAATTGCCTTTGGGCCAGCCAGATGAGACAGTGCCCCTCAGACCAAAGAACCAGGAAGAAGACACAAGATGGCTTGTCATGAGCACCATGTGGAGACTGATGAGGAAAGGTCAGTTCCCAGAAGCTAGGGAGCAGTTTCTAGACAGGCAAGAAAAGACTTGGCAAATGACAGATATTCCATGAGAAAGCTTCTTACAATAAAAACTCCCAAACCAAGAGATTCGGATTCAATGGATCTGGGAATCTGAGTTTTAACAAGTACCTGGAGGGATTCTGATGCCAGTGTCTAGGAAATCACACCTTAAGGAATATTAATATAACAGATGCAAATATTTTGACAATGACAGCAGAACCATGGACAAGCTTATCTCTAAAAAGTGGCCACAATGATGGGAGTTTACTAGATTATGTCACTTACTCCTTCCTTTGATTCTGTTTCACATTTCCACTTCTTCCATCTCTTGTTATTCCTTTTTCTCCCACAGAGCCCATTCCTCCTCCTCTCTCCCCTCCTATCCCTCCATTGAATAAAGTCTTAAGAAATTACAAATGAGAAAGATTTCTCCATGGGAATCCTCTTCCTGCCCCATCACCTCTACCTACCGCATTGGACACAGACTGTCTGAGTCTTAGGAGACACCTGGAAGCTTAATGTTCTGCAGACTTGATGTATTGTAGAACCTTGAGCCCTGGAGATTAGTTGGAAGAGAGTCGGGATCACAATAACATATATCCCTTTTTGAGAGCTCCAGTTAATTCATTTTGATCACAATGCATTAAGAAACCAATCTAGTTGCTTCCGTGGCAAACTTCTTCTGTTTTTGTCATGAAAGCAGAGTCTACAGAACATCCAAAAAAGCAGACTGGGGGATTTAAATTGGTTCTTAAGGTTGATATGGCTTGTTAATGGCATTCCTAGCCTGTCTGGAAGATTATTCCAATCAGCCAGATGGACCTGGTCTGCACCAAAGACACGAACAGTGCCTCTCCAAGATGGCAGCATGAGTGCCGATTGGGCTCGCTCCCTCCCCTCCTGCAGCCTCCTCTCTGGTGGTGGGCACTAGCAAGCCAGTAGTAGGGGATACTCAGCTTTGAGGAACATTAACATTCTTGTCATTGTTGCATCTCTCTTTTGAAAGTGTCATGTTGTTTTTCTTGTATAGAATTTAATGCTATTTTATATTTTGGTGTTTTTCATCTTGCTGTAAGTGGAGAAAACCTTAAGTTTCACACAACTGGGGCTGGTATCAAGTAGGTGATGTGATGAGTGAAACTGAGAGCTATTCTCAGAGTAAAGGGCCAAACTTTATGCCATTGTAAGAAGTGGGGTGTATGTGCACATGTGTGTGGTGCAGGCTGTGATAGGGATGGGAAGCCCCTTGTTCTATCAACCAGAGAAGACTCACACTATGACACCAGCAGGCACATGCAGCTGTCAGAGACTCCTGGGTAAGAGTGGGGAGTGGGTGGAGACTGATGGCCTCAATGACACTGAAGATTGAAGATTCACCTTGGGTCTGTCTTCTGTATCATTTGGGGGGGGGCTTTCCATGTGGACTAATAGATCAGCAACCCCCCCACAAAATGTTTCACCTAAGAAACATGAAATCACTCAAATAAATTCATTTCTCTTTTCATTTTGGAATGGTTTAGGGGAAACTTCAGATGTGGGTGGATGTTTTCCCCAAGTCTTTGGGACCACCAGGCCCCCCTTTTAACATCACACCTCGGAAAGCTAAGAAGTAAGTAATCTTGAGGCTCTATTAAATTGGACTGGTTTCTTGGTGCAAGACCAGAGTAAAACATACCTTCAAAATGTGCTCCTTTCAGATACTACCTGCGTGTGATCATCTGGAACACCAAGGACGTTATCTTGGATGAGAAAAGCATCACAGGAGAGGAAATGAGTGACATCTATGTCAAAGGGTAAGACTAGCAAATACTAATCTCTGACAAACCAAGGAATGATACATTAGTTTTCACTATTGAAGATGTCCACTATAGGATTCTAGGTTGTCCGAAGTTATTTTGTGTCATTAATGCAATCTGCTTAGGAAGCTCCTGGGAGGCAAAGAGAGAGAACAGAAAGAAAATCCTGTTCAGGTCTTGTTTACAGGCACAACTATATAATGCCTATAACAACTGACAAATGTTTCATCACTTCTCTTAAGAAAATGAGTTTTCTTCAGTTTATTAAATAGATTTGTTCTTTGTGAGTTTTTTTTTTTAAGTCATGCAGATCCTTTTTATTCTTTTTTGATACTTGGAATAACTAACCTTAAAAACAAGTAAGGCTTCCAGAATTTTTTTAAAATTTGGCTGTTTCCTCTTTTTTGTAATACAGAGGAAACAGCCAAATTTTTTAAAAATTCATTCATTCCACCAATATTTATCCAGTGCTTGCATCTAACATGTAAAGTGTTACAGTTATTCATTATTCTGGTAATTATATAATTCAATTCTAAATAGTTCCTGTTGATGTTAGTTTTGTATTGTGCTGTGATCATAGATATTAAATACAGAATGGCACAGTGAGCCAGTTTTTGGAGTCAAACTACCTGTTTGAAATTCTTCCCTTACAAGCTGGGCAAGTTAGTAAGCTCACTGTTCCTCATCTGTAAAATAGAGCTAATGGTAGTATCCACCTCTCTGGGATATTCAAAAAACTGTATTACACAAAGCATTTAGGATAATGCCTGCAGAAAGTGTAGTAAACTTTTGTCTTAGTCAGATTTCTGCTGAAAAACAGAATAAGTGTATTTGAATGTGTGTGTGTGTGTAGAAAGGGGAGAGAGACAAGAGGGAAGGGGGATGGGGAGCAGTACAGAGATTTTTAGGAATCAACTCACATGATTACAGAGCCTGAGAAGTCCCATGATCTGCATCTGCAAGTTGGAAATCCAGGAAAGCCAGTGGAATAATTCAGTCTAAGTTTGAAGGTCTGAGAACCAGGGAGGTTGAAGATGTACATCCCAGTCTGAGGTCAAAAGATGAGATATGATGTCTCTGTTCAACCAAAGAGGCGGAAGAAAAGGAATTCCTCCTTTTTCTGCCCTCTTTTTCCATTCAGGCCCTCAACAGATTGAATGCTGTCCACCCACATTGGGAAGGACAATTTAATTTACTGAGTTTACTGACTTAAACCTAATCTCATCCAGAAGTATCCTCATGGACACACCTAGATGTAATGTTTCAGCTGACCACCCTCCAGTTAATCATGTAGACACATAAAATTAACCATCACACTATGTGATGTTAGCTAATGTTATTACTGTTGCACATAGACCAAATTTAGTTCCTTGATGTATAAAAGATAAGACTTCTTGAAATTTAATATATTCATAAAGTAAGAACAAAGTTTCACTTATAATCCCAAGTGGCCCTCAATCAAAATTTTGTTAAAGACATAATTACTATCATTTAGGTTCACTATAAACAGGGAATGTTTCATCAAGTTCTTCATTATTCTTTCTCATTTCAGGTTCTTATTATCATTCCCCAAGGAAAACTAATCCCAGCTAATTATATATATGCAAATTTATTTGACTATCATAGCATTACTTTTTTCAAATCAGGGAAACAAACTCAAGTAATGCTGGACTGGCAGAAATAAAGCACTACCTAAATTACCATTTCATTTTTTGAGTTAAAAATATAAATAATTGAAATAATATGTGAAAAGCTGAATAATGCATAATTTAAATGACTAACACTACCCACATATAGTTATTACATATAAAAGTTTACATATATATCCACAAATACATATACTTAGAGCAGTTTCCTTTATTTTAAAATTAAAATGTGAAAAGACTCACATTCAAAATTAAACGTGTAAAGATTATCCCCAAATTGAGGGAAAAGCTGCAGGGAATGTCTGGTGAGATGTTGGGGAGTGAAGTCACTGGCATCCTAATCAAAGAGTATGAACTCTTCAGTGAGTTAGTTTAAAAGCTTAAAGTGAATAGTCAAAGGACACTTTCAACTCATTTAGCTAGTTAGTAAGTGATAAAAGTAAAATCATGTAGTTGATTGATATTAATACCCCTACTAATAATGGGACCAAATAAGTGTGTGACTTTCTAGCTTTCATGGTTCTTTGAAGCAGATTAGCAGGCTGTAACAAAAGGACAATCAACAGTCCTTTAGAGTCAGACCAACCGAAAGTTACCTACTTACCTCTGTCTGTTACTGGCCATGTGACCTTGTGTGAGTTGCATATTCTGTCTAAACCACATTATCCTCCTCTGAAAAGTGGAGGTGGTTGTATTGCCACCCAGCTGTTGGGAAGAATAAAAGAAGGCTGAGTACCTGGTTCACCCAGATGATCATAAGCATGAGTTAAGCATTTCCCCCTTTCCATGCTGGCCCCTCTGAGCTGTGATCTCTCATTCTGTCCTCATGTTGACCATATGAAGGGAGCACAAATCGTTAACCTCATCCCGCAGATGGGAGGTGAAGTCAAGTGGCAGAGCAAGTTCACACCCAGGCCTGCTGCCTACCATGAGCCTCTCTCTGTGGGGTCCAGGCATCAATATTTTTAAAAGCTCCCCTGTTGATTCCAGTGTGATTCTAATATGCAGTTAGTGTTGAGAATCACGCATTTTACCACTTTATGAATCTAATTCCTGAGTTTCCTCCTTGTTCCAAACCAGGAGTCTTCTCAATAATAGGCAGATATGACAAGAACTTCCTCCCCAGCCTGTTCATTCATTCCTTCCTTCAACAGGCTATTATGTGCCAGGCACAAGCCAAAGGAAACTTTCCAGATGTTGAAAGTTAAGATGCTAAATTGTTTATGGAAATGAATTTTCATAAATATGCATTTGGAAATAGCAGCTTACTTCTCCCTCGCTAGTCTCATTAATATGATCACAGTGAATTTAAGAATGATTTAAAAAGGAAGCTGTAAGATGACTTGAGTAATGCCTGTTTTGTTTGCTTAAGTAAAATGTGGGAAAGGAAATGCAAAAATTTTGAACTAACCCACTTTCAGTGAGTCTATCAGCCGCGATGACAGACACAGATGAGTTATAGTTGTGAAGACTAAAATCATGGGCAGCTTCAATCTTCCTAAAATAGAAGCTAAGTTGTTGATATTTTCCAGAAAGTTTTACCTTATCCTTGTTAACTGAAGTCTAAAGGGTTTCCTGCTTTGGTTTTAGAGGAATTATATTTTATTTGGCTACAACTGTGTTGGATGCAGCAGAGTGCCTCCCCTTCATAAATCACCCCTCAGCTCTGTAGATAACTGGAACCTGCCCAAGAAAAGTGCATTAATTCTCCTGCCCTTCTCTCCCTTAATCACTGCGCAATTTTGCGGCTAGATTACCTGTCAATCAGAGAAAGCTAAGTCTGTTTGCCTCTGCTTTTCAGCTGGATTCCTGGCAGTGAAGAAAACAAACAGAAAACAGATGTCCATTACAGGTCCTTGGATGGCGAAGGGAATTTTAACTGGAGATTTGTTTTCCCATTTGACTACCTCCCAGCAGAACAACTCTGTACTGTGGCCAAAAAAGTAAGCTCTGAAAAATGCCAGTAGGAAGTGGATGTCATGGGTCTTCCCTACTGCAGACACTCAGAGAACATCAGGGCTACCCAGCATCTCCAAGGTCATGAGCGGCTCCCCCTTGGTACTGCTGGGAAAGCTGAGACTTGCAGAGGTGTAGACACTTGTCCGGCTCACACAGTGGTGACAGTTATCTGTGTAAATAGGAAATTAATGGACCCAAGCTTTATATGGGTGCAGGGTGAAGGATCTGGTAAATGGTGGACCTGGGGATCCTGTGTTAATATATACAACAACCCAGCTATTTTATTATTTTTTTTTTTTGGTCATGGGGGACTGATTTCTTCCCATAATAAGCAGACCTGTTGGACTAATTAACCAAAAAGAAGCAAAATATTAAAGTAGATGCAGTTTCCCTTTTGCCTTCCTTATTACCCCAGCATCTGCCTTACCTCCTGCAGAAGCTCTCCATGAGGACTCAGGACCTTAGATGTAAGTAGGACTCTCAGTTACAGAACTCAATTCAACTGGCTTATACTTTAAAAAGAAGTGATTTATTGACCTACATTACTAAAAAGTCCAGGGTTGGCTGACTTAAGGAAATCCAGGATCCTAGGTTGAACTGATATCTTTAGAAATTGCTCTCATTTTCCTGCTGCTCTGTTCTGCCTTCTTCTGTGGGCCTCATTCTCTGGTGGAGGCAAGATGGCTGCCAGCAGCCCCAGCTCACATCCAGCCTCTCAGCAACCTCAGCAGAAAGAGAACAAATCCCTGATGGCGCCAACCCCAGGGCTGGAATTGGGCCTGTGTCTGCCTGTTTGGGGTCAAACGTTCCTCCCTGAACACAACGTGTTGCCTGGGAGTTAGTGCTCTGACTGACCAGGGCCTGGACTCAGGGATGGAGCCTGTTCCTCCCAAATTGCATGTACTGGAGGAGGGGAATCCTGGAGAAAAATCTGGGCACTTTTATCCCAAAAAGGAAGCCTGAAACAGATATAATAACAGATATCTTGTGTCGGACCCTGGCCCATCCCCATACTCTATAAACTTTCCTTGCTCCACTGGTCACATCCTCTCCCCACACCTGATCCAAAGGTCCCTGTGTCCTACCCCTGCTGGCCCTGCAGGTGCTGAGACTGCAGTGAGCCCTTTTTCTGTGCCAGATAACACAAATGTCTTCCAAGGGCTCTTTCTAGAGACATGGACACAACCTGATTTGAACTATGCACACTTTCAGATGGCGAGGCAGGGAGAAGGGATTTGGGGTCAGGTAGGCCTTTAGGTAGAACTAAGTTGCCTCTCTGACTGATATCCAGAGCTGGACTCTCCATACCCTGAGTGGTACTTGAGCACTTGTAGCCAAACCCCACACAGGACAGGCAGGGCCAGACAACAGCATAGTGGGCTTCCCAGCCCCTCAGACCTAGTCCCTCTGAGCCCTGCAAAGGGGAACATTCCTGGAATGTCATCTGAAAAATAAGAAACAACCCTATCATCTTCCTTCAAATTCATGAAGCAGTAGGGGGATTCACTTTCTCTTAGGAGCGAAGGGGTACTTAGGCTATGAGGTGTTGCTATCCTTGGCTAACACAGACCAGGAAAAAGCAGGGCCCCGAGGTGAGAACTAGGTGGATTGTCACCCAGTCCTCCTCCATATCACTCTAATAGGGGGATCTGGGGGTCTTAGGAGACCACAGCACATAAAATCCAGCAATAGTTTTCAAAACTAAAACTGGCAGGACATTTAAATTCTGCATTGATTAAAGGTCATTCTGGGCTTCTGTCTTCTCAGCCCCAGATGAAATGAGTGTGCTCAGACATCTGTGTGGGATGGGTGGAAAGATCCCTGAGCAGAAGTGACACCCCAGCAGGAGGATAATCTAAGGAGCCTGTAGTGGTTTTCAGGAGGAGAAAAAATCACTTCCCAAGCCCCAGGAGTGGCAGCAGGAAGTCACACCGATAGGACCATGACGGAAGTCCTTCTGTTTGGGAATTGCATGAGACATCCTTTTTATCAGCCAGCTGGTGGCCCTGAGACTTCCTAGGGAGCCCAACTCCACAGACATGGGGTGGAGGGGAGTCCTGGGGAGGGAATGGAAGCCAAGGGAGAGAAGAGGTCCCAGTCTTGGGCCCAAGAAGACAGTTTCAGAGCCCATGAATCAGCTTAATTTGGTTTGTCTGTTTCTCTTGTCATTTTAGGAACACTTCTGGAGTATTGACCAAACTGAATTTCGAGTCCCACCCAGACTGATCATTCAGATATGGGATAATGACAAGTTTTCTCTGGACGACTATTTGGGTAGGGCTTCCATTTGGATCTTTCCCCTAAAAAATTGTACTTGGAATGAGTGGAATCAGTTCAAACTTGGAATCAAATATTTAAATCCTTGATATCTGTGGGTAGCTGGGGGCGGGGGGCACACTCACTGCTGGATGTCCTCTAATCTCTGTGGCCCATCCCCCCATTCTCTCAGGGCCCCTGGAAAGTGAGCACAGGGAATGTCCCCCCTTTTCATGGGGGTTCTGTCCACTCTTGAGGGCCCCATGAGGTTCTTGTACCAGCTCCTGCCTTTCTCTGAAGATTCAAATCCTGTTTTCAGAATGGGGCACCACTGCTCCCAAACTACCCACTCTGTCTTTCCTCAGCACCTCAGAATTGGTTCCCACACTGTTCTCAAAACTTACCCAAGTCTCCTAACCCCCCAGCCATTGTTCTTTCTCTCAGGCCCAGCCTCCTCTGTGGCTCAGGTGCTGGCTCTTACCTGCTACACACATGCTCTGGTCAGGCCCGTCCAGTGGTGCAGTGCTCTCTTGGTTTTCACTCTCCCAGCCCTTGGATTTTTAAATTCAGGCCTTCATCTTCCCTGGGGTTCTTGGGTTCTTCACCAGCCACTTAGTGACTTACCCGCTCTCACCTCTTCCAACTTATGTATGATCCCTAAACCAAGAGGTGTATTTGGACCCCTCAAGATGGCTGACCTACAAGAACTGGAAACTCATATGATGAAATATTTTGCACATATAAATGTGTCAAATCAGCCCATGTATAACTTAAACTTACACAATGTTGCCATATTGATCATATCTCATTTTTGTAAAAACAAAAACAACTGTTAGGATGATTATCCCCAGTTCCACACCAGAAGCCTTCACCTTTGTGTTGATCATGACTGAAATGATAAATTTCAAATTTTCCATGGCTAGAATGAAACTCGGCATTTCTTCCTGACTTCAAACCTGCTCTCCTCATGAAGCTCCTTTGCTATTGATGGCCCCCCATTGTCCAGCCACCCAGACAAAAGCCCCCAAAGTCCTCTATGGGTCCTCCTCTTCCCTTACTCCACCCAGTCCCAACAATTTAATCTGTTTTATTCTGTACTTTCATTTTGTCACTTTTATGATCTCTGCTACTTGCCAGTTCAGACCCCATTTTCTCTTGGCAACCTGTTATAGTACCCCTAAATCCTCTGTCTGCTTCCATAACACCTTACTTCCAGGGCATCTTTCCTGTTAAAGAGACCCCAGTGGCCATTATACCTGTGCCTTGTTTATTCCTTTACTCCTCCCTGCACTAAATGCAATGATTCTTAATAAGAGCTGAACAAACAAATGAGTGTGCAATTATGCTAAAGCATATAAGCATTAGTACCTCACGTCAAGGAAGGGAAAATGTGCTTCTCCAGGTGCCCTGATCTGGGTTCCTAGTTACTGTGAGAATATTCTGTTGAGCGGCTGTTTTCTGTGTCAAGCTCCTGTCCCTGAGGTTACACTAGGAGAGTCTTAAACGTGACCATACTGTGGAGCTGCCCATGTTCCAAGTACTAGTCGTCTTCACCCAAAGCCAAATAAGCAACTGTGTCTATTACAGCTCAGAACCAAAATGAGCAAGTTTCAAATCCAAGTTCTGTGGAAATTTTGTCTATAAATATTTGATTATTTTGTGCTTGTGGAAGAGCTCTGTTTATGATCATGTCTTTGAGAAATAAAACAGCTAGACATGTGTGAGAGGCAGGACAGTGGACAGATACTATATGGAAAGGCTTGAAATATCCACCAGGTCCCTTTCTCTAACTCACTCATTACCTGTTCAAAATCACTGTCTGCTTCTTTTCTGACGAGAACATTCTATTTACTTGAGAACAATGGCTGGTCCACTTGATGCTTATTTGGGTTGAATGCTTCCTTGGCCAGGTTTCCTGGAACTTGATTTGCATCACACCATCATTCCTGCAAAATCATCAGAGAAATGCAATTTGGATATGATTCCAGACCTCAAAGCCATGGACCCTCTTAAAGTGAAAACTGCCTCACTCTTTGAGCAGAAGTCCATGAAAGGATGGTGGCCGTGCTACGCAGATAAGGATGGCTCCCGCGTGATGGCTGTATGAGTAATTCCTTATTCGGGGTCTTTTATCATTTAGGCTTTGCCTTCTATCAACAGGCTTATTCCAGAGAAGGAATGTTAAATTGGTGGGACTTTAAGTTATGGGAATGGTTTGTATGTAGGATTATGAAAGAAGGTGGGTAAAGTGTGAGAAGACTTTTGGGGTTGAGTAGAAGATGGAGGGATTGGAATGGTTCAAAAACAGGGAACCCCAGGGGTTGCACTGTCTTCCTTTAGCACCCTCCTTCATGGGGAAGAGCTTCCAGCACAATTCAGTACAGAAAAAGGAATAATCTCATTTTTTAAAAAAAGTAGAAGGAACAGGAAGAGCTGACTTCTATAGGACAAGGTCATAACTTACAAGCAAGTCTGGAGAACTCAAGATATATTTTGATGTAAAAGCAGAAGTGTGGGTTACCATGATTTGTCACAAAGACTGCCCAATTATTATTTATTATTAATAATAGCTAACATTTTAGATCATGGCTAAGTATCTTACATTCATAATCTTATTTTAAAAACATCTTTGAGGTATAATTTACATAAATTGCACCTTGTATTTTTTATTTTATATATATATATATATATACATATTTATTTTTTACATCATTTTTCCTTTCTGTACAATGTATGCTTTCTCCTCTCAGGTGCAGTCCTTATAAAATTCCCACCACCAATTCATCTGTGCTCCATCTCCATAGTCCCTTGTGCTTGTACCAGCTCCTGCCTTTCTCTGAAGATTCAAATCCTGTTTTCAGAAAGGGGCGCCACTGCTCCCAAACCACCCACTCTGTCTTTCCTCAGCACCTGTATTTCCTCCCCTGTTTTGATCCCTCTTCCTTCCCCTGCCCTGCACCTTGTATTTTTTAATTATTTTTTTGAGACAACATTGGTTTGCAACACTATACGATTCAGAGGTACAAGGTCACACCTTTCAGGTGCAGCCATCACACCACACCCACCACCAAGGCACCCACATCCTCCCACATAGTCTATCGTGCTCCCACCCACCCCACTCTGCTCTCACACCTCCCCCCTAGCCCCTGTAGCCTCAATTTCACAGTCAAGTTTCTAGGGTTTGTTATTGGTTTGTTTTTATCTGAACCTTTATTTCATTTCTCTATATTGACATCATCCAGTATTTGTCTTTCTCCTTTGACTTATTTCCCTTAGCTTAACCCAGTTTCATCCATGTTGGCGCAAATGGCAAGAGTTTATGTCTTTTTATAGCTGAGTAGTATTCCATTGTGTATCTACACCACATCTTCCTAAGTCACTCATCAGTCTTTGGACACTTAGGTTGTTTCCATGGCTTGACTACTGTAAATAGAAACTGCACCCTTTTAAAGTACACAATGCAATATTCTGGCAGATGAACACACTTGTGAAGCTACCACCAGAATCAAGATCTGGAATATTCCCATTACTCCACTTACCTTTTGCACCTTGCAATGCATCACTGTCTCCACTTCTGGCCCAGGAAACCACGTCTCTACTCTCTGCCACTGTAGATTAGTTCACACGTAGTCTCCTTGAGCTCTGATGACTACTCCATGAAGTAGACATTATCTCCATTTTATAGATTAAAATAAGAGGTCTTGGAAGATGGGAGAACCTTGCAGAGGAGACACTTAACTCTGTCCAACTTATCAACACAGGAGTCATCTGTACCCCACAGCCCAAACAGTGTTAGGGTTCACAGTTCTCAAGTTGAAGGTGAGCTTTGTGAAGTCTAGAAATTCTGTTACAACCTTAGTTACACCTGCCTATAAAACTGGACAAGATTCTAGGCATCTTTCAATTCAGTGTTCTCACATGCAGAGGAAGATAATAGCCATACCTGCTTCTTAGGGTTGCTGTGAGCATTACAGAAGATTACCCACATTGAAGGCCTGAACACTGGCCATGCATCATACAGGGACCGGTCAGCACAGAGGCAGTGTTAGCTCATTCACTTACTCAACTGTACCTACTAGGTGCTAGCCTTGTCTACATAGTAGGGATGCCAGGGTAATCTTTGAGCATGCAGGTTCCTTTGTAAGTGGCAATGAATACTTCATAAATGTTGAATATTGTTATTAGCAGCATTGACATTCATCTGGGTCCAAGTGCAGTTACAAAGGAAGGTGTGTGAGGCAGCCAGGAGATGGACGTGAGGAAGTTAGAGTGACGGAGATACAGAGCATGAAAAGCAGGGATCAGGGAGCAGGCAGAGCAATTTGTCCCCTCATTTCCCACACGCAGTCAGTTCAGAAACACATGGAAGAGGAAATGTGATGAAATCGCTTGAGGAAAATTGAAAGCAATCTAAAGATTGTTTTACAAGAATAAAAATGGCTGCTTGGGGAATACTCATTGGGTTGAAGTGAAAATATTTGTGAAACGTGATGTCATGTGTTTAACCGGTTCTGCTTTAATGAAGGGGAAAGTAGAGATGACATTGGAAGTCCTCAATGAGAAGGAGGCCGACGAGAGGCCAGCCGGGAAGGGACGAGATGAACCCAACATGAACCCGAAGCTGGACCCACCAAAGTGAGAGGCCTTCTTTGTTCTCAGTGCTGTCTGATCCCCAAACACCTGCAGTCTGAAAGCCCCCCTTCCAGTGGGCTTAATGGAATGGATTAGCCGTTGTCCTTCTAATTTTGTGCTTAATAGTGGGGGGTGGGGGTGGGGGTGGGGAGGCTGGCAATAGCTTCATTTTAAACATTCTCCTTTCTCTTGAAACAAAGTCCAATGTGTCTTCATCATTTTAAGAAACTATTAAAAAATTAGTCTTCTCAGCCACCAAGGGGAATAGTGTCTTTTCTTGACTTATAAATATTGTTAATTATTCTTCCAACTGTGATGCTCTGTGGTAAAATATCTGTCCTTCTCAATACCATGTCTTTGCATTGCAGTCGGCCAGAAACCTCCTTCCTCTGGTTCACCAACCCATGTAAGACCATGAAGTTCATCGTGTGGCGCAGATTTAAGTGGGTCATCATTGGCCTGCTGATCCTGCTGATCCTGCTGCTGTTTGTGGCCGTGCTCCTGTACTCCTTACCGGTGAGCACCTTGCCTTTTTTGTGTGGGAATTACTTGGGTCACCTAACTCGGTACTTGTCTTTCTTGCTGTTCCAAAGAAGGAACCTACTCAGCAGTTGCGGAGTTACCATCCTCAGGCTTTGGAAAGCTTAACGTGTCCTGTGATTTGAAAGGGGTTCACAAAATTTAGGCAAAACTTTATGGTCTGAAAACAGTTTTGGCTTTAGGAATTCTAGGGGCATCCCTCAGGTACCTCTCATTATGTGTTGGACGGCAGCCAGCATTTCCATCTGATCTTCCTGCCTTCAAATTTTGTTGTTCCCCGCCATCCTGCACCATCACTCTTTGTCTTAGGACTCATGGATCCCCAAATCTAGGTTTATTATAGGTCTATACAAACCCCTAGATTGTTGGCTTCCCCAAATGAGCTTTGCTCTAAACTTCCAGGGGAGCCTCTGCCAGTGTTATACTTTTGCTCATATTTTATCTGTCAAAATCTACTCATTCTTCCAGGCCCAACTCACTTAACCTGCTCCTTAAGTTTCCCTTAATCACTCCAGTTACAGATGGGAGGCTCCAGTCACTGGGGGAGAAACCCTAACTTTAATATGTAGATATTTTAACTCTGCTTCTTTGTCGTTTCCAGAACTACTTGTCAATGAAGATTGTGAGGCCAAATGCATAATGAAAGCAAAGACTTCATTATCTTCTAATGAGGGAATCCTGCCTCTGCCTGTGGCCCAAAATCAGGAGTAACTTTGTTTGTGTCTAGAACTATAATGTCAGCAAGGCCTCTCAGTTTCCAGAGGTTCTAGTACTGGGAAATGAAACCGAAAAGCAACTGTTTTATCTTGTTATCTTTTGAAGTATTCAAAGTTTAACCATGTTTTTCATATTTTTCAAGATGGCTGGTTCCATTTAAAAAGCATTTTTTATGTGTATCTAAGTCAATTTTTAGAAATTGCTGAAATCAAATTTGAAATTTTTGGCATCTTGAGTCCATAAAGTTCTTATGGACTTATAATCAACAACTTCTTATAATCAACAAAAAAGAATCTTTATTAATTCTTATTTATTCCTGTAAACTTTGGTATGATATTTTATATGGATAAATGTCCATATGACATGACACTCTGTTCGACCTCTGTGACGAACACAAATAAAAATGTTTCCTCTTTGACACAGCTGTTTGTTCTAACTATGGGCTGAGTTGGGAAGAAGCTATTTCTAACCTCTGGGTCTTAATGGATGGAATACCACAGTATTCCACTTGGTCATAAACCCTTCCTGCATGTGCTGTCAAATCTTGACCAGTGGGTTAACATAACAAATAACAAGGTTAATATAGAGAATAAAATAATAGAATGGAGTAAGTATCATAATAAATAATAAAAGCTAACATTTGTTATAAATTCTCTGGGCAACCTGCTGTTTTACGTTCTTTATGTGCATTCACTCATTTAATCCTCAAGGTAGCTATAAAGTCAAATACATTATTATCTCCTTTTTCCAGTTGAAGAAATTGTGGCACAAAGTGGTTCAATAACTTGCCCAAGGTCACACCACCATTAAAGGGCAGAGCTAGAATCTGAACCCAGGCAGCCTGTGTTCTTTCCTTGTCGCTTCTCTTAAGCACAGCACTATCCCCCCAGTGCGAGGGAGGGCAGTCAAGAGGAGCATGGAGCTAAGATGTCAAAAATGAATGACAGCAACTACTCAACGTGACTCCATCAATAGTACTACTCAAAGAATAATACAGAACCCAGGGGCAAGAATGGCCAGGCTGGGCCTCCCCGGTGGCACAGCGGTTGAGCGCTGGGTTGCGAAGCTGCCAGCAGCCTCTGCAGCGCCGGTTCGATCCCCGGCTGCTCCCCAGCCACCGGAGGAGGGTCCCACATGGCGCGCAGACTTCTCCTGCTGCCCGCTGCTCCCCTCAGCAGCGTACTTCGGTCCTTCTGCCTGCTCTGCTCCCCGCTCTGGCTCTGGTGAATTCTCTCACCCTCCCGCGCTTCTGACTGTACCCAGTGCATGTATAAACAAAAACAAACAAATGAATAAATAAATAAATAAAACATGCCTCTATTAAAAAAAAAAAAAAAAATGGCCAGGCTTTTGGATGTTTAGACAATGTTATATGGCAATGGTGATAATCCTGGTGTTAATCGCTTGCCGAGTTGTGTCATGCTTTGAACATTTTGATATCCTTCAATGTTCTGCCCCAAATCCTGCTATTCAAAGTGTGTTCACTACACATAAAGGTTGAGAGGTGCAGTTTGGCTAAGTCAGAATGTTCACCACTCCCCCAGGCAGTGTGTATCCTTCCCCACCCCTGCCATGCCATCACCTATCTGGAACCACTTGGAATACTCGACTACCAGCACACCTATCCACCCTCAAAGGCTCACCATTCCCCTAGGCAATGTGTATTCTCCCCCCTTCCCCCCTCCCCACCATGGCATCACCTACCTGGAACAGCTCAACTGGCAGCACACCTCTCCATCCTCAAAGTCCTATGTCAAATGCCACTTTCTCCTTGACACCTCTTGGGCCCAAATGACCTTTCAATCTTCTAAGATAACATATCAGGACAAACTTTCTGGAAAAAAGATATTAAAAGCCTTTTAAAAGACTGTGCTCTTTGACCCAGGAACATACTCCTGAGTATTAACATGAAGGAAATAATCAGTCAAAGATTCATGTACAAAAACATGTCACAGCTGTTTATAATGCACAAATCAAACAACCTAAACACCCAAGTATAGGGGAATGGCTGAATATATGGTGAAATCCCACACAATGGTGCAAGGATGAAAACATGTTACTTTAAAAAATGTGTTACTGACATATTGAAATACTGGTATATAGGGTTTGGGGAAGGTAAAATGCAGATTTATTGATATATAAGAACCCAAATATGTGTTTATAAGGAAATGCACCAAAATAATAACACTGTCAGGAGTTCATGACAGTTTTATTTAAAATAGCATTTTCTTTTTTGGAGAAAAAGTTAAGCTCTGCCATTTAGCACTGTCCCAGGCAAAGTTGTTATTTGGAATTTTTAACCCTCAGTATGGCACCAACAGAACAGCTGCTTCATCCCAGCCCAGTGGGTAATGGCTGCTAAAAAATGAAACTTGAACAGCCATACTGGTATGTGCAGGCCAAATACTAACCTTCATTCCAGAGACCCCCACCAATACACTTTCCCATGGTGCACGGAACAGTTGCTGGGTAGTAAATGAACAGCTATGAGAATCAATGTCATTTCCGCCTGTGCTCAGCGCCCTTCACTGGAACCCACTAGTGCGGGCCCTTGGAGTAAATGGTGGCAGAGCACTATTAGAAGTGAAATAATTCCCCGAGAGGCTACTGAGCATGACTTTCTGGATAGCACTCCTCCGCCTCCTAGTCCCCCCAGAAAAAGCTTCATCTTGTCAAAAGATAATGGTCCCTCATTTGAGGTTGTTAGCCGCCTGGTGACCTATAAATGATAGCTAAAAAGCTGGAACTAATCACAGTTCAGTCAGATTGTCGCTTCAATGTGAATTAAATAACACTTAGTCCTAACTCATTCGAGCAAGTGCCGCCATTAACACCAGAGCGTGCGGTAGGAAAATAAATCTCCATCAATGCCACGGGGGTGACAGGGAACTGAAAGTCCTGACAGACTGACTCTCAGTCTTGTTTTGTTCTTCCTTTCTCATTTTAAGGCTGGTGGGAAATGTCACGACTAGACCTTGTCTGTTGCTTTAAAGAGCTATTGAAAAGGTGGGCAGAGTTCTGAGACCCATTTTGGAAAGGGAACAGAGGGGAGCTGAGCGCTCTAGTTTTCCAGGTGCTGGCCTGGTGGCAGCTCCTTGCCCCTCCGCCCTCACCCTGAGTCAGAAGATTGTTTGTCCAAAGACGGGGGCTGACTTTTCCACCACTGCTGAGCAGATGTTCCTACAAACACCACTGGAAGACAAGTATGCTTCCCAGAAACTGCTCTTCAGTTCAGAGAAAGTACAACTAGACTACCCCATGAAGAACCAACATTGAGAATGATTTCCAAGTTTAAAAACTCTCTACAGTTGAAATATTTCATGCCAAATACATTTCTTTGTGAGGCCAATACGTTCAGTTCTCTGCATCCTATGTGTGCAGCCTCCCGAGGCAGAGGGGAATTCCATTCTGAAGAATGCTTTTCAAAGTCGGCTTGATGCGGAATTAGTTCATAATGGAGTCGATGTTGTAAATAGATTAAACACCGCCATCTTTGCAGCTGAGTTTTGTGTTTGTTCAGCGTTGAGTGGCAACTCCCTAATCTTTCTTAGGTTAAACATAAGGGAGTCCCAAGAAAGATCAAAGGGAGGCTGCTTTTCCCTGGGATATACATCCCTGAAATGAAATGCCAGAGTTCACGAAGTTGAAGAAAAACACCAGAGAAACATGTAACGTGGACTAACGGCAAAATCTAACGAGAAGAGGAACATAATGAAAAACACAGGCCCGCCATCTGCACAGTCAAACTCCTAACTTCAGGGTGCAACTTTGTAGGAGGTACGGACTCCAGAATTGTATTATTTAAATAAACTTAAGAAAGAAAAATCGTAATTTTTAAAGTGACTCCCTTGCAGTAAGTTGAAACGCTACTCGGGGCAATCTGATTTTGCCAAAATTTATCTCAACTTCTTTAAAAGGCCCATTCAGCCCTTGACTAATATTAATGTACTACTTCCATGTGTTTTCACAAAATCCTACAGCCAAACCCGTAATCCTCCCCCCATCATATTTCAGCTAAGTCCTGCCCTTGTAATTATCAGGAGGAGGACCAGGAATATCCAGCTGGATTCCAATGCAGCACGGCTGCTTCTCAGATGAGGTCTCACCTGGGTCAACAGGATAAACAAAATAAATGGATGGAATCCTGTCGTATAGGCGGCAAGAGCAGGGGGGCAGGCGATCCAGACGTCTGGGAGTCTGTGAGCTCACCCCAGCCCAGTCACAATTTAACAGGGACTTCGGGCATCTCAGCTCCCCCCTCATTTGTGAAAGTAAGCTCTGAATTAAGAAATTATGTCTTTCCCAGAATTATTTTATGGTTCTGCTTGCCTTTGGCTCAATTTTCTCATCTGTAAAATTGGGACAATAATCTTCAGGGAATGGATAGGAAAGATAAAGTGATTTAAAATCCACAGATGTGTTTAGAACAGAGCTTGGTACAAAAGTAGCCACTCACCCTATTTTAGTTATTGTCTTTGTCGTCATCATCATCATCATCATCATCATCATCAGACTAGAACTTCCAAACATTTACGGGCTAGATGGTGACAGATGTGTTCTATAGCTTTAGAAGGGATGTGAACTTCCATTACCCAAAATAATGACAACCTCCCCACTCCCAGTTCTAAGCACACAGCACATTTCTAATTGGAGCAAGCAGATAAGAGTATAAGCTAGTTGCTCCAAAAATTAAGCATAAAATTCCCATATGATCCAGAAATTCTACTGTGGGGAATATACTCAAAAGAATTGAAAGCAAGGACTCAAATATTTGTACCCCTCAACTTCACAACATTAGTCACAATAGCCAAAGGGTGAAAGTAACCCAAATGTCCATCGAAAGATGAATGGAGAAGCAAAATGTAATATACACGATAGAAAGTTATTGAGCCTTGAAATGGAAGGAAATTCTGACACACACAACATGGATGAAGCTTGAGGACATTATTCTAAGTGAAATAAGCCAGACACAAAATGAAAATAGTGGTATGATTCCACTTACATGAGGTATCTAAAGTACTCAAATTTAGAGAGACAGAGTTGAATGGTGGTTGCCAGGGACTGGAGTGAGCAGGACCAGAACTTACTGTTTTGCAAGAAGAAGAGATGTGGAAATGGTGATGAGAACAATAGTGTGAGTATGTTCATTACCACTGGACTGTACACTTAAAAATGACAAGTTTTATGCTATGCATATTTCACCACAATAAAAAAATATCAACAGAATGAAAGACACTTCCAGGAAGCTAGGGATCCTTTTTTCTCATTTACCATCCAACCCAGTCTTTCAGGAGGCAGGTAATACTTGCTGTCTGGCCCAGGGCTGAATACTATCTCACAACCAAAGCAAAGGCTAAACCCAGGGCCCGAGACTCAGTATGTTTGGCCCCAACTGCCATTTTACAATTAGCTGCTAATTATTTATATGTTGGAAAAAATATATTAAAAATAATATTTTTAGGGTTTTTTCCAACAAATGGTAAGGTGAGTGGATACTTAGAGCAGGCCCTCAGGAAGGTTTCCTGTCCTGCCGCCCTAGATGCGGAGTGCAGGGCCTAGATCCATTTTATAGTCAAAGTAACCAGAGGAGGGCTCTCCAAGTTTCTGCCTTGGTGGCCAGGCCCCTGCTCTGCTCCACTGGAGACTTCAGGGCAGAACCTTCTCCCTCCTGGACACACCTCACCGTCCCCAGATAATCCCATCAGCCATAATTCCAAGGTTCCAGAGAAACACAATCAGCTCCTTTCAAATCTTCTCCTTTCAGAACAGAAAATCCAAACCGCCAATATGGACAGAAACTCATACTCAGGAAGTAAGAGGGAAAATACAAATTAGTTACAATGAGATATTATTTTCCACCCTCCAGATTGGCAAAAAATGTTAAAGACTGCCCTGACAGACTCCCGAGGGGCAGGAACAGCCTCTATTTTCTTCTGACACAACTGGTGGGGGTGCAAACTGGAAGGAACACTGTGGAAACACTTTCTTTTCTTTTTAAAAAAGATTTTACTTATTTTTTGCATAGAAGAACTAGGGTGTAGGCCAGAGGTGGGGGAGCTGAGGGTCCACCTGCAACCTGCAAGCCACTCCTAAATTTATGCCCTCGAGCAGGTAGGCCCTGCAGGGAGACAGATTGAAGAGAATGTCTGAACTAGAAAAACACCAGAGAAGCCCCAGGCCATTAGTGGTAGGTTGGCTAACGCAGAGGCTTAGTTCTAGAACAAAATATTACAAAGCAGGAGAACATACAAATTGCTGCCCACATAGGACAATATGAATAGATTCTAGAAACAATGCTAGTGGACGAGCAAGAGAGACAAACCTACAGTACTCCTTCCATGTCCCAAGTGAAAACATCTAAAATAACTCTATTGTTTAAGGGACAGAGATGTGATATAAATCTACCAAAAATGGCAAGAAGGTGACAGACTCAGGAGAGTGCAGATCTCTGGGGAGGAAAACAGGGAAAGGTTTACAGAGGAATCTGAAGTTAATGGCATTTTGTTTTCTTTTTAAAGAATTATTCATTTATTGTAATTATTCATTATTCATTTTAAAATTTTTATTTATTTTTGTGTAGAAGAAATGGGGTGTAGGCCAGATGTACGAGGGGCGAGAGGATTAAAAGACAGAGTGGGGAGCAAAACAGGCAGGTCCACTGAAATATGCTGCTGAGGGGAGCAGGGGGCAAGACAGGAGAGGTCTGCTGTGCTATATGTGGGTAGCTCCCTGGCCGGGGATCAAACTCAGGCCACTTTGCTAAGGACAGCCATCTTGGTGGTAGCACTGAGATTTAACCCCTAGGCCACCAAGGAAGCCCCCAGCAATTTGTTT